AATACCACCGACCAGAACATGATGGTTAAAGAACATGTCCCACATTTCTTCGGGATTCCAAGTCCTTCAGCGCAAAAAAGTCCCCTCCAGGTGGTGGTGCGACCAGCGGTGTTGAAGCAGCCTGGTGAACGTTAAACGACCGCGATATTTTTTGGCCCACCTGGTGAACATATCACCTGAAAAACCATCGAAAATAAGGGGTTTAGTGTGGCGTTTAGTACAGTTTAGTATGGCTTAAGCTACTGATAATTCTGGTTCACGTCGCTTTGCGGGCACAGCCCTCTGAAAGCTGCAAAGTCAAAAGTCGAAATCGACTCCCATCGTGCTTAAAATCCGCATTTCAGGTGAGTTTCCTGGTTTGCCTCAATGAAACTGGACAGCCGAATGCGCGGCAGCTTTTGGCACAGCAAGGGCCCAACGAAGAGGTGCGCATCCGTCATTTCACCAGGAATTGGGTTTGCCACAGTACTATTGGGCCATTTAAGGTGCTGCGCCGATTTGTGTGAGCTGGGTTTTGAGCTAGGGTTTATGAGATAGATGGAACTAGTAAATTAAACTAGTTACTTGGAATTACACACCAACTTTTAACATCACTTTGCAGGCAAGTTCGGGATTGCGAATTGGGATTTGCAGCTGATTTTGGAGAATGCTTCGCCAATGGGTTTACACAACTTGAAGAACTGGGAAGAGCCTGTGGACGCGGTTCATTTACATGATCGTGCTTCAGTGTATCAGCACCACCTTCAAGACCCCTCGAAATGTACCAAGGGTATTCAAACATATTCAAGCGTGACCAACATGCCTTGATCAGCTATTGTTTAAACAATATATCCATAACTTCGATGGTATTTCGCTCAGATCTTGGTTCAACTCGTGTGACATGCCATCGGATCCATGGCGTGCAGGAGCAGGAACTGGAAGGCACCGTCAAATACGTGTCCCAAGAGAAAGGCTATGGTTTCATCGAGTGCCAGGCCTGGTTGCGAAGAAAGATTGGATTATAACGATAACAACAACCCCCTAAAAAGGTGCCCAAAAAGTTAGATTTTTATCACTAATTATTTTAAAGTATAGGTTTTATGCTGTTCTATCTTTTGGGGGTTGCCATGTCTGGTAAGATCTATAGGTGTAACCCGATGTTTTTTTTTTGAAGTTTGGTTGGTTATGATAGATGGCCCCACTGGATCATGCACGCATGGCGATGAATATCGATGAATAAGATGCCAAACTAACCCATCTATCCAACGTCATTGGTTGGGGATGGCTCAACAGAAACAGTAAAACGCAGCATTGGAAGGTGTTTTCCGATGTGCACCGCATATTGTGGCAGAACCCAGCGGTAAACCCCATGGTTTTTGAAGGTGTGCAAAACCCCAAGTGTTGGAATCGGGCATGTAGTATGTTGCTTTCATTTGCGACATGATTTTCCTACTCATAATAATGGTGATTCACCAGTGCAAAGTTCTTTTTTCGGAGAGCCTTGCACCGTTTGGTGAAGATTTTTACTACTTGATGGCACCGGCCTAGCCGTCGAAATGCGCAAAGTGGCGGAACAAAAAGCGCTAGGCTAGACCAGTATGTCTCGCCACTGATGTCTTGCATAATGCCGCATCAAGGTCAACAAGGTCGACGAAGTTTGTGTTGAAGGGCCCACCTAGTTGATAAAGCTATATCATACATCATTCCAGTGTAAAAATAGCAAGAAACTCTCCTTTTTTCCCATAATTTTCCATTTTTCTGTTTGAGGCACTGCTGTCGCACTTCCCTCCAATCTCAGGAGATTTGGGATTCCTATGGCGGTGACGTGCACGCGGATTATGAGCAGCTGCGACTGTGCTCCTTGGGGCAGCCCGTGAGGTTTCGAATAAGGTGACCCGCTGGGGAAGGGGCTGGGGAAGGGGCTGGGGAAGGGGCTGGGGATGGGCTGTCAAGAAAAGTGGATTGCAGCGGTTTATCAACACAACTAGGTGATTTCGGCAAGGGATTTCTGCAAGACAGTGAGGATTTCCGCAAAAATGGGGCTGTTTGGTAGGACAGAAACAATGTCCACCTTCGCTTTCGACCCTGCTGGTGAATAAAACAGTCATGGGCGGATGATTTTCCATGACTGTCGAACTAAAACCCGTGATGGTTGGTTGTGCCCCCAGCACTTTGTCTTTTGCCCCCCGGTTTTTCTATATTGTAGTTTCCCCTTGTTGGCAGAATGACCCTGCCCTATGATTGTCATCGAGGTTTTCGCTTTAAGGGGTACAGTACGAATCACCAGTGCCTGCTTAAACCGCCTGAAGAGGTTACTTGTGGGGGCTTCCCTTAAGATGTTCAATCCCATATGTTTCAATGGTAGTCATACCCTTCAATGTTTTGCAGATGATGATTCTTCGCTGATGACCCTTGAACCATTTTAGATGCTGCTTAAGACGTGGCCAAAATCATGAATCATTGCATTTGTTCATGTGTGGTGAAAAGGAACAGTTCCCAATCATTGTCTATTAATTTGCTATAACTTTATCCACTTATGAAAGTCGTCCGCGATTGATTGCCATTTGGGTTTACCGCATTTCTATCTATTTGGTAGACGCAATAATTCAGAAATCACTATTGGACCATCAGCCCTTTTGACATTTACCATGTGGTAATTTAACATAGCTATGGAAGATCACAGTTTTTACTAGTGGTTTTTTGTTCTCCGAACTAAATGGACAATGTTCATCCATGTTCCATATCTATGCTAAATTTACAGGAGGGTAAGTCGAATCATAAACCATCCCCAAGTTTTCTCCACAAGCACGGCCATCGATCCCGAATTGGAGGTGGCGTTATGGTTTCACCATGGTTCACCAAAGTCGATGAACTCGTTCTATGCACCAGAATTCCTAGGATTTCCTAGGTACGCTAGAATGAAATACGCCAACTTGGCAGCAAAATCAACCGGTTCAACCATGAATTCCCACAAAATCCCAGACATTATCACCATTTTGGCTGAAAAACTATCACCCATTCATATTCCATACGATCAATTCTCACCTTCTGGACCTGCGGGATGGTGAGAGATATCCCATATTCATCCATATTTCATGTACAGAATATCCCATGATATTCTGGTTGGGGGTTTCAAACATTTTTTTATTTTCTATAATATGTGGGATGTCATCCTTCCCATTGACGAACTCATATTTTTCAAGATGGTTATTGCACCACCAACCAGTAATTTTTACATATTACCAATATGATATCCCATGATATCCCATATTCCGTCAACATCCCAGACCAGGCTGGGTCAGATCGGCGGTCGTCCCCAAGTGAAGCAGCTCTCCATCGCCGGGCCGCCACCTGAGAAGCTGCCGGCCCGCTGCTGCACCCGGGAAATCCACCGGAAATGCCCTTGGGAAATCCCCATTGGTTACTGGGAAAACCATGGGAAGCTTCAGGAAACCCGGAAAAATGTGGGAAAATTCTCGGAACCATATCATGCTTAAAAAGTTTAAACCACACACGATGGGGCCCCCAAGATAGCGTTCAGTTGCCTGAAAAAAGTGGCTGAATTCTATGGTTTATGGTAGATTCTTAGATATCACTATAGTTACTAGTTCATGGGGATTTTGTCATGGTTTACCAAGAATCATAACTGCGGGGCCCCATCCTGTAGGTGTTTCATGGTTTTTCACGGTTTTTCGTTCATAGCTGGTTGAAACCCGCTTGAAATCCCTCATGTTCCATGGGGCAGGCGACTTCAGAGTCGCTGGCAGCCAGCCTGGTGGCAGATGCCTGGAAGAATGTGCTGCTGCTGGGCGAAGGCCTCTTGGAGACTGAAACTTAGAATATGATTAATGACCCATAGGATCCATGTATGGTATATATGCTAACATTGGGGGCATATGGATGGTAAATGTTACCATATAGCATACATGGATCCTATGGGTATGATTAATGATATTATGATATTAACGGTGATTTTTAATGGTTAATAATGATGATTAATGGATGATTAATGGTTAATAGGGTGAATGATGACCCTTTGCTACACTAACATACCTATGGAAAATATCCATTTTAAATAGGTAAAACAACGATAAAACTATAAGATATCAGAAATCTCCTGAATGTTCTACATCATTTAATGCGGGTAAAATAATGCCATAAACCATTCATGACTGGGAATGGCTATATTATCTATTTTGATGTGGGGGGTGGTTTTTGGCATTGTTTTGCCCACATCAATCCAAATGGGAATTTACCATAGGCAGATTTGACTGATGTTGACTGGGAGATCAGCTGGTTATCAATCGGTGGTATAGGAATTATTAGCTTGGAGCTCTTAGAAAATAACTTAGATGGGCCATGGTTATAGCAAAAAAATGCAGCCAACAAACATGGTGGCTTTACTAGCACTGGGAGATTTACAACTTTTTGTAGAAGCAATCAACATGGGATATGGGGACTTACCATGGTTAGTTAGCTGCTGATCATAATTGGGTGATACATCCCTAATTAATCATGTAGCACACCAATTGTGGTAAATCCAATGCCGTTGTCCCGAATTAAGTGGGGCATAGTTCGTTACAATTTGTTACAATTCCCCATACGGTCGAGGGTCTTTGGGTAAATTGCATGCCTAGTAATCAACATTGATCCATTAGTCACTATACCCATATATACCCATTTAAAAGCACTTAAAATACGGTAAATTTGGGTGGTTTATGTCAAGAAATTTGGTGTTTTTTTCGTCACCCAGCAGCCGAATTCGGAGGATGATCCCCAGACCTCAGGCGATTTCTCTTTCGCCTCCGCGGCCGCGGTGCTACACGACGATTGTCAGTTGGATGCCACCACGGTGTTGCTTGGGCGATGACTGTCTGAGGTTTAACCCCAACAAGGATAGAACATGGTAGGAAAACAAAAACTAGACTACTGAATCTTTTTGAGGGTCAATTATTGCAACCTTCTTGAGCTTGGCAGCTGGGTGGTTGCCAACCAGCGAGTTGGATAAGGATCATCCTGTTTTTTTACGGGCACATCGTTTTTTTTTATGTGTTTGCAAGGTGACAGATGTTGCTACTCCCACGACTTGGAAACTTTAGGAGATACTTATATCATTTTTTATCTGTTTATAAGACCCATCGGGCCACAGATTTTGATTTGATTAGTAGCTCCTAATTGCTGATGAATCATGCTGTTTGTGGTTCCTAGGCCCTTTTCCAATACATTCAGGGCAACACTATGGCAGCCATCAGGCTCCTTTAGCTGCTTACGATTCCAGATGCACAAAGACCTGCAGACAGGGTTTCCCAGTTAGGCGAGACATGAACGGATCATGCGCATGTATTCACACAGTACTAAATATGAATCATGTGTTTGATACGAATTGAAATGTTTAGAATCCATGCGTTGAACCAAATCTCTTGTGGCAAAACATGACAGGAACACTCCTTGGTTCACTCTTTTCCCACACCTGTATCCCCTTAAAATCCCCTCCAACAAATCACTGAAATGGGTCTTTATCAGCGGGTACTCCAAAAACCGTTGGTTTGCTAATTCAACATCTTAAACATTACATAACATTACCAACGTTACCAACCTTCGATTGTTCTGGGGGTCTCCTTTCTTTTGAAATCCTCAGATGGCCACAGTTTCCTCCACCCACGGGATCCGTTGCTCCCCAGACCCGTCCGCATCGCCGCCATCGCCATGGCGACCCTGGCGGATCTCGACGCCTGCGGCCTGCCCTTGGTCGCTGGGCCGCCCTGCCTGCTGCGTGGAAGCGGTGGAAGGACCGAGGCAGCGCCAGGTGTGGTGGGGGACGATGATTTTTTCCAAAGATTTTATGGAAATTGTTGATCGCCATGTTTGATTACTGGAGAGGGTATCAAAATGTATCAAGCTTTGCTGAGATCGTTGTTTGTAGATAGCACTGGAGAGAGAGAGAGAGAGATATATATATATATACACACATTATATTCATATATATATGATATGTATATATATATATTTATTTATTTATTTACAAATACATAGACAGATATGTCATGGGTCTATAAGCGAGTTTATGTTCAAATCTTCACCCCCCGCCATGGCATCATGGGGCAGGTCTACCAGCACCAGCTGAAGGCGTCCCTACTGCATTCACCTGCATGAGCTATAACGTCCTGCTGCCCAACAGTTCCTGGGATCTCAGGAAAAAAAATGGGGACGAAGACCTTCACCCAGTTTAGAATGTTTAGATTCACCAATGTAATGTGATAAATCTAAGAATAAACCATCCTTATCATCAGAAATGTTTGGTAACCATCCCCAAATGGTAGGTTTATTATTGGGTGTCCCACATTAATGGGATCCAAAATGAAAAGAGAGAGAGAGAGAGGACATTCCAGCGGGCTTTCTTGTTGGTGTGTTTAAGAGTAAAGCGGGAATGGATTTCAGATCTTCGAAAAAAAACATAGAGAAGCTGCTCCTATCCACACCCTGAGACCCTGGGGAAAGTGAGGAAATCAGTTTGTTCAGCCTGTTTACACCTGGATGTCAGTGGTCCCCCAAATCTGTGAACACTTTCTGGATATTGTCAGATTTTCTTGGGCCAACTGGTGAATCTTTAGATCATATCTTTATAATATAGTATGTATATGTAGTATTCTATCATTAGTGGGGCGAAACTTCATCAAATTCAACAAGTTGTTGTTGTTGTTGTTGTTGTTGTTGTTGTTGTTGTTGAACAGACACCGGTGGCATAGGCCAAGATGGCTGGTGGATCTACAAGTACTACCGCGACGCGCAGGGCGCCCACACCGAGTGGCCTCAACGGCAAGAGCTGCTGCAGAAGCAGATTCAGCAGGTGGACCCGGACATCCTGTGCCTCCAAGATGCCTTGGCCAAGTTGTGGGGACGTTTGGAATCAAACAAAGTTATGGAGTTGGGCAATATACATATTTACATAATTTCACATATTTATATTATTTTTAATTGTTATATTTATTTATTCATTTATATTTATTCGTATATGTCTAATTCAATAATCTTTTTATAATATGTTGAACAATACACACACATACACACATATATATATCTATATTTATTTAAACTATTCATCATTCTCATTATGGCTATCCCGATATAATTCCAAAACCTGGGGAACATCTAGGGTTAGCCATGATGAGAATGAGGGTTCGACCAAACCACTCAGGGTGATTCAAATCCCCTGAGCACTTCATAGTCTCACCTCCGGTTGAACCCCGGCTGATGCGAATAAATTGGTAAGCCAAGGGTCAACATCAATCAAGCGCTGGCATCAATTGATTTGTAAGGCGAATTGTTTGTTTGATTGAAAGGGACATTTTGTTTATTTGTATGTATACTGTACATATACATATGTGTGTTACACACACGCATATATATATAGTTATATATACATGTATATATAACTATATATACATGTGTGTATATGTATATATGTATACATACACACACGCACACACACACACATATATATATTTATACATATATATATATATATACATACAGGTGTAGGTGATCCAGCCAACTCTCGCGGTCGAGGAAGTCTCAGATCTTTCCTTCGACGAAGACTTTGGTTTCTTGCTGCTTGGCGGTTGTGTGGCCGGTGCGTTAAACATGGATTCGGATCAGCAGTAACATCCAGAGAAATTACAGTAGATCCACTGTTGTGAATGATGGAAGCTGGATTCAGTAACAAATCGGATTGTCTATAAGTTTTGTCTCATTTGTTCCGATTCCATGTTTCAGGTGTGCAATCCGCAAACACTAATGCAGACAGAGACAAAGGGAACAAAGAAAACACCGTATACAGGACATGATGTTTATCCTAGCGGTCCTAGCGTTATTTTTCTTTTGAAGTCTTAGCGGTGTCCATCGTCCCATTTATGCACTTTGGGCCCACCTGGAATCATTGTAGAAAAAAGTGTCTGAGTTTCAGCATCACCTTTGCCACTGAGGAGAGATGCTGGCTACGAAATCTTGATGCATGAACCATGACAAAGCAGATGAGGAATGCCAGGAAGGAGGGCGATGAATCATGGGTGACCCATGTGAGTTTGAGGGGTCGCAACGGAGCTCGTTGTAAGTTATAACCAACATCAACCGAATCCACATGGTTGATCGTAACTGGAGCTTCGTTTAACTTGCTTCTGGTGGATTTTGGGGCTTGAATTTCCTCAGGACAAAAACTCACAACATGAAATACCCTTGATATATATTATAATATATATTATGTCATTTTAATCAATCATCCCTTTTGGACCTTTTGGACCAGAATCAGCATGTCAAATTCCCGTACTGTTTGGGACTTCTATCCCAACGCTCAATGTTTGTTTAATTTTCCTTCACGGGTTTTCAACCCGTTCCCCTCCAGCTCATTGACGCAGATATGGAAGACCGATGGTGTCCCTGGGAAGTGATCTATATAGTCATATAGATGGTTTTTTTTCATATCTATACTAAGTATGGTTTGTTATTGTCCCAGAAATATTCCCATATATTCCCATATAATCCCATATATTCACATTGCATCCCATGAAATGGCACCATTTGGTTGCTGAAATCCACATGTTTGATGGTCAATTCCCTTCACTAACCCCCATGAAAGTCACCAGATGGATCATTGGCTGAAAAGTTCGGCCATCTATGGATAGTTACCTTTATGTGTATATATATATACATACATGTATATTTAATTATCATCATAATAATAACCACAATAATAATAGTAATGATAATAGTAATAATAATAGTAATAATAATAATCATCATATTTATAACAATAATTATTATTATGATTTCCCAGGAAAAGAAGGGCCGCATGCGGCCCGCCACCTGCTGGCGTCGTCGCTGGAAGCTGCTCTCAGCGCAGCACAAGGACCGCAGCCTGATCCTGGCGCTGCAAGGTGCGAAAAAAGACGGGGTGATCGTGGTAAGTTTGTTTATAAACCATTATAACCATTTATAACCCCCATTAACCATTATTAACCATTATTGACAATCATATATGCCATAGTTATCAACTTTAAACTAAGACTTAGTATTGTTATCCCACAATTATATCCCAATTATAAATAAATATATATATATATATATCTGGGTAAATTATAACGACCTCACTGCGACCGAAGCCTGGAACTATGGTTAATAAGGGAAATCATCCCCAAATGGCCGCAAGATTCAGGTTAGTGAAATATTAAAATTTACCCAGATTTATACCCCCCATTAACTATAGTGGTTTCACTAATCTTCCAACCCCCATCTGCCAGGGTCTATGTTAATTTAGTGGAGGGCAATAAGCATGACAAAACCCCCATTAACTATATAGTTATATCTACCATAAACCATAGGTAAGCCACTTATAAGGCAACTTAGCTATCTTGGGGGCCCCATCCTGTACTGGGTAATAAATTAGTAAGATATTATGTTATTCATAGTTGGTAAGTGATGCTAAACAGCATCCGTACCGTCAATGAACTACTGTAATTTCAACATATTTCAGATGATTTGACATGGTTTCCAAATGTTGTTGGATTACCCTTTGGTAAGCTCAACTGTTTGCCATGGAAAATAGATGAACATAGCCTATTTATAGATGATTTACCAATCAACAATGGAAGTTGTCCATATGTTAATCAACTATTGGGCAATTAATCAGTAATGTTATTAGTGGGTAAGTGATGTTAAACATTGCAGTGTTGTTGTAGTACTTAGTGGGATCGCAAACGGCGATATGGTGGAGTAGTAATAGCAACCAGTTAATGTTGAAAAGAATTTGTACATGATTAAAATAGTGGTTTACAAGATTTTACAAGCAATTGTTTATTGATAGAAAAGAAACGGCAAATTGTAATACGAGCAGGGGGACCAAATTTGATAGTTAAGTTACTGAATAGATATGACACTTTGCCGCTTGTTTCCTACTGAAAACAACATAGATAAGACCACAAAGTCATGAATTAGAGGGTTACGATTTTTGACAGTAGTTTATTAGTATTTAGGGGGTACCACCCTGATCAGTCAACGTAGTTTGGTACTCCACAGTCAACATTACTTGTAAATATCAGGCCATCTATGGAATGATCGTGACGAATATGACAAGTTAAGCAGTTCTCAGAGATTATCAGCAACTTAGATATTCTGTGCTATCCATTTGTTGACTTTCAAAGTCATCCGTTTGGTTCACTCCATACCTTTGGAAAATCCGCAAACTTCAGGCCATGTTAAGTCACCCCCTGTTGAAATCGTGTTATTTACAACCCGTGTCTATGCACCAGAGTCATGTAGTTTTAGATTCTAAGATAGATATTATAAAGTATGCACCTTTTTTGCACATTCCAGCAGCAATGATGATTCTACAAAGAGATTATTCCAATTATTTGAACATTTGTTAAGTTCACATGAATAATCGAAAATGTTTATCAGTTCATGCGGAAAATAACTGTAAGATCGCTCAATTAAATCCACATCATCCACATCAAAAAAGGCCCCAGTCTCATCAGTGAACCACATCAACAAACTATGGCATACAAACCCACATGAGTTTCATCAGTGTAAAATCATTTTCCAATGGATGCTAATGCACATCACTTTAATCTGGTTCATGAAAAGCTGAGAAATCATGGAAAATCATTGGCAAATCATCAGTTTCCATATAGTTTCCATATAGTTTCCATGAATTTCCATCAGTTCATCGCATCAAAAATCGCAAATCTCATCTCCCCAAGGCCCCGCGTCGTCGTCGTCCGTGCTCTTCGTGGTCAACGTGCACTTGACCGCCGGCCCCGCGGCGGATCGACGCCTGCGACAAGGCACCGAGGCCCTGGAGGCGGTGGAGAAGGACAGCGAAGTGAGAGGATTTGGGGATGATTTGTGTGGTATAATTACTATAGTATTATCATCATCCCAAAATCATCATTAATACTGTTATTACTATAGTATATCCAAATTATACTATATAGTATTAGTGCATAACAGTATTATTATGATCATAATAGTAATAGTAATAGTATAATTATGATCATAATTATGATTGACGGACGGGATCTGGTTATACTATTACTTTATAGTATTAACAGTATTAGTACATGATCATTTGGATACCCTCTGGTTATGACTAACATAGCCATGGAAAGATCCACCCATTTTTAATAGGTAAACCCAGGTAAACCATCTATTTCTATGGGCCATTTTCCATGGTTATGTTAAATAACCAGAGGGTAATAGTTATGATTATGTAGTCAATGTACAGTAGCATTATTAGTGCATAATTACATAATAATAGTAATAAGAATTAGTGGTTGTTTGGATGTTTGGTTGCATGACTTTTTGGGATGATGTATGTTGTGGTGTTTGATTGGTTTTTAGAGGACTGTGGAGAATTGTTTGTTGTTTGGCCAATTTTCGGATGATTTTTGTCAGGCTAAAGTGAATAAACACGCTGGAACATTTATGCTACGCAGTGTTTGCGGATTGATATCGTTGATATCCATGTTGATTTTTGATCGTATGAACGGCTAGAATCGACCACACGTGTTTGACTCGAACCAGCGTTTTAATTTGCAAACATGTGGGTTGGGCTTTGGATGTTGGATGATTTTGTTCGTGAGCAGTTGGAGTTCAACAGATCTTGGCAAATTGAAAGAGTTTTGGTTGAACTGTTGAACTGTTGAACCCCGAAAAAAATATGTATTTTGCATGATTTTCCAATGATTCATATGGATTTGTAGTAGACAGAAGGGTCTCGCCGTAGATGACTAAACCTTTCACAAAGTTCTTCCAAGGAGATCAAGAAACTCGAGCTCCAGGCGGAAAGTGTTCCCATCGTGTCACCTGGCATCTGAGGTTCCCAGGATTGGGTTAAGGGAACAGCTACTGGGAAACCATATATGTTTTTGGGACTAAACGCCAATGGTTTCCCATCAAAAAAAAACATTGAGAGATGTGAGCATGAGTGGCGAAAGGGAAACATGTTTGAGGGTGTGGGTCCACACATAAGCATTGGCAAGTTCAGTGCTTGCTTCTTCGGTGGATACACAGAACCTGAACGCACTAACCTGATTTAATTTGTACAAAACTATATCATGTCCATCTTCACTCTGGTTGAAATCGGCTCAATAAAACTGCATGTGCGGACCTGACACTTTGATACACTTTGCTGCTTCGAGGTTGTGTTTTCAAAATGCATACAACATTGCTGGTGATTTTGATGTCAAATCACCCGTAGTGTTTCGTAAATACCACATTTTTTTGTGAAGCACAAATCATCCGGATTGTTACTTCAATCTCCTCATGTTTGGCTTCGAATTCAAGTCCCAAAATCACTAAGACCTCTAACGGAAGAAATTCTCACTTTAGGCACTTAACGAGCTTATAAATATCTGATAAGTTGCTATTATCATTCTATCTAAATCTAATATTTAATTCTGATAATTGTGGATCAAATTCCCACGGGTTTCCCCGGTCGCGTCGCAGGTTCTGCGGGGACTTCAACAGCCAGGGCTCCAGCGCGGTGCGGCAGCTGCTGACGCAGGGGCAGGTGCTGCCGGAGTTCCGGGAGAGCGGCGATCCCACGGAGCGGGCGCAGGAAGGCCGGGGCCGTGGGTTGCTGCTGGGGTTGGTGGTTGGGGGGGGATTAGTTTTTGAGGGAAAAACCATGGAGTTGAACATGGTTTAACATGGTTTAATAATTGGGTTTAACTTGTTTAACATGGTTTAACGTGGCTTAATGATGATTAATGTGGTTATATGTGGTTGAAAGGTCCCAAGAATGGAGGCCAACGGGCGATGAGTAGTTTAAGAATATTGAACATATTGGACTTTTGCCATAGGCTGAAATATTTACTAGCTAGTCAGCTTTCCAAGGTTTGCCACGGGAAGGGCCAAGGCTTGATTATGTTGTTGTTTTTTCTTGATGGGTAACTCGTCACCAACCAATGGGTGGGGAGATTGGGAAGGCTGGGAATGGTTGCCATTGGTCAAATGACAATGACATGGCGAATGATGGTGAGTGAGTGGGGTTTGAAGTGGTGATATGATTGTTAATTCTACGACGCGTGGATGATGTTTTATTGGAGCCTATCTCGTTAAAAACAGAGCACTTCGCCACTAACACAAGCTGGGTTTCGCCCAGCAAAGAAGGTGACATTTTGTTACCATAAATGGTTGTTCTACTTGAAATTTAAGAGTGTAGTTATCAGTTAACCAAGGATACACTACATGCAATTGGTTGAAGGAACTCCCGTTTTTTATTTCCAGGTGGACGTCACTTCCGGGCTTCCGCAGGGAAACAAATCACCTCGAAGGTGAGGAAGCACAACCTCGCAACGTTTCAGGCAGAATTGGGGGGGTTGGTACATGGAACTGGCCACAGAGTGTTGATGATATGCCCGGGAATGCCCGGGGCACCCAAAAAAAAGTCTCCGTGAAGCTGTGAATGACTCTGGGAATTTTGTTGCTTCGAGTCAGAACATGTCAAAACTATAAACCTGAATATCGAGTCACGCAATGAACATTGAGAAGAAAAACATCTTATGACCACCGGTAAATAAACATAGCTGTGGAAGTCCATGGGTTTTCCCAAGGAAAATGATGTACAAACGGCGTTTTTTTTTTATGGTTTTGTCCCATATCTATCTCAGTTTACCGGATGGTACTGGTTCCCCAGATGCAAGGGCTCCAACCACTTCAGTTTCCACGGCCTGAGGATGCCGCAGAAGCCGCTGGTAGCCCACAGGCAACCATCTTGGTGCAGAAGATCGATGAAAAAATGAAGCAGACCGATGCTTGATCTGTCAACCCTTGCTGTGAAAGAAGTTCAGAATTGGTACGGATTATTACGGTATATGACACGGTGTTATTCAAGAATTGGCACAACTCTCTGTGACTTTGATTCTTGGGTTCTCCTTTCATTTGCTCCTTGAATCTAGCTGTCTTTTTCCATGCACTTTGGGAATCAGAAATTTGGTGTGGAAGTGTTTTGACGACAAAATGGTTGGAACCCTTCGTTGAAGCTGCTAGATGTTGCTTTAGGTGCCAACCCCATCTGAATCCAAGGTACAGTTGCACCCTTGAGTTTTTGAACAAAAAAAAAGTCCGAGGTCGGATTCGAGTTGTCCACTATTGTCCACTGTTGTCCAGCCTTTTGTCCCTATGTTCAAGGCTTTCAGTAACATCAACGGAATCAACACATAGATTTAATGGTCCTTTCAGACAGCCACTTGATGTGTTTCTTTCATGGCATTTGGTGTCACCATTTGAACTCCTGGGCTTGGGGTTCCTAGATCTTCATTGCCACCATGAAAATGGATGTGCGCCCCAATTTATTATATTTTTTTGATGTCCATTGTGTTTTTATTCAATTTGGGTCCATTTTTGTGTAACAACATCAATGCTTTGCGGGTCAAGGTTCAGAATATCCCCACCTTGAGACCGAGGACGGTTCTCTCACTCCAGAGATGCAACGCGCGTTGGATTTAGCCTTTGAACGCTGCACCACGCAGCAGGCGGGGCGTTGGAAGGGCATGGAGGGTCCTTGGGATCAGGTCATCATGTGGCAATGGAAAATCAATGAACATGTATGAACATGTCAATAGGAACATACTGCGGAACTGAGGAATATCATGGAATATCCCATTTCTATGTTTGAATGCCAAAGGATATACCCTCTGGTAATTTAACATAGCTATTGAAAATTGCCATTTATAGTGAGTTTTCCCATTAAAAATGGTGATTTTCCATAGTTATGTTAGTTTACCAGAGGGTAGGGGTACCAAGAAAATCCCCAGAATCCAGGGCGCATGATGCCAAGTGTGGTTAGTGACTCTTAGTGGGGCGAATTGGACAGTCCGCAGTTCTGTGGGCAGGTGATGAATGCGGAGGAGGTTGAGAAGTTCCTTCTCAAGATCAACCGTCAACTGGCCAAACAAAAGACATGTAGGATTGGTAAGACTTTGGGATGGTCATCTCTGCAATCATTTAGAATTCACGTTTCATCTGTGATAATTGTTTTTTGCAACCCTCATAGTAATCAAAGGAACAAATTCGGGGCAAGGATTACCATCTGCTATTTCAACATATAGTCATGATTAGCTATGGAAAATGCATTGGTCCATGGTCCATTTCTATAACGTTACTGCAAATATGCCCACTTTTCCTATGGAACTCTAGTAGAGTTCCATGGTCATTTTCTCTGATTTTTCAGCCTCCAAAATGAGGAAAGCTGGGCCGTGGCAGCGAGTTTCGCTTTGCCTCTTGAAGTGAGGGGTGGTTGTGGGGGCAATGCACTTTGATTCAGCCCCGGATGGTAAGATGAATCACAACATCCTATGTTTTTTTGGAGATGATGGATGATTACTGTACGGATACATTGTTTTGTTATTTGACAGGTTACGTGATGTTGATCACTTTAGCGTAGTCAACATCTTGGAGCTGAATCAACATCACCAGACCTCGCAGTTTCAATCTGCGGCGCAGGTCGAGAAAGTCTTTGAGACGAAGGGAAAGAGACTTGGCCTCAACCGGCAGAAAGATACACTCAGAATGTGATGTTCGTACCTGTTTGTCAGGGTCATAACTGTATAAAAACAAAACATAACGAATTAAGGATGATAAACAAAATATGTTGATATAGGCATGTTTTCCTGAACGTATTATGAAACAATTCCTGTGGAACTTATCGTGTTAATGAATAATGAAAGAATGGGAAGAGACTGTGTCCAGTAGCATTTGTAAATACATGCATAGAAACGCCAATAAAACAAACAAACAAAGTAAGATCTATTCCTCAATTACTGTAGTACTTTTGGGGGGGGCCAGTATGTGAAACAATGTGTATTTCAAACAGGCGGAGATAGACAGAGAGAGTGAAATATCCGTGCCTGGTTCACCTCTGTCATGTTTCAGGCAATTGTTTTCCCTATTTGACTTTGATATTATGTTGAAGCTCATGTATTGCTCGCATGATAATTGTGCATCCCAGATGTTCAATCGTCTATATGTCATTCACGAGTGTATCGTGTATGATATGATAATGACAGATCTAGAGTCTAGAGATTAGAGCATGTCCAGACTGGCCGTTTTTGTGAATGCTTCAGTCATTATTCCGTCATTCTGTTGCGGTGTGCATGCTGCGCTAGGAAAGAGCTTTCGCGTGAGGAGTTCCATGCCTTGTATGCCGCCGAACTTGCAGACACTTGGTGCTTCCTCCGGTCTGATCCGGAGTCCAAGGGAAGATCCATTCAGATATCCTTTGGTAATTTTAGATAGCTATTGAAAATGGTCATTGAAAAATGTGATTTTCCATAGCTATGTTAGCTTATCAGAGGATAAACCAACAACATTTGGAAACCCAATCAGATCAGATCAATACCTCCGAAATATGGTTGATATATATATATATATATCCCATAGGATCCATGTATGCTATATATGGTAACATGGATCCCATCCATATACCCCCTTTATGTTAGCATAGATACCAGCACCATGGATCCGTCATGGGTATTGAAATATATCCTGAACTCCAACCCCCTTGCTAGTGAGTCACTGATAAAATATGGTTCACGTGGACGTCCAAAATCGGTCAAAAAAAATGGACGTTGAAAGAGTGGGCTTAAAAAGGGAGTGATACCCTCTGGTTATGACTAACATAGCCATGGTATAGATGGCCCATAGAAATAGATGGTTTACCGTTCTTAAACATGGCTAAAATGACTAAATCAGCTGGTTATGTTAGATATGTTACCCTCTGGTTATGACTAACAGGGCTAGCCATGGAAAATGATGGCCCTAATCGAAATAGATGATTTTCCCAGCTAGAAACACCTCCATTTATTGGTTGGGATTTTCCATGGCGAACTGTTAGTCATAACCAGATGCTACTCCAATTTGAATAATTTCAGTTTCAATATGTTTCAATGAGAAAATGAGGAAGAAAATGAGGAACAAAAATTATGATTGACCATGTTTCTTTTCTGGATCCTGGATACCCCGGTTGTTTTTTTTCGGGACGGGTGACCCAGGAGGGAAAGTTTTGGGGCGTGGAGCACGACCTCCGAGAGTTGTTGGGTCACTTGGTTACGGCGATCGTTGCCACAAGGGCGATCGTTGGTGCTGGGACCTGCTGGGACCTGCTGGGACCTGCTGGGACCTGCTGGGATTGGAAATTCCAAGGGAAGTTCCAAGGGGTAAGTTATGGCAAGTGAGGCAGTCAGAAGTTTTGATATGTTTTGATTAGCAATTTTGTTTGGTAATGTCAACATGATGCGACATATCACGTCTTAATTTGGGGGTGTCTTGATGCTGGTACCAGTTGAACCCTGAAGCTGCCTTTTCTCCGCTTTCGAGCTTAATTTTGAAGCTCACTGTGCTGGATTCTATCACACCCTCGTCAGTTGGGACACACCAGTCTTCAAGTTCGGGATACGCAGCGCCATGAATTTGTATGGACCTGTTTCATCCTGCCCTTGCCCGGTCCCTCGTTTTTTTTTGGGGGTTTCCAATGTCTCAAACTCGCAATGAGGTCGCGGCATGGCGGAGCCATCGGAGGGTCCCTGCGAGCTGCGCTTCGACTATGTCTATTTCACGCCTAAGAACTTGACGCTTCTGGGGGTGCAGCAGCAACCTGTCGGAAATCGGGACTAGCCTAAGGTCAACGAAGAGATTGATGTGGACACTCACCATTCTTGATAGGTAAATCCCGGAAAATGTTCTGTATAGATATTGGACAATGTTCCAGATCACTGTTAGTTTACCAGAGGGTAATTGCTCTGGAACTGGGAAAATCTGAGAAATCCTTTGTTTTTGTTTGGGGGACTGGAAGTAACTAGAGATTTAAATCTTGAGATACATACTTGCGGGTGCAGTTAGTGCAGTTCCAGTGAACTGCGTGGAGATATTTCACGATAGTTGTAGAAGCTCCAAACCCATAGGATCCATGTATGCTATATATGGTAACATTTACCATCCATATACCCCAAATGTTAGCATATATACCTTACATGGATCCTATGGGAAATCCAACTGATGGTAATCAGAATCATTCAGAATCCTGTGGTTAGAACCATTAAATCATTTGTCAAAAAACAACGACGAGGATCTTGACTGCAGAGCAGCTCCAGCAGATCCATGGCGAACCCTACGAGACCTTGCCCAACCGCTGGCATCCCTCGGACCACTTGCACCTTGATTTTTCGGCTGAGTCGGGGGGATTGGATGATCCCAAAGCAGAGCTTTGCTGACATGATCCATTGACAAGTCTGAAAATGATGTTCCTGGGGGTCAGTTTCTGTACCACCATCATGTTCCGGGTGCGGGAAAAACTAATTACTCCCACGTGTATACAAGGTGTAAAGCAGCCAAGAAGTGAAGGGATTTTAAAATTATGTTTCCTTCAGCTGTGCTGTGGAAATAGATATGTGTCATGTGGCCCAGATTGTATAGTTGCCTGTCATCGTTGATTTTTTCTAGAATCAAAGGTCCGGTACCTACCATGGGGGTACAAAGATCCATATTAGTGCTCATATGTTTGGTGGGCATTGCTTGAAACATAGACGCCACATATATACATCATTATGGATCTGCAATTCAAGTATGTTGTACCATAATTAATTAGTTACATGTCCATTGAACCCCAGGCATGTTGACCTATTTTGACTCCCTCTGTGCTCTTTGACACCTGAGGCCGGTAATCGCTTCCTTCGAATTGGCTGCAACGTGCTGTGGTCAAAAAGGCTGCAGGCTGCAGTGCTTGAAGTTCGTGCGCGAAGCTAGGGGATGATGCCAGCATATGACAACCCCCCAAAAAGAACTTGAAGTCATCATGAGTTACAAAGGAAACACATTTCTCTCGCTCCGCCTCTCACTATCTTTTTCATAATATGATCATACTAATCTGTTGTAGCCGGCCAGGATTCTACACTTTAGGACTATGTCACAGTGTGCTTCATAAAATGCGTCGTACAATGAGAAAGAGGATGTGAGCAAAGCGAAAAAAAATGTAGATGAGCAGAACCATCCAATACCATCCAGACTATCAGAATGAGGTATTACCAATGTATCACCTGGTATTTCCAAAACTATCAACGTAGATAACCTGCGGTTTGGTGAAACTACACGGCTTCAGGTTGGACGAAGAGCAATGGATGCTTGGCAACCAGGACGATGGGCGTTTCGAATACTCGACGATATCCCAAGTATCATGTGTTTTGACACAATGGTTTGTATTGTGGGAAACTGATGGAAACTGATGGAAACTGTATCTCCCAAACTCAATCCCTTTTTTGGCGGGTGCAGAAGACACGAAAACAGAACCGCTGACGAGCATGCGGGGGGGGCGAATGATCAAACACTAAACCTTCATTCGGAGGAAGGGATTAGATCCTTAAGATTCCTAAAGTATACCCCATAGGATCCATGTATGGATATGTATGGTATATATGCTAACATTGGGGGTATATGGAGGGTAAATGTTACCATATATAGCATACATGGATCCTATGGGATATGTACATCGCCCTGCAGCATATTTCTCCGATTTTCTCAGGAAGGAGCGCTTCTCGGAGCACGAAGTCTGCGTGGACAGCCTGCGGAAGATCGGACACACGGTGCGTTTTGGAGTGGACGCGCGGGAGGCGCAAGCGCATCCTTGGAGGGTGGGGAGGATCCCATTTTGGGAACAGAGATTTATCCACTCATGTCTAGCTAAAACGTATGGGGAGTGTTATGTTTTACTTGTGAGTTCACGTCGATGCAGTCCACAGCCTTTTGATTTTGGATATTTTGGGCCTTACTTTGCCTGTGCAAAGTGCAATTGCGCACTTATGTGTGGGATCTCCTGCCGCAGGAGAGTTGCGCGAAGTATTCCATGGTGATGTTTAACTTCCCCGCTGTCTCCATGCAAGACTGCAAGGATGACAAGGCGGCAACACTGCAACGACCCACGGGGAATGCGGGCGGTTATGACTTTTCAATACTTTTGATGTACTGTGATTTGGTTCTCCAATATGTTCAATTTGTTTTGATGTATATTCTAGACCATTGCATGATTCAACGTTTTAAAACATTACACACACACAGACATATATATATATATACCCGGCCATGCTTTCAAAACACCTTGTTTGTTTGGCCCTCTCATGTCTCATGACACCATTCCCAATTTCATGGATGTAACCCGCGGAGTTACACCCACCCCATATTTGGCCACAGGATTTCAAGCCAGAGAAGGCAGGACAGATCAACGGCGAGTTGATCCTTGACTTTCTGAAGAACGCACAGGCGCCTGGTGCTGACAGTGATAGCAGTCGATTCTTATTGTTTGATGGGTATGAAACCCGGGAACCATCTCAATTCCAGCAGTTTCTAAGTTGCTTTCATGCTGATTGTCGCATTTTTGCGCGTATCAAATGGCACATAATGATGGCATCATATGAACAATTGGCTTCAGACTGGAAGAGGATTTGACTGCCCAAAGGGCAAAGCAAAGAATGAAACTTCTCCACATTTGGAATGTTGGCTTTTTGCTTCAGAAATCTAATCTGGACCAAGAGTCAAAGTCGAAGTTCGCAAAACTATTCTCCATTCTCCCAAAATGTCCTTTTTTTTTCACTGAGTTTTTTTCCAAATGGTTAAAAAAAACAAAACAAAATATTGGGTGGCCCATGTTATTTTCATTTTTTTCAACAAATCTGATACTTAGATGGGCCGTGGAGTTAGTCAACTGGTGACCACAGGGCTAAAAGCCGATATCAACATTATAAGGGAACATCTCACCCAGTTGTGGTCACCATTTGACTAGCTATGTTTGCATTCCTTTGGTAAAATCATGGAACATCGGAACATCCTAAACAAATCCCTAATGAAATATCACAAAATAATCGAAAGTCTATTTCTTGAAGTTTTGCATGGTAACATCCAACAGAATCCACATTTTTCCATGCTAAACTCACACAGAATCTACAAAATTCCCATGTTTTTCATGGCATTTTTCTCATCCCACACCGGAACCAGGCCACCTGCGATCCTGGCACCCTGCTGATCGTGGGACTGTGGGGTCGTTGCGACGGCCTGGCGGATCGACGGCTCTATGGCCAGGTGTCTTCGGCAGGATTTCAACGGGGATAGCGATGATTTATGGTGGATTTATAGCGGATTAGCGATGAAGACATATGATCAATGGAGGTACTGTACTATATAAGGGCAATATGTTCTAGGGATATTCCCTTACGTAGGCCTTATATATGGTAGTTACCTCCAATTTAGGATCCTGGAATTCCCATTGATATGACACAAGACAAAAATGTTGACTACCAAGTTGAAAACATTTACCCTCTGGTTATTTAACATAGCCATGGAAAATCCACCCATTTTTAGTAGGTAAACCATCTATAAATGAGCAATTTTCCATGGCTATGTTAAATAACGCGAGAGGGTATGCCAAGTTGGGGCTAAGTTGATGATGATGATGTACAAAACTTGGTGAATCCGTTGGTATTTCGATGCTTGAGGGGGGATAGAACTATAGTATTCATGGGGGTTATATACCGAGCTGCCTCGTCTTGTAGCTGATTTATAGTAGCTAACAAGGTTTCTAACTTTAACTTGTGTTTTTCTGTGCAATACCTAAGGGCATAGGGGTTTAAACATTGCAATGGTGATATCAATTAGGGGAAAATTGTGACATTTTATGGGTCGAACCACCAAAAATATGGATCTAACATGATCTAACCAACCAACATGGGGGCGCATTGCTAACATACTGAACATCACCTCGAAATCCGACACTTAACCTACAGTACTTTTCACCCTTCACGTGGAGTGTTTACAATTAGGCACCATAAAATCCCCATTCATTTGAATTCGCTAAATGAACGTCTCCAACTGGTTAAATAACCTCGTTTTCATCTAGTGGGGTGATTCGTTTTTTTTTTAAGCTTTTTCCAGAAATTTGGTGATTAGTGTTTTTTTCCACTTTCCTTCACCCCAACTGGCTAAAAAAACTAATCACCATTTCTGTTGGTGTGATTCATCTGTTGGGATCTTCTGAGGATGCCCACGAATTGATCGCTTCCGCTTTGAGTGCTGACGCTGGCGCAATGGGTCTCCAGTTGGAAGACGCCTTGACAGGCGTTTGTTGGGCTGGTCCTCAAACATCGTTGAGGGGTTGCCGGCATCTCTTTTAACCAATGATAAGCAGTGGCATACCACAATTGCCCCTCTATTGTTCACAAAAAAAACTTATTGTTGATTTCCCCCTGCTGTAAACCATGTGAAGACCACCATTATTCAGAACAAGTTTGGACATGTTTAGACTCTTAGACCATCAAACACGTACAGTATGTGTTCGGACCAAGAAGATCGGAGGTGTCACCAATCAACCTGGGTGAGGTTCCACAATTTCATGATGTTACGTGTGCTCTTATGTACGATGATGGACGGATCCTACATGCGCAAAGTTTAGAATGCTTAGAAGAGTTGAAACAGCAACATGTGACAATGTGTACCTTGGTTTCCTAAAGAACGGGTGGTGGTACCCCTGGTTGAATACTCGTCTCCGTTGAATGGACCCAGCTGAATTGTCGTGTTGGCACATCTTGGCCATGTTTTGACCATGTTTTGCCCATGTGTTTGAAGATACCCTCTGGTAAACTAACATAGCTATGGAAAATCACATTTTTTTTAATGGGTAAATCCACTATTTCTATGGCCATTTTCAATGGCTATGTTAATTTACCAGAGGGTATTTGTCCACTTGCCTCCAAAGTTCCCAGCGAAAACTTCATCCCATCTTCAGTTGGCTTTCTGCGGAGCGGCGTTCATGCGGACTACAACTTCTACAAGCGTTATACAGAGGAGACTTGGGCTGTGGTATTGTTTCACCAATGGGTTAAAGAAGTGACATTTTGAGCCAGGAAAATTGGGAAAGAACAAATTGAAGAGCCACATTTTAAACATGTAGATTCCTGTAAATATTCAAATTTACCCAAAGCTGGGATCAAATTACCAGTTGAGTAAGTAGCCTAAAAACATCTGAGAACTGTGAATCCATGGAAATGCGCTGAATATATTGGCCCGCCGGCAAGGTTGAACTCAGTTAATTTTGTATGAAGTCACCCCCCTCCATTAGTCAAAGATGGCAATGGGAAGCTATGGGAAGCTCATTGCTGGAGGGTGGCCTGTCAATAGCCGCTCCGGAATTATTCTGCGTGTCCGTCTTCACCCAAGACATACGCGATACGCGAAAGGGAACAAAAGGAGTGACTGAGACTGGCATTCATTGCCAGTTAAATCACCATTTTGTTGGGTTAAACCATCATTTTGCTTGTTTAAACCAGCATTTGGTGAAGTTAAACGTTTAAACCACCATTTCGTTGGGTTAAACGGTTAAACCACCACTTGGGCAACAAAAAACTCATCGAAATCTTCAACCTTCGCCCAGCGCCTTCGCCCAGGAAGGCTATGCCTTTCGCAGCAGTTCCGGTTCCGCTTCATTTGATTCTTGGGCCACGTTTGCGATTGGCGACGGTGGAACAACGCCTTCAAAGAATATAGAAAAAACTGGCTGAGAATGGATTGGAATGGCTAAACCATGCCAAACCTTAATTTGACTGGGGATGATTATGTCATGTTATGTCAGGTCCTGGGACTATTTGGGGTTTGAAGTCATCCCAATGTCACAAAGAACTAATTACATTCGGGGATGAACCTAAAGCCATCACAAACAATCCTTTTGTGGTCCTGTTGAGGCTGGTTTCCCATTGAGTTTGCTGCATTGTTGCTTAGTTTGGTTATATAGGAGATTTATGTTTATTTGGTGTTGTTCTGTCCATTTCTGTCCTATAGGAGTGTCAAAGCACATGTTCCAGTGGGGTTGAATTACCAAGCAGTTCTGCGCATGACCAGGGTGCCAAAGAACATCAACGAAGCATTGTAAAATGTGGTGACAGGAAAAATATTATATGGAAAAATATGGGCTACATATTTTGCTCAGCGGGGTCTCGTTAGCGTTGCCTTCCGAAGTGCCGCTTAACTGAGGAGAGTTCGCATAAAGAGTGGCACCTTCAGGCCTGTTTCGTGCTCAGAGCGGTCGCCGCGGAGCAAAAGAAATTTCGGGACGACCGGCTGCCGCCGGCTGGGAGGGTGAGCTCTTAATGGGGCTGGAGCTGAAGGCCGTGCGAAAAGGATGAAGTCATGATAGCAGTGAGGATGATGTATATATATAAATATATGTATGTATATTTAATTATACATAATACATGTTTTTAATGTGTTTTGCCATGTTTTGCCAATTGAAATTCAAGATAGAGCTCACAAGAGTGACTGTGACACTGATTTGATCGGAGCCCTCAATCCCATCTTCGATGGATCATGACCGTTTTGAAGCGCCCAGTTCCCATTGATGGGTTGAACCCCGCACATCTCCCCTCAAGGAGTTCAGGGAATTTGTTGAACCCGTACGTATTGGTTGATCAAATCCTTCATTGATTGTTGAAGACTTCCCGCTTGCATGGACCTATAGCAAGCCCGAAAGAGATAGAAAAGTCAGAATCTTCCAGATCTTCCAGAAATAAAATGGTGAACAAAAAATCACATGTTCATACATGTTCCATTTTTTTGGGTGCTTTAAAGAACCCCCAAAAAGCAATGCCAACATCAGACCTCCGAGGCCCAACTGACAGAGGATCGACCCATCCTCCGGTCGACTTCTGAGAGCGGGCCGGCGGCTCAAGTGACAGGTCACTTCGGAATCATTTGGTTTAACAGTTGGAGATGTAATGGGGATATGCTGGGATATACTATGATATATACATAATTTATCATAATTTATATATTCAATATCATGATTATCATGGGGATATACCCATATACCCATTAATTATTAATAATTCATCGGACTGATTACCCAATAGCGGGATACCAGTTCTTCTTCGGTAGTCGGACCACCTCCCCGGCAGGTGACCGAAAAGAACATGTGCCCAGCAGATAACCGTGATAACCGCTGTTGGTAAACCACTTGGCGCCATGATTTTTTGCCACCCACCAGTTATAAATTGGTTTATCACCCCGTTTCGCTGTAGATTATATCTTATATATATATATTATTATATTCTATATAAATTATATATATAATATTTATATATATATGCATAAATCCGGCAGCTTTGCGCTGCTTTTTTTCTCAAGCAGCCTAGCGAACTGTTAGGGGCACCGTGCTGGAAAGCTCCATAAGTTGTTGTTTGGGTGGTCAAAGCTCCCGGTCACCAAACAGAAATGGCTTAATGATGTTATCACTGGGGTGTTTTAATGGTAATAGTGGTTTGAATCATGTTAAATTAACCCAAACATAATGGTTAATTTACTGATTATGGTTGATATTTGTTAATAATGGTGATACTATATCTGGTTGGTGGTTTCAAACATGGCCTTTATTTTCCATAATATATATATATATATGGGATGTCATCCTTCCCATTGGCGAACTCCATCATTTTTCAGAGGGGTAGGTCAACCAGCAACCAGCTTAATGATGTGACTGTACATCGTGCTCTTTGCGTTTTGTTCTACTAATGACTCATGAGGGGCGTTCGGATTTGGCTCCTCAGCAAATACTGCAGTGGCTCTCTGTAATGTCATGCTTCTCATGTGTAGCGAGGTTGTTTGGGCCCTGATTTCCCCACAGGCATCTTGCATCAAGGTTTTTTTCCCCTCTGAAGGATGGTTTTTCCTTGATGATTTGTGAAACTCCACGTTTCACTTGTGCTCAATGATTCATATGAATTCCATACTGAATTCCATACAATGCTAAATATATGAGAAACACGGTGAATTGGCACCCACAATTTTGAACCATACCTATGTGTTTCATCTTTGAATCTTGTGTTGATTTCTTTTGTCTCGGCAGCTGAGGCTGAAGCACATGAAACGTTACAAGGAAGCCTTATGTGACAAGGTGCAGGAAAGTTCTCAGGGCTTGTTGGGCCATTTGTTGGTTGGGCCATTTGTTGGAATTGTTGTTGGAAGAAATGACTCCCAATCATAATAGGATTGCTTCAGCCAGACAATGTATTTTGCTGATACTTCTATCAGTGAAATCAGATTCTATCATGTTGTGATGGTTTAAAAAGTGGAACGAAACCAGACATTCCGAAAAAAAGGTTGACATTTGATTTTGGGAACTGTCATGCAGCATTTGTTTTATCCCAACAATGCCTAGGAAATCAGCCAGACGGCAAGCCGGTGGTGGCTCAGCAAAATGGGCTGCTGAAGAAAATATCACCATGTCATACCATGTCAGCTTTGTGGAAAACATATGTTCATGTGTTTTATTTCCAAGATTATGGGCACGTATAAGTAGAACATAGCAGAACTAATTATGGGTTGTTTTAAAGTTTACATTATACAGTGCTCCAAGATATTCCAACACAAATTCCAACATACAACATAATTACTCAAAACCCCACATATTCCAAAACTGAGTGGGTATTGGTATCTGGTTGGTGGTTTGGAACATATTTTGGAATACGTTGGGAATATTAATCCCAACTGACTAATATTTTTCAGAGGGATTGAAACCACCAACCAGGTATGCTTATATTGTATTTATATATATTTATATTTAAGCAGTCGCAGATCGTTGACGCCAGGTGCACGAAAAGGATCTCCACATGGAGGAAGGCAAGAGAGGTGTCAGCTTGGAATCCCAGTTGGAACACTGGGCCAAACGAATGCCTGCAGGATGGGGCCCCGCAGTTATGTTTGTTGGTTAACCATGACAAAACCCCCATGAATTCTAGTTCGCTATATCTACCATAAACCATAGAATTCAGCCACTTATAAGACAACTGAACGCTATCTTGGGGGCCCCATCTTTCTGAACTTTAGAAAAAAGAAATCAAGCATGAAATCCCCAGCTCCTGGAGGACTGACTCTTCCACCTGGATTGGGCCATCATGTGAAGCTTGTGATTGGATCCCCAATATCACTGAACATGTGCCAAAATGATTGTTGAATTTTGAATATCCAACTCTCCAATCTCCAGGGTCCATGATTTTTGCCTATCCAGTTGAAGCACCTGAACAAACCACCACAGTGGCATCACAATCAGGTTCAGATCAACCAGTGCAAGCCTCGGTGGGAAATCTTGGCAATAGGTGTGGCTTGGTCCTTTGAGAAACATTCATAGCTAGGGACATTGGTTGAACACGCGAAACATTTGGCTTCAGTTGAATGCTTATCATGTATAATTGTGTTGTGAGGCTCTTTAGTCATGTCGGATATTGTTGGGTCCGTTTTGCATCATATCCAAAGGTATGAGATCATGGAACCCAGAGGTCGGCTACTTAAACAAACTTATTTCCTATCGAATGGGAGGGACACCTAGAAAATCCTCCAAGTTTTGCTGGTGAACTACGTTTTTTTTGTTTGTTGTATATTTTATATGTATATCAGAACTAATTATTCCCGCAGAACCAGACGTTCGCCCATGCTTACATAATCTCCTATTTTTTGCCACGATTTTAACAGTTCTCTCATCCAAATCCACAGGGATTCCCTCCATTTTCCATTATTTTACCATTGGTTCCATGATGTTGCATTGTTCCCACAATGTACCTATATTGAATCATCTTATGTTATATGTTCTTCCGTCATACTACATCATTACAGAAGGATAGATATAATTGCCACCTCCTCAACAATACGTACAAAGGTCTTATATTGGATATATATTATGCTAATTTTTTTCCATCATATTACATCATTGCAGAAGAATATATATCCGCCACGCCACCCCTCAAACAATAAGTATCAAGGTCTTACAATGATTATATACTATCTAATCCAAAATGCAAGTGCACCACGAGGGCCGCATTCTGCGAGAAAATCTAGGATCCGGGAGAACCAGAAATTTACGTCAAGAACCATTCCACGACTTCGTGGGGTCTGTTGAAAACTCGGGTCGTTTTACCCGAAAAAACATAGGATCCGGGCAAACGCCCGGATCTGTGCATAATTGTTAATATTCTGGAATTGTTGGTGAAGTATCCCACTATCCGACCCGCTTTATAATACGGCCTATTTAAAAAGTAACTGTTGCTTTCTTTCTGTCTTATCAGTCAGATATGTTCTGCCATTCTTTTGGCTGGATAAACCACAAAAAAAATGTACCCACTATTGATGGAGAGAGAGAGAGATTTTGTTTTTAATAACCACTAGTTAAACCCCTACCTCAAGTGTCTCTCTGATAATACATAACCATATAAAACAATAATATATATATATGTGTGTGTATATATTATTGATCACATATATATATATTTAGAAAGAGAGAATTTATAGATCATATTGGCATAATTATAGAACCACTAGTTATCTAGGTATATAACTTATATAATATTCTAATTATATCGCTAACACCTACCTCATTGATACAACACTATATTCCATCACTAGTTATGCATTGACACTATAGTGTATATAACCTTCATATCTATTTATCCAGGTAATATTTTTGCGAGGTAGATTATTTGCTATACCAATATCTCATGATATTTTTAGACAATAAACCAATATTAGTATACCAGATATTACCACGAATAGGATACCAGACATTAATTTATATGAGTATACCTGTATGCCGGTTACATATATCTATCCCTATATCGTTAGATATATTGATCATTGATACCACTATACTCTATCGTTTGGCATATGGATAGATATGAATAGAGTTACCAGATATACCTATACCAGCTGGTAGAAACTTTATCCCATTATCATCGCATTATTGACAGTGTTTCATTCATAGTTACCAACAGTTACCATCCCATTATCTATAGGGTTTAGCTGGTAAACGTGGTTTAGAACATGTGTTATTTTTCCATATATTGGGAAGAATCATCCCAACTGACTTTCATATTTTTCAGAGGGGTAGGTATACCAGCAACCAGTATACATATTCATTAACCATTATCAACCATTACTAACCATTATTGACAACAATATATGCCATATAACTGGTATATATATATATATAATTGATAAACATCCCATTTAATAATATTTATATCAATGGATTGGTTTAAGGGAAAATCTACAGGAAACCATGGATTTTCCCATTAAATATGGGGCTTTCCTGTAAATTTTCCCTTAAACCAATCCATTGATTATAGGCTTTCAACATGTTTCAACATGTTGAAAGCCTATCCCAACTGGGCGACGCGTCGAGGTCAGCTTCACCTCTGGCTCCAAGGAGATCATCTCCACCGGGCCATTGATGGTGCCGCCCTCCGGGCCGTCGAACTCGGCGCCGCTTGGAGATGCTGAAGACAAAGACATGGAATGGATGGGACATAAATGGAAAAACATATAATCATCCCATTATAGGTTTTATTTACCCAGATTTTTTTTCATTTACCCTGGAAAAACACATATATGGATATTATATGCATATTACCCTCTGGTAAATCAACATAGACCCTGACAATAGCCTAGGTTTAATGGAAACTAATCTTCCAACCCCGACAACTGCCAGGGTCTATGTTAATTTACCAGAAGGTATTATATACTGAACATATACTAGGGTAAATGAGAAAACGACCTCACTGCGACTGAAGTGACTGAAGCCTGGAATCATGGTTCAATAAGGGAATTCATCCCCAATGGCGTTAAGATTCAGGTGAGTGAAATATTATAATTTACCCAGATATATGGAAATAATCATGGGGATATAACTGATGTATGAATGGCCGAAATATATATATATATAGATATAGATATAGATATAGATATAGATAGATAGATAGATAGACAGATAGATAGATAGATAGATATACATATTTGTGGGGGGAATTTGTTTAAAATGGTTTTCCGATATAAATCTTGAGTCAATGTAGCCAACCAATTGGATTTGATATTTTTAGTATTTGTTCGTCTCATTGTTAATGAGATGCAAGCTGACCAGCTAGATCAAAATGTTTGCGGTGTCCTGGAGATGTTGAGCACATGGCCGACATTGGGAGTAGCATGACCCAAGGGGAACGCCACTGGCACCGTGGAGGTGCACACAACCTGCATTCGAATTAAACAGTTGTAGTTTTCTGTGGCATAAGTGGCTTCCCCTCATACCAACCCAGTTATGAATACAATCCCTTCCCCCTAATACTCCACGGTCTCCCGCCTCTAAGGATAAACACCTGGAAGAGTTTTTAGTATTAGGGGGTATTTAATATTAGGGTTCGAGGCTTCCCCCTAATAATCATGAAAAGTTACACTACCCCCCCTGACACCACCCCCCTCAAAATAATAGCTTATTCTGAAAATCCAAGTTCCTCGGATTTATGTTTGTTCAGTGCTTATTCTGGGGTGAATGTTTGTTGTAAAAACAAAGAGGCTTATTCTGACCTCAGAATAAGGATTTAGCAAGGCACCAAAAAGTGATAAACCCTAATTAGGGCTAATCACTTTTTTGGATGTTTTTCGCGCCCAAAAAAGTGATTAGCCCTAATTAAGGCTTATCACTTTTTTAAGTCTTTGGCAGCTAAATGAATTTCAGGCTGCTTTGGCAAATTCTTGCCCATGCCTCGCCTGCAACCCCCACCAAAACAGAAAAAGCTTATTCTGTAAACCCAACCAAAACAGAACAAGCCTATTCTGCAAACCCGACCAAAACAGAATAAACTTATTCTGCAAACCACACCAAAACAGAATAAGCTTATTCTGTAAACCCAACCAAACCAAGATAAGCTTATTCTGCAACCCCCACCAAAACAGAATAAGCCTATTCTGTAAACCCAACCAAAACAGAATAAGCTTATTCTGCAACCCCAACTAAAACAGAATAAGCTTATTATTTTGCATGGAACAAAAACATGCGAAAAACATCCCAAAACGAGACAAGGCTTGTTTAGGGTTTATCACTTTTTGGGGTGTTCTGAACGACCTACTTTCAGAATAAGCTATTATTTTGAGGGGGGTAGTGTCAGGGGGGGTAGTGTAACTTTTCATGAAATAATATTAAATTAAAGACCTTAATAAGAAATAAAGGTTTCTGAATAGATCAAATTACTTCTAAAATATAGTTAAAATATGTTAAAATATTGCCAAAATATTGATTTCGAAGGTTATCCTAATATTAAATTGAACTTTATTTTAAGCCTCAATTAAAAAAAATGAAGGACCCTAACAAAAAAAAAACACCCCGGTGTTGGCCAATTTCTTTAGGGTGGTGAAATCCCCAAATGGGACCTTCATTTTCATTTTGTTTTCAAAAGGGTGTCAATAACAAAAAAAATGGCCAACTTCATAAATATCCCAAAATTGAAATCCATGGATCCTAGTTCTTAATATGTGGGGGGCACATTTAGTAGGGACAAGGGATGAATTTCTAAACGTTGCAACCAAGGCTCTCCACTCGTCCAGTGTCGCCCGCCCCAGGTGGGGTTGGCCCCCTTGGGACCTGGGAGGACCTTTGATGCCCATAGGATCCATGTATGGTATATATATGCTAACATAAAGGGGGTATATGGATGGGATCCATGGCACACCATATATATTACCATATATAGCAGCACCATGGATCCGTCATGGGATGAGGTCAAGATTTGTTTGGGTATGTTTGGGGAGAATTGTTTGGGCATGTTTTTTGTGATATGGTTGGCTGGGAAAAACTAGTCTATGATAGTCTATGTTTCTTTTCTAAGATATGTTTGTTGCTTCAAGCCAATGGCGACCACTCCCCACAGTTTGTCATGAAGGGCGCCATGACTGATAGCACCGGAAAGAAATTTTAGGTACTTTGACTGACGCTTGGATACAGGTGGGTGCGTTTGAAGATGTGGGATCATCTCCTGACTAGATTCCTGGAGTTTCACCAGTAACCACTGCATTTTTTAATTTCAATACTTTCAACATCCTTCAACATATGTACAGTATCATATATGTTCCAAGCTTAGGACAATCATAGGTAAATCAAATAGATCATGATTGGCAACAAGTCATATGATGGGTAGTAAATGGCATTTTCCATTTGCCACTTTTAACATGATATTGATATCAAATGGTGGGGATTCAACCGGGGCCCAACAAAGAGGCCCAACCGGGGTTCGACAGGCGCCCCCGTCGTGGCCAACGCCTACGCCGGTGGGGCGGCTGGTGGTCTGTGGCTGGTGGTGCTGTGCTTCATCATCCTGGACGCCTTGAAACCCATCCTGGCCCCCCGGCCTTGGACGGCTTGGACGGGATGATCTCGGAGGTTTTCTGATCAAATGGTTTCGGAAACCATACGAAACCATGTTGGAAACAGCCCAACGTTCGGGGTTAATTTTGGTTCAATACTTCAAACCAGAGTTTCAAGCAGAATTTCCCTTGGACATCACTCCGTTGAGAGAACCAGCCAAAATCATGAAACATCCTGAAACAGGCCACGTGATTTTCCTTCCTATCCTGGCCACGGATGGGACATTTCACCAATCAAGCATGAGAAGACAAGCAACAAGGTGGGATTTGATTTTTTTTCTGGTTCTTGGTTGTGGGTCAATAGATTTGAAGGAAAACTTATGAGAAACCATGGTTTTATCATGAGAGACAGGCGTTGAAGTTGGCCCTGGATCTGCGGGGAACAGTTAGGTGGTACCCTCTGGTTATGACTAACATAGCCATGGAAAATCCACCCATGTTTAATAGGTAAACCATCTATAAATGGGTTATTTTCCATGGCTATGTTAAATAACCAGAGGGTAGATTGTTTTTCTTTTTGTTGGCTATCAGTTCTTTTAGCCCTAGTCGAGGGATGGAATCTAAGTCCATGTGTACCCAGCCAACAAAAGTAACTTGATTTGGAACACTTGACAAATCGGTAGGATATCATTGGGACATTGGCAGCAGGAATCTGCAAGAAACCATGTATGCATGTTGCAAATCATATCCAGCAATGATGCCATTCCAGTTCCAGATCCGTGTTGCAAGTGGATGATGGATTTAACCAACAAAAGACACATGCAGATACTGGGCAGAAAAAGCTATGTTGACTCATGTAGCGTGCGTCATATAATTTTGAATCAATATCCGAGAACTTCAGGCAAACCACAGATAATTATCGGAATGTGTTGTCCGAACAAAAGCGGGGATGGGCTTGGACGCCTTCAATTACCCCGCTGCTAGTGACAACTGCAACTGGGGAACTTCCTGGAAAACATGTTCCAACGTGAGATTCTATACTAACACACGCAAGAAACAATACTGGTTGGACAATGCCCCTTTGGAATATAAAGAAATCGGTTGCAGATGCCTAGAGCCTGTTGGCCATCAGCAGTGAAGTCAGGTCCAAGAGTCGGGGCAGAGGATTTCCCACAAACATGAGTTATAACATGTCTAAATACGGTGGATGGAAGAAATCCTGCACCAGTTGATAGATTGATAGGTGGTTTATTCCATTATTTATAGGGTTTCAACCATCCAAGGTGGTGCAGGATTTCTTCCATCCACAGTATGTTTAATATGTCCTACTGCTTCATGTTGAAGAAAAACATGGACCTGATTGGTGGTTTGGAACATGGCTTAGCCATGTTCCATCATTTTTAATGTTATCCTTCCCATTGACTTTCACTCCATCATTTTTCAGAGGGCTAGGTCAACCACCAACCAGGGACCCCATGGCAAGGTGACCTGGGCGAACCAAGGGCAGTTGGTGCCACTGGCAGCGGTTGTTTTGGATACCCGGTACGGAAGCTGGGTTTGGTAACTGGATGTAACTCGATGTAACTGGCCAAATGGGAGGGGTATTGACCACTATTTTGGCATGTGGAATTATATATATATATATGTTGGCAATTTGTTTGTTTGCTATAAATCTTCATCTCAGGATGGTTAGTCTGATTGTTGAAACATGTTAAAAACATTTTTTGGATGATTGCCTCTCCTATTGATATTAGGGGATGGGGTACCCTCTAACCTTACGCAACTCCGGCCGCTGCCATGACAGGTGGGCGAACCCAGTTTCATTCAGGGTACCTTCGTTCTCGTCCGGCAACCCAGTTTCCAACTTACCGCAAAACTAGCCCAAACTAAACAGTTGGGTGTCTGAAAATGGGGTGTGTTATCAGTATATTCTCAGTAAACATCAGTAAACCACCACAATTACCCTCTGGTAAACTAACATAGCTATTGAAAATGACCCATTTATAGATGGTTTACCTATTAAAAATGGTGGTTTTCCATGGCTATGTTAGTCATAACCAGAGGGTAGCTAATTTTTACTGGGTGCCCTTTTGTATTTTTTACTGCTTTGGTTTTGGGGCGCCATTTTTCTGAAACTTACCAGGATGCGAAGAAATCTGATGAACAACTACATGGTCCATGGCCAGGGTTCCAACATTAAGGGTTGGGCAATTCTCACCTGGATATGACGGGTGCTTATTGTTGGATTTACCATTTCTTTGGGGATGCCATTTTAGTAGCAGATTATCACTTTTTGGTGGGAATTCCCTTGGTTTTCATCAACCATGGGTTTATTAATCCAGGGTTGACATGACCAGAGTTGTTAATGATCCATCGATAGCTGGGGGGCTACAGCCCCTGAAATGAGTGGAATACCCTCCGGTAAACGTTTACATAACCATGGAAAATCACAATTGTTTATGGGTAAAAAATAGACTGTAAATGGCAATTTTCAATAGCTATGTTAATTTACCAGAGGGTAATATTTCCCAAACTATACGATTGGTTCTTATGGTTGGGTTTACCGGTTACCCATTTCTTCATTCCATTACAGCCAATTCATACAAATTACACACCTGAGTGGGTTAACCCTTCGAAAAGTAATTATTGGGTTAATACCAAGATATACCAATTGATATCAAGGGTTTACCCGTGTAATGATATATTTGTTCGCTTTTTCATTTTCAGAAACCAATAACTATAATGAAATGAACATGAATCATTATATCAGTCATAATCCCATAGTTACTATGAACATTGCTTAACATGCTTAACAGTGATTTCACCAATCAAAAAAAATATCAGTCATGTTTCACATCATTTTTCACATCATTCTCTCACCGTTTTGGATTACCCTCTGGTAAACTAACATAACTATTGAAAATGACCATAGAAATAGTGGATTTTCCCATGAAAAATGGTGGATCTTTCCATAGTTATGTAAACGTTTACCGGAGGGTAACAAAAGCCCAAAATTTTTCGGGTCACCGCAGTGATCAGCTCAGGTCCAAACCTTCCTCTCGCTGTTGGTGGGTCTTCTGATAGCTCTTGGCCCTTGGATCTCGGACGTCGGCCTCAGGTGCGGAGCGGAGTCACCGGTAGGACTGGTGATTGAAGCGTTTACCCCGTTTAACCATGAAAGATAGTACAGAAACCAGGAAAATGGAGGTTTAATAAATTTCACCATTCAAAATATGGATTTAACAGATTTAACTAGGAAGTGTTTGATTTAACCATTCGAAATACGGGTTTAACAAGGGCAAACCGTGTGCTTTACCATCAAACAAATTCGGATTTAGCCAAAATGCGTCTTGACGCAGGAAGACAAGTTTAGCATGGTGAATGGTTTAACAATCCAAAAATGGAGGTTAAACTTCCGTTCAAAAATCCCATAAAATCCCATATATGTGTTAAGAAATGGATTTTTGACTCCATCCCAAATTTGGATGTATTCCGTTCAAGCATAGGATTGGTGTGCGCCGAAATGGGGTATACCACAATTTGGGGCAGGTTTATTGTTGAACATGATTGCTTAAGGGAATATTAAGCATGTTGATAAAAGAAAAAAAGTGGTCGTTTTTTTTCTGATTTTTGAGTCAACTCCCAGGATATGTTGGGTGATCCTTGATGCACATTGGGAAGGGCTGTGGGCTGTTTACTGTAAGCCTGTTTTTTTAACTACCAACTTCATCCAACTTCAAGATCATTCCAGCAACTGACTTCTATAACTCCCACTTTGAAACCGATTTCACTCACGAATCAGCATATATATTCTGTTCTTGAAGCATGTAGATGACATGCACAAGTATTTTCAACCTACATCTGATTCCAAAGTACAACTCAATCCAACATCTTCAATGCTACATGTTTTTTCATTTTGCATTTGGAGAGAAATAATCTAAAGATTGAACAATCTACTGTACCCCTTTTCTGCCCAATTTTCACATGAATTGGTAAACTGCGATCTACATGTGGATTCAATCTACCCAGATCTCCAAACTACAGCTATCTACAGCTCCAGATTGTGAATCTAGGTGTTGAACCATGTTGAACATGTTGAACCTTGGAAATCCAAAGGAATCAGCCGCGCGCGGCCAGTTTGCATCCTGAGTGGTGTTCGCGGCTTTTGCGCTGTCTCGATCTCCAGGTGGGCGGTGGTGAGTTTCGGTCAGACATGTGGGATTTCACCATAATCTATGGGGATTTTCACCATTGAAATCCACCATTTCAATGGATTTCAATGGATTTCAATGGGATTTTCACCAACAATACTAATTATAATGCACCATTGAAATCCATTGAACTCTTGGGTCCGTTATAACTCGAAAAAGTGGGTCCAAAATTGAAACTCTGGGTTTGTTGCTGTTGTTTGAAACAGTGTATGATAAAACGCCGGACATGATCGTCTTTTGGGGATTCCACGGTCGGTGTTGGTATATTATAACCTTGTTTGTCGCTATAATATTTGATTAAACATCAGGTATAGTTTTTTTCGAACGTCCGGCACGTCCATCTATATACATTGTTTGAACATGGTATCACTCCAAATTATTCTAAATTCAGAAGATATATCATGGGATACCCTCAGCATACTATATATCATATATATATATATATATATCATACATATATATATATATGTGAATCATATATATATATATCTCACACATATGTGTATATATATATATCATATATATATAGTGTATTATATTTTTATTCTGTATATATATATATATTTATTTATTATCATATACGTTCTTCTAATATTTATAACTAAATCAATATGAAGAAATCCTGGTGAACATCGGGTCTTCGCTCAGGCCATGGTGCGACAGCTGCCAGTCCGGCCTCTCAGGGAGTTTCATGAAATTTCGCTATGTCGGGATGAAAAAGAGCACTTGAAAGTGGTTAAATAAAGTGGACTAAATAGTGGTTCAATGGTTAAATTTTATGATTTCTCCATGTTATTTTTTTTGGAAAAACCGAATATCAATGGGAATTTCAGGATCCAAAAATGGAGCTACGTTAGTACCACATTTTGGGCCATATATGAATTGTGGGGATATTCCCTGAAATTTAGGCCTTATGTATGGTAGGTAGTAGGTACCTCCAATTTAGCTTCCTGAAATGGCCATTGAAAATAGTGGTTTTTTTTTGGCTATCTGAATAAGGGTGGACTAGAAAATGGCAAGAAATGGATCTCAACAAATTATGATACTCATACTCATACTCATAAATATTTACAATACCCTCTGGTAATTTAACATAACTATGGAAAATCACAATTTTTAATGGGAAAACTCACTATAAATGGCCATTTTCAATAGCTATGTTAGTTTACCAGAGGGTAGCGTCCCAAAAATGCAAGAATTTACATCAGCACGGTACGCGTTTTGCCCATCTGGGCATGTTCTGCTGGAGATTCAGCAGGAAACAAAAACTGCACTGCTTGGTGGTTTGGTAAGCAATCATGGCTTATTGGAAAAGCCATCATAGATAGACTAAAACGGACAAAACATCGAACTTATAAAATCTGATTGGTGGTTTGGAACATGGCTTTTATGACTTTCGATACTAATTGCGAATGTCATCATCCCAACTGACGAACTCATATTTTTCGGAGGGGTTGGTATACCACCAACCAGAACAAATCGTTCAATAATTTTGTGACATTACCCTCTGGTAAACGTTCACATAACCATGGAAAATCGCAATTTTTAATGGGAAAACTCACTATTTCCATGGCCATTTGCAATAGCTATATTAAATTACCAGAGGGTAGTTCTTTGGCAATAAGTTGGTAGGAGAACTTTGATTTTTGGTCGGCACCTTTCTGGTTCCCCAACTGAGATACCGAGGTAGCGGTGTGTCTTTGTCTCAGCAAACTGCTGCTGGTTTACTCCCTGGGTCGGCTGGATGCAGGCGGGAAGGGTAGGGGGGATGGTCATAAATTCCATCGGGATGCACATATTCGACATATTCCCTACGAGGATTACCAGGATTGCAATTATTGGGATGGACGACCCCAATATACAATGCCTTGACCATGGCACATATAACTTATTATATATAACCAGGAGTCCGGGGATGGCCAGATAATTACCTTATACTTTGCTAAGTAATTACTGCTACATCTTTCCCAACTAATCAAAGAAGATGCAGGCTATCTGCAGGTTGGTGATGTATTGCTCTTGATTCTCAGATTCTCCTATCTACACGCCCCAAGGACCACATGGTTGCGGGTCATCATAGTGACATTTTTCCAGATTTGTTCACCATATGCTTGTTGCGGGTTTCCCGCTGCCGGCTCAAGAGCGATATTGTGAAAAAGGGGAGCAGCGTCTTCCAATCTTCGAGGCTCCACCCGTGTGTTCCGTTCCTTTCGCCGGGGCCTCATATGGTGTCTCCCTGCTGTTCAACAGGACTAGTAACCGCCAGCAAAGGACTAACCTGGCAAAACTTACAACATTTTTCGTTGCTAAGCACTAACCTGGAGGAAACCTCCATTTGTAGAAAATTTACCAACAAGCATCATATAGAATATAGAACATATTATAGATGATGCTATATGAGAAGTACGAACTAATTGGCACGCATTCCGTTCACCATGGTGACGTGCCCCCAAGATTCAGAGTTATTACATGATATTACATGTTATTAGTTATCATTATCCAACTAGTTACATGTATAAAGAGAGTATTACACCACAACTATTACATAAGAACCAAAAGTTGGAGTTGTGGTTCTTCTTGGTGCTGGGGCTGGGCTTGGGGTCAAACCACTGGTCCAAGCTTAGGGACAAGGTTTGATGGTCAAAACTCCAAACCAATGGTTGCAGATTTTCCCCAACGAAGCCAGTGAATCAAGCAGATCTATTCTTCTCTTGTTTGTTGCGGTTATCATTAGTTGACTTACCCTCTGGTAAATTAACATAGACCCTGAAAATAGCATGTTTTAAATGGAACTAATCTTCCAACCCCTATCTGCCAGGGTCTATGTTAATTTACAGATGGTAATTGGTTCATTACCATTTGGTTATTTAATATAGCCATGGAAAATCACAATTTTTAATACGTAAACCATCTATAAATGGGCCACCTATATACCATGGCGAACTGTTAGTCATAACCAGAGGGTAATTGACTTCAATGGTTTGCAAAAAGTGTGTTGATTCTTGCCAGCACCAAGCGTTTGCCAACCGATCCGTTTTGGGAAACAACGGATTCCACATTGATTGGATTGGTTTAAGGGAAAATTTACAGGAAACCATAGATGTTCCTATTAAATATGGGTCTTTCCTGTAGATTTTCCCTTAAACCAATCCATTGATACATGGTCAACCCAAGGCCATGCAGCCCTGCGATCCGTCTTCTGCCTTCTTTGGTTTCATGGGTGTTACCAGCGCGTGCCTGGGCGGATAGATTGCCGGATGGATTGCCTGGGCGGATCCGAGGAGGCGATCCGTGATGGGAAGCCAATCCCAAACCATCTGAACCGAAACCATCCTGATTGACATTAGATTACCCTCTGGTAAATAAACATAGACCCTGAAAATCACCAATTTTTAATGGAAACTAGTCTTCCAACCCCTATCTGCCAGGGTCTATGTTAATTTACCAGAGGGTATGTCTAAGTATGTCTAAGTAGCCTAAGTCTAAGTCTGTGAATTGCGCACTGTTGTTTGTTTTAAAGACTTCAGGGATCATATTGAATGGCTGGTTACAAAAGGATTGAGCGGCTGTGACATGCAGCCATCAATGTGCCTACTGGGTTCCAGCATCTCAGTCACATTTGCCAGGCAAAACCTGTGCAGAGGGTTAATATGAAAAACAAGCTATCCCCTAAATGCCATGAAATACCATTGAATTGTCACTAAATGCAAATTTTTATGCCACTAAATGCTACCAAGTGTCACTAAATTTGGGGGATGGGCTTCTTTTGGGGAGGCTCTTAGGGCTGACCTCACCAGACTCCGCCCCAGCTCCAAGGCTTGTGTTCGCCAACTTGGGTGCAGCTCAGCAGCAGAGCCAAAAAACCAAGAGGGATCGCCATCCTTTGTCCGGCGCAGTTGTGAACAAATCTGGCAAAGCCAACAAACAAGCCCGAAATAACCATAACAAACATTAACAAACCCTATTGACCAAACATGGATGGTAGAAACCATCTCAAACTGGGCTGTAAAAATGGCGGTATCACATGGCGGGCGAATCCGCGGTGTGTTTTTCGCGGTGTGTGGACTCCGCGGAGGCAGCGTATGGCACGGCCAAATCGGGCGTGGGCATTGCATCCATGGGAGTGATGCGGCCTGATATGATCATGCGACTTGGCTCTGGGGATGCCACTGGTGGCAGTGATCCATAGAAGGTGGTGCTAAAAACTGGAACTGGTGGTGACTGGAACATGGCTGGATTATGACTTTCCATAGATTGGGAATAGTAATCCCAACTGACTAATATTTTTCACAGGGGTTGAAACCACCAACCAGTTTAGTTTGTCAGCTAAGTTGGTTGAGAAGGTTGATGAAACTAGGCTAGACTGAGGTTTACTGTCGGGTTTATGGTTGATATATCGACCTAGGTAATGGGGTTTACACACCAACTAACACAACTGGGGGCGGGTACCACCTGGTAAGGAAATAGTGCGTTTGAACATATTGGCCACTGAGGCTGCATGATTTTTCTTGCCCTCCGAACAATTTTTGCATAAGTTCATTAATTCACATCTAATTATTCATATCTGCATACCGGAAGCACGAAGAAACATCATGATATCCTTGAATATGCAAACTTGTGTTTTTGGATTTCTTAGTTAAAGTTATATCAATACCCTTTCTCATCATACTGATACAGAACCCTTGCATGTTCCAACTTCATTGCGCGGTGTGTTCCTTTTTAGCAACGGATGTATTTAACAACTTTCGCCTGAAATGGTTCTTTTGTAAACTTTGGAAAATATTGGAACATCTACCATTGATAGATGCTTATAAGGGATAAGTACCGGACACTTCGGGAAAATCAACGTAAATCATACATCATCAAAATATGTTGGTCGCTTCCATTTAGAATATGTTTACCATCTGGTTATTTAACATAGCCATGGAAAGATCCACCATTTTTAAGAACCGCAAACCATCTATTTTTATGGGCCATCAACAAACCATGGCGAAATCCCAACTGTTAGTCATAAGATGTCATAACCATTTCCCATGGTAAGCATGGCTATAGATGGTATGTTTACTTGACAATTCTCTAAGAATTGTACAGTTATGGCCATTTACCAGTTATAACTGGTTATAAATGGGATTATACATTCTATAAATGGGGCTATAAGTACTTATAACTGATAAATGACCACAACTGTATTGAGAAAACGGCCGAAACATGCCGAAGCTTCGCTGGGAGGAAGTCGATCATCCCCGTGGTCATGGCGGGTGTGTTGGGTCCGCAGCCCAGGGGGCCGATGGGATGGCTTCCAGCGGGGATCCCCGCTGGATTCGGTGAACACGTGGTGAACATGTGGGAAAAAGCTACGAAAATTGATGATAACTGGGGATAGATCAACGATTTTATACATTTTTATGCTATTTTCTGGCAATCCCCAACAAGATTCAGAACACTGGTTCCAGGATGGTATAAATCATAAAACTAATGCATAAAAAATATCCAGGTTCCCACTTTTTATATTCCTATTCTGGGATCGCTATACGAGTAAATGATTTGTTTTCGAAATCCATGTAGCTGAGCACTAGAGAGACATGATTAAGTGAGGACTAAAACATGTTTGAAACATTTTGAAACTACCGTTATTGGAGCCATGGTTCTCCACCATCGAATACATTATTTTGCAGATCCCATCATCCTATCAACCGTTTCTGGCAATGATAGCTGGTACGCAATAAGGTCCGTTAGCCAACAGGGGGAGAACATCATAAATGGATATAAATGGAGTCTCACCAGCCGGCAAACTACACTTCGGATGGTCCTAACTTCACTAGGGAAGATAATCGTTTGCTCCATTTTGACCCGGAAGTGCACATGTAATCACATGCCAGGTGCTCACTGTGATCTTGTTGCACCAAGCGCATGTTGTGAAGAGGGGCCAGGGGTGCTTCCAAGGCATTTTGAATCGGGCCGAGGAATCTATGGCCTCATCACCGCTGTCATCATCAACGGCAAGATGGATGCTGCCAACTATTCCGCTTACTCGGGTCCCCAAGGGACGACCACAAGGGACCCCGGATATGGCTGGAGGATCATCCAACAAAGTTTTTCAACATGGGATTCACTGGAATCAGTCCTGGTTGGTGGGGTGAATAACATTGAATAACCATGGCTAATTCACCCACACATACATCAATAAATAGATAAAGAAACAAATAAATAAGCAAGTAAATAAGTAAATCTCTTTGGCTCGCCTTCAGTCTGTAACTGAACTCTTGGAGACGGCGGTGGAGAGAGATAGAGAGATCTGTGTACCGAAGAGTATGTGTACCGAAGAAGGGCTATCAACCCCTTTATCAATTGGGATGTTTCTCTACTAAGTCGTGCTTGTCCTAAATGTCGACAAAATAAACCAGGAATGGCTCCATATCCACCCGTTTAGGATCCTGAGAAAGTTGAACGCGTCCTCGGTGTTTTGGGGGCTGTGAGTGATTTGCCCCGATTGTTACGAGGCTATGCCCACCTGGGAGCCGGCCTCACTGTCGGAATGAGTCGCTTTGCCTGGCTGGACGTGAGAAATGGATAGACTGATAGTACTCAGGTTGCCGCGGAGACTCTTGGGATTTGAAATGATTTGAAGAAGCCTGCGATTGATGAACGGATTATGTTTTGCCATGTATTGTTGCAGCCATTTTTTTCGAAGGAACATACGTTTCAGCGAGACGGCATATGTCTTCAAATGATTTCAAATGTGTTTTTTTCCTCTAAGGTTGGCCATGCCTTTGCGCGTCAATTTCTGCACTTGTAGTGCTCACACCCCGTCAGGACTTAAACAAATCACATATACAGCATCATCATCATCATCATCATCATCACCATCATCATCATCACCAACAAATTTATCCATCTATCTTAGACCTATAGGGTAGCCATTTTTCACTTTGGGAAGCACTGGGCGAGCGCCACGCCACGCAGCGAGGTTCTTTGGCCGCAGGACTGGCCATTGGCATCGTGGGAGATGCTGGCGTTGCCTGGCGAGTCCTGGTGTCATCCCACATGGCTGGGAAATCTATGGAGATCCATTATAATTATGGCCCGAAATACCAGTTATAAGTACTTAAAACATCTTAAAACCCCATTTGCAGAATGTATAATCCCACTTATAACCAGTTATAGCCAATAAAGGGCCGCTTTGCTGTATAATTGGAGCTTTACCATGGGAGTCATGGGAGAATCAACTATCATTGTTATATAAGTTATATATTTATATTATCAATGGATATCAATGGTGGATTTTCCAGCATGCCATGTTTGATTCGCAAACATCAGAATAGATGAACTGTAGCAATTTGTGATTGTATTCGATGTAACTATAGTTAACTATGGACTATATAGTGAATAAATCCCACAAACTATAGATGAACTACGGTAAACATGTGGCTATTGTAACTATAGTCAATGGGATTTATCAACGAACTTAGCGGGCTGGATCTTTCACAGTTTTAGCAGTTTGCTGTCGACCTTGGCTGGAAAGTCCGAGGTTTCAATCGGAGGACGTCCAATGGTTAAACTGGTGGGGTATGTTTTGGAGTTTCCCTTGTTTTTCCGACTTAAACCGTCTAAAACCCAGATAGATGTATAAGATGTATACATGCATGCGTATTATATATATATATTATATATACACATATTATACTTTAATATATGTATATGTAAAACAATGCGTATACATATGGTTGTCCTTATGTAAACCCAATTTATAACCATTAAACTATGGCAAATGACTGACATGATCAACTGGTTGGTTTCGTGGTTTCAACCAGGTATTATGTTGAGCCCTAGAAATGGGATGATGATCCCATTTGAGGAGCATATGTTTAGACGGCTTGAAAGGGCCAACCAGGTAACAAACCAGTTTTGAATGGCTGTTTGTCAAGCCAAAAAAAATGGTTACAATTATGGGATACATTATTATATGATACTTGGGATCAACCCAGTTTTGAACGTTTTATAGCTGATACCAACCATTTCTTGTGAAATAGTGGTGGTGTTCTATTTGGACCACATTGATTGGGTCCCATGAGGTTCGCGCGAACGCGCAGCAGCCACGACTCTTCGTGGGGATGTGACTTGGCCTTGGCTCCGGTGTCATCAAACATGGGAAATCCCGGAACTGGGCAACTATCATATATACCCAACCTGGTTATGACTAACAGGGCTAGCCATGGTTTGTTGATGGCCCTAATCGAAATAGATGGTGTACCGTTCTTAAAAATGGTGGATCTTTCCATGGCGAACTGTTAGTCATAACCAGATGGCAGCGGTAAATGTATCATTATATGTTAACAATAATTGTAACTGGGCTTCATCCAGGCCATCATCAGTAAATGGAACATTTTCCATGGCCATGCTTGGCGGATTTTGAGTGATCTTCAAAGTCCCAATGGGATGGCCACCGGCGAATCCTATGGCCCAACTAAGCATACTACGTTCCTTCAACCTTACACAGGCGCAGTCAATGTATGCCATACATGGCTGGCTCAATGGGAATGTAATATCATATAATATTCTTCTTCTTTTTCTTTTTCTGTGAGCTCAGTGAGCTCCTAAGTCTTGCTTAGACTGCGCAGACTGCGTGTTTCACTGAATTCAATGCCCTGCCAGACCTGCCATGACCTGCCGCATCTTGGTTTGCTCCAAATTTGGAAATGCCTCTATTGATTCTATCAACGTGACCAGGCAGGAGGCGGAAATGATATGAAATTGATGATCAATCATTGGATTTGGGGACATCCTTTTGAAATAAAATCAGAGCCTTAAACAACACAAACTTGCATAAGACCAGGGGAAAACGTGCTGTTACAATTTGTTGCTGGTCACACCTGTTTTCCCGACAGAATGAAACATATCCCGATCATTTTTTGATTGGTTCAATCCCAGTTGTGTTTTGGGCAAATCAAACTATATATGTTGTTCGTTTTTGGGAGTTGTGGGCCACATGTTAACCCAAATTATATCAGACTTGGCCTTTTCCAGGGTGTGTTTCTTCCATGTAAACCATGTAGAAACTAGATAGTTTGTTGGTAACACCCAGCCATTTTCCCAGCAAAAACGGAGATTTTTGGATGGTGAAACCCCGAAAAACGTCGATTCGTCGATGGTTTTTTTTAGGATTTTGATCTTGATCTTCGCCGAAGCCTTGGGTCTTTATGGCCTCATTGTGGGCCTGGTGGGGTCCCAGCGGGCCACATCGGCGATGGCGTCCATGCAGTCATGGGCCAGGGAGCGAGATGTGAGTTCTTTAATGGATGATATCCCCAAACATTGGGGTTTTCTGAGGGAATCTAACCCGCTGATTATTGAGTAACCTGGGTAAAAAAACCGGTGAACTGTAGAGTTCGTGTCACCGGGCTTCCCAATAAGTGGATAAAAAAACGGGGGTTGGCACTCCATTATTTTAGTCACCAAGCCCCGCAAAGCCCATGGCCCATCCAAGTTCACCAGTACGTTACCATAAATGATTGTTATGGTTTGGGGTAACTAGCGGCAAATCACCAAAACAACACTTCAGGTTGGTTTAGAAAATGCCCAGCATTTCTAAGTCGTTGTGCAAACGTGGAGGGGTGATCCATGCCATGTTCGTCACTCTGTTCACCCCTTTGCTCCATCGGTGAAAGAGATTCCAGGTTGTGGCTTCCACGGCAGAGGGCAAGGGCAAGGGCTTGTGTGCCTTGGCACATCCAAATGGAGGTTTTCTACAACGGGGGTACCCCAATTCATCCAAAATTACACCATTTTGGTATTAAAACCTGTGGTCTTGGGGATCCCCCATTAAGCATAGCGGCTAACTGTAAACCTAATTCTAAAGCTGTTTCTTTATTGCAGGGTCACTGAATTTCGGCCTTCAAGGATTCAAGGGGATCATTGTTTTGAAAAACATAGACACTTAAACAATGCAAGGAGATGGCAGGACCCAAGCAACTAAATCCCAACTTCGACCCCGATCCCCAGGCACACCATACGCTTAGCCACGTGCACCGTGGCGTCGGGTCATGGAGCTGCCGTTGTTTGGTGGCCGCAGGGGATATCATGTCGAAGATGTGATGTGGAGAGAGGCTGGCATTGAGAAAAGACTTCCATGATGTTGGTATCTTTGAACAAAAATGCTCTGCTCCGAGCAGTTATTTACCCCATTTTTTTACACGCCCGATCTACTTGATGTTGGATGAAAGTGAGACGTATGGTTTTTGAACCGCTCAAATGAAGATGACCCAAGACGGGAGTTGTTTGAGATCTCGAAATCTGAATTGGGACCACTTGCTCCGCGTTCCTCACTAGGTGTGTGATATACGTGTGTGAAGATTTTGTGTATGTAGATATAGTGCTTAATCAAAGGGCATGTTCTTACGTAGCATACGCATGCATACGCATGTATTACAGGCATAAGTGCGAAGAAACTGCTAATCAATGATACCTAGTGTAGTTGACACCAAGGAGACAGCCGTTTTAGGAACTTATTTCAGTAGGATGAGTCACTGATTCAGCCTCTCCACAGGTCTGACTTAAAAACCACAGACGTTTCAGCGAATTTCGGCCAGAATGGACGAGCGCAAGTTGCGGAGCTGACATGGGATCCATATGGATCATATGGATCCATTGATTCTGGAAAGCTCAATTAAGACATATTAAGACTATGGTTGCAAAAATCAGTGTCCTTTGCCGATTTTAGAAGTGAAATCACCAAGCTCATATTTCTGTTCGAAGATGAGATTCCACACTACCTGCAGAGACTAGTGATGATCTCGACATTTTGGCACGAAGGGATGCTGTAATACCCCCAAAAGGTCTCATGTATATACCCTCTGGAAATTAATAGAAGTTGAGTTTCTTACCAGGGCAGATGGCCAAGCTATGTAAATTTCAACTTGGCCCAAAGGATTGCTCATCATATTCTGGCATAGCAGGAAGCGGTGCAAGTGCAGAGCTGCAAAGTGCACCATGCGCAGTGGCGGAACAGGTCAGAACTCATGCCAAAACAGAGCGGAAGCGGAAGTGGCGGAAGCGGGTTTTGAGATGGGAGTCTTTGCACCGTGGATCACCAGTTTGGACCATGGGGTGTAGGCCTTAGCCTCACTGCAGCTCAAAACAGCTCTCTTCAGCCTTAACCCTAAAGGGGATGTGTTATCCTTGGAGGCACCAAGCAAGGACTATCTTCACTTGGAATTTCTTAATCCCTTAGTCAATAACTGATTTGAGTCAAACTTTGTTGACTTCATTGCATTTCATTGCAGTCATTGCATATTCCCAAGTTGCCTAAATATATAATTACTTGGGGTAAGAAAATGTCTCTTCACAGCTCATCCCAGTAGCTGGTGGGACCAGGAACTGTGCGTGTCTTCGGGCAAGCGAGTTTGCCACTGGTGCGGTGTCCCACTGTGACGGGGTCCATAGGAAGTTGGTGAATTAAAGCAGCACGGATGCATTTGGATTTCTGCAAACCCTTCTGCCTCCACCCTTAGAATAGAATCATAGAGGCAATGTAGGAAACTTGGCTTTCGTCTTTGGGCCATGGTTTTTAGATCTGGAAATTGTGCCCATGGAAAGTTGTTGGTATTTCAGGGGTCTAGGCACGGCATAGGCATCATAGGTATAACGATATTGGAACGATGTATTGTAATGTATATTAACATGTGTTAAATTGGCATTTTTCGTACCATGTAGTACCAGTGTTAAAGGCAGCCTTATGGCAACAGCACCTTCGGGTTGCCGCAGCCGCGACTCAGGTGGGAGTCAGCACCGCCTTGTTCTTCAAACGGAGGCGTTTCCGCAGGATACCCTAGGCTAAACATAGAGAAAAATGTGGAAAATCCATGGTTTCCCCAGGAAAAAAAAGGTACAATGGTTGATTTTCGACATCTATGTTAGTTTTCCATAGTTTTCCCCATGGTATATGATATTAGTCATTGTAGTAATTAGCCAGCTGAAGAGAAAGTTGGGATTCAATCTGCAACAATTGGGACATATCAAACCAATATACCCTCTGGTAAATTAACATAGCTATTGAAAATGGCCATTTATAGTGGATTTTCCCATTAAAAATGGTGATTTCCCATAGTTATGTTAGTTTACCAGAGGGTACATTTTATAATCCAATATAGTTCTAACATGTTCTAACTGAGTAAAACAGTGGGTGTGGGTTCTTGAGTGTGCCAGCGCAAGCATAAACACAACTGCACAAGCATGACGCAATCCAGTTGCAAAACACGGTAATGTGCCACTTATGTTTCACATAGGGCATCATAGGGCCCACATATGTTTCACATATGCTGCACATACGACATACGCTTCACATACACAATCATACGCATCACCTGCGTTTCACAAACGGAAATGTGTATGTTTGACCCGCATCTTATCTGCGTTTGGCGCGCAGTTCGCAAATAGTTCGCGTGCGTTTTAATTAAAATTACTGTTTTGCATATGTTTTGCATGCGCGGTCACTTCGGATATGTATACGTCTCGGCATGGGGTCCCCAAATCTAAGTTAATGATGAGCCATGTTTAATAGGCAAACCGTGAAACCAGTGACTTGAGTTCAAGAACTCCCGGCACAGGTACACCTTGCAGCAATGGTGCAGTTTGATCGCATCTTTGGCTGTCAATCTGTGGCAGATCAAGGGCTCAATATTGGGATTAACCTGGAAGATGGAATCGGTGATTGGTTAGAAAGTCGTATGTTTGGACATACCCTGGTGTAGCCTGCAAAATATCGTTAATTCATGTTAATTATACACATTATACCCCAAAAAAAAGCGGTATGCAGGTGCTGATGGTGTTGTAAGCGATGTAATTATCCCTACTTTTGTAGCCAGTATATGCACCTCATGGCTGGCATCAATAGTCTGGTGATATGTGACTTGAGACTGAGAAGTCAGACGTTGAAATGGAATGACCCGGCTGCAAAAAAATCTTGGGAAATTGCCAGGTTTTTTGTGAATTGTATAGTTTGGATCTATCCTTCATCCATATGCATTTTTATTCTATAATTCTTGATCTATCGTTAATGGAGCATATGATCCACCCTAAAATATGATTGGTTCATATTGGATCACAACATGTTCATAGATTCACCACTCAAAAATCCATGAAAACCAGAGTGTCAGGTGTTTTCTCAAAGCATAAAATATCGACCGTTCGCCGATACCATTCCCATCGCCACGGTTTTGCCAGCGAGATCCACATCGCGAGGCCGTGTCTTTAGGACTGGTGACCTTCTACTTTGTGAAAGCTGAGGTGGGGATGGTCTTGGATTCAGTTCTGGGACTAGTTGGCTTCTTTCCATGGTAAAATCTACAGGAAACCCAATCAAGGGGTTCCTGTTTCAGTAGATTTTCCCGTAAACCAACCCATTGAGGTTAAAATGTGCATGGAAACCAAATGCCAAACGAATTTGGCGACTGGTATATTCACCATCCATTTATGGAAATATTGGGGATGGTAAACCCTGGTGGGTTGTGGCCACATTACCAGATTCTTATGGGCGGATTATGATCTAATCCAATACGCGAATGGACAAGCCATGGGGAAACCCGCCCTCAAGCAACCAGCAAGTATGGCATTATGGGGATGGCATAGAAATTGCTGTAAACACACTTGAGAAGCGCAATCCTTGAGTCAGACAATCACATGATCCGTGAATATCATATGTGCCATCGTCAAATTACATGGGTTTAATGGGATATGGTCATCCATCCCATGGTGCGAATTCTTACAATGGATGAACATCCCACCAAAACTGGGCAAGTGATGGCAAGTGACCCAAGGTTTTGACCATGACACAGATAGCAAGTCCTCAACTTGTAAGTCCTCAACTGAACGGTAAAGACACGAGATGAACAGGCGTCATTTGTCAACATCTAAATATCGCTTAAATAACCAGGGTTGGTCCCGTGCCACTACCACCAAGAAGCTCCCAGACCTCAGGGTACTCTGACGAAAGTCTGATGATACCATCCTGTTTTTCATAGGTGTTTTAGTTAGTAAACTAGCTTATATATTTGGGTATAGTGCCATAATATAGATATACAATGTCTATGCATTGCGCACATGATACGAAATAAATCCAAATAAAACAACCACCAGTGATACTTTTCAGGAGTTAAGGCAGGGTTGAAGCTCTTTGAGCAGATAGTTTCCATTGCAAAAAGCACCCAATGGCTTCAAGATTTGCTGTTTGGCTGGGGGAACTTTGCCAGATCTATGTGAAATTGACAGGGCCATTTTGATATGTTGCCTGGGCCAATTTCGAAGATCGATTCTTCTTATGTGTTGCAAAAAAAAATGTAATCAGTTTACGAGAGCTAAGCTCAGGTAAACTAAAATAAGGATAGGAAGGAAAGGTACCAGCCCCTCTCCGCCCTCGGTGTGTTGCCAGCAGCCCAATTGTCAAAAGATCTACGCCCCTAAGCCGCTGGCGTTTGGCTTAGGGGCAAGAAGACCTTGCCCACCTCACCATACACTAAAGGTTGGTTTGTGTCACAGTGTACACTGGTGGTGGTTTGATGATCGTGACTACCTTGTTGGCATTTAGCACAGGGAAAACCCAACGGTAGTATCATCATTCTATCGATCTGAATTCAGCCTGAAGGTGGCTGCATCTATTGTTCGAGTCTGTTTCTTTTATTGTGTTTGAGACCATTTTGAGACCCTGTCACCTGCAATCTTACCCAAAAGCCTTTCCCCACTAGCAACAGCAGCCCCTGACTGAAATACCCCGATCATTTATGGGTCATTTGAATGCAATGCTGCCAGCATCATATCTCTATATGTATATACCTGTATATGGGTTTGTTTAAACATACTGTGGATGGAAGAAATCCTGCACCACATTGGATGGTTGAAACCCTATAAATAGTGGGATAAACCACCTATCAGCTGGTGCAGGATTAGGGTATCCCCAAATCTCATGGTTGAGAAAATCATGTTCTTAAAATGAAACTCCCACTTTGGGGATTCAGGGGCAATCCCCCATTGTTGGACCAACCCATAAATAAATAAATAAATATATATATATATAATATATATATATATGTATATATATAATATATGTATATATACGTATATATAAATATTACATGATTGTCCATTGGATGTTGCCTACCCCATCCATCTTTAGCTAGCATTGAAAATGACACAGCGAACTTGCTGGCGATGGTGGACAAGGCCAGGCGGCCGTCCTGCGCTGTTCTCGTGGCTGGGATGCACACGGTCCAAGATAAGAAGATTAGTAAACAGACCGCTTGCAAGAGAAACACGCATTTATGAAACCTGGGGATATTGGTAGCTAAGCGTCTAAACATGACAATACGGTATGACCCAATAACTATTTCATCGATTTGCATGGTGACTGATTACATACCATTGTTATTGGGTAATCATGATGACCAATAAATATATGTATATATATATATGTGTGTGATAGTTTGACAATGTTTGATTCTTACTCAAGACTTACCCACAAACCAATTACAATATATATATATAGATATAGATATACGGATTATATACCCATTACCAAACACTAATTCTATTTAATGATGCCGGGGATGCCCTTTGGGATCAGACTTTGTGATCAGACTTTTGGGAACACCCGGGGTAACAAAAACTATGGAAAAACACTGGAACACACCTGGAAAAGCCATGAAAAACCATTGCTTCACAAGAAATTATCTATAAGTAGTTGGTTTTCCATATTCCAGTAGTACCGCACAAGGCGGTGGCGGAAGTTTCAAAAATAGTAAACCCATAGGAGAGGTGAGTTCTTGTGATGCATGGATGGCAGAGCGAATCCATTGATGGACCGAAAGGTGGTTGTGATTTTTGGAGTGGTTGCAGTGGTCATCTCACCCACAACTGCAGGATGTAGTGTGGTGTAGCGAAGTTCAATGTAATTGTAGTTGTCGTGTAGTGGTAGTTGTAGCTATAGTAGTTGTTGTAGTTGTAGTTGAAGTCTAGTGTAGTTTAGCGCAGTGGTAGTTGTAGTGTAGTTGTAGTTGCCGTTGTAGTTGTAGTGTAGTTGAAGTTGTAGTTGTAGCTGCAGTTGCAGTTGCCGTTGTAGTGCCGTTGTAGTGTAGTTGTAGTGTAGTTGTTGTAGTTGTTGTAGTTGTTGCAAATGTTGTAGCTGCTGTAGGAGTAGTAGTAGTAGTAGTAGTGGTAGTGGTAGTGGTAGTGGTAGTGGTAGTAGTAGTAGTAGTAGTTGAAGTGTAGTTGAAATGTAGTTGAAGTTGTGGTTGTAGTTGTGGTGTAGTTGAAGTGTCGTTGAAGGTGAAGTTGAAGTTGTAGCGTGGTTGAAATGTAGTTGTTGTAGCTGCTGCGGTTTTTGTAGTTGTAGTAGTAGTTGTTGTTGTTGCAGTTGTAATTGTAGTTGTAGTTGGAGTTGTAGTTGTCGTACAGTGTAGTCTAATTAGTGTAGCGTAGTGTTAGTTGTAGTTGTAGTTGTTGCAGTTGTAGTTGTAGTTGTAGTTGTTGCAGTTGTTGTTGTAGTTGTTGTTGTTGCTGTTGTTGTAGCGTATTGTAGTGTAATGTAATTAGTGTAGTGTAATGTAGCGTAGTGTAGTGTAATTAGTGTACGTAGTGTAGTGTAATTCGTGAGTGTCGTGTAATTAGTGTACTGTAGCGTAGTAAAGTATGTTTGTTTTTGCATCTGTAGTTGTAACACAGCGTGGTTGTAGTTGCAGTTGTAGTTGTCTAGCTATCTAGCCGCTAGCCATCTAGCTATCTATCTAGCTAGCTATCTATCTAGCTATTTGTCTATCTATCTGTCTTTCTACAAATTTGAAAACGAAGCAATTTTGCGAGACTTTCCTCCATTTTTTGAATTTGACTGCGAAGTTGAGTGCGGAGTTGACGGCCTCGTACCAATGCGTGTTGCGATTTTCCCACTCCACCACCTGTGTAAAGTGCTGCGCCTGTCACGCAAAATCATCTTAGCAAACCTGAAGATCTGATGCTCCAAAATGCAACCCTTCTCAGGAAATTAGCGCCCTGGCCTCCTTCTCTTGTACTGCGCCTGCCACGCGACATGCATCTTTCCGGATCCTCTTCAAATATCTTCAAATGACACACGCCTGCCATCAATTTTGAAACTGCTACAAAAACCTCACGTCTTGCTCACTTTTGACAAGGTGCACAATCCCCTGCACTTGCCACGCAAAACGACATCTGAACGTCCAAAAGTGGTCCGAACCCCTGGTGTTTTTAACATTTTGACTTCGAAATGTGCGTCGAGCCACAACTGCATGCACTTTTTCGACATGTCATCTTCCAAAAGTGGTCCGAGAATTGTGTGTTTGCACATTTTGATGGAAATGTGCTTCGGGCCACAACAGCGCGCACTTTCTCGAAATCGCAACTTCCAAAAGTGCTCCGACCCTGGTGTGTTTTGTACATTTTGACTTGGGAAACGTGCTTCGCGCCACAACGGCGTACACATTTTAGACATCTCAACTGCCAAAAGTGGTCCGAACATGTTGTGTTTTGTGCGTTTTGACTTGGAAATGTCCTTCGCGCCACAGCAGCGTGCAATTTTTCATCTCTCATCTGACTACATGGCTCCGCACCCGCCGCTTTGGCGAGCCTATTTTTTGACCCTCCGGAGCCACAAATCATTGGAAAAACACAGTGTTTCGCGACTTTCCTGCCTTTTCGCGCACCTGCATCTTCTTTCTTCTCATTCTTTCTCTTCTCTGATCTTCTCTCTTCTTCTCCTCTCTGACGCTTCCCACCTCTGCTTTTGGGGATTTCAGAAATGCATGGAAATGTTCAGAATATGAGTTTACCATAGTTTACCATCAGAATGTGCCTAAACTAACTCGTAAACGTTCTTTCAGTCCTGTGTCGTTTTCCATGGATGGGGGTCCAAATGGGTCCAACTTTTTTATGAGGGTTATTGAGCTGACCAGTCAAGTGTCTCGCTGTCCGTTGGTTGAGCTTTCGTTCGTTGCAATGGGTGCAATTCCTTCACCAAAAACAACGTGTTTAGGTTTGAATCTGTTCAAGTCCTACCGTAGATGGACGACATATTCAAACCTATCCGATACAACCCCCTCGCCCCCAAAGTTCAATGTTAATTTAGGTTTAGGTGGATTAGATTGAATGGATGAAAGAAATCAAACCCCCAACATCACTTTTGCTAACACACGCACTGAAACATTGAGATTTGGGGGTGCGGGGGTTCAACATAGTGTGTGTTGCAGGGTTTGAATATTTTGTCCATCTACTGTAGTCTCATTTATATACGGGGATTCTCATTTATATAGAGTTGGATTGGATGGTTCAAAAAGGATGTTCACTATAGATGTATGACATGTCAAACAGTCAAACATGTAGGCAGATGAGCGATTAAACATGGATGGGGTGCTGCATTGCAAGTGGATGGGATCCATAACAAAGGGCCAACAAACACCTGGGAGCTTCAGAACGAACCCCCAAAATAGTCGTTTCAACAGGAACATGGTGCGAACGGTCTGGAGTTCCATGTCAGTTTTCACGGAGGGCAGATTTTGTGGAGTGGCCTTGACCTCGAACCCACCCATCAATAGCACAGCCATATTCAATCTAAAGTTGTCGCGCCCTTCCAGACATAACCCATTTATCAACAGATCCTCCTTGGCAGAGTGACTAGACTTGTTGGTTTGGTTTGCGATTGGGAATGCCACCAAAAAGTACGTGGTACCCGGCAAAAAATATACCTGGATTCTATAGTGTTTTTGTGCTGGAATTGGAACACAAGCAACCACATCACACACACACACATATATATATACACACCATTTGGTTATTTAACATAGCCATGGAAAGATCCACCATTTTAAAAAGGTAAACCATCTATTTCTATGGGCCATCTATACCATGGCTATGTTAAATAACCAGAGAGTATACACAACTAAAAGTTCTCAGCGAAAATCGTTGCGGATCTTCGAACTTCAACGGATGTTACGCAGTTGTGTTGATCATTTCCCAGTGCCAGAAAGCATTCTGCAAAACCAGAATCTGGAATCTTGAAAACACCATGGTGCGATGATCTTGAAATTGATAACTTGGATCTACCACCCAAAAATTATGGCAAGTTTAATGGGGAACAAATACGAGGTTCAAAGAATTGGGGTATCCAAGTTTGAGAAATTACATTTTTCCGGTGAGAGTGGATGTCCTAGAATTAGCTCATGGAAACCTTATACTTACCTAAAAGCTGTATACTCTCAACCGTACTTACCCTTTGGTACTCAAACATGGCGTGCTGGAAAATCCGCCATTTAGTTTGTTGATTTTCCCATTCCCACAAATTTTGAGACCTTCATTTTTCGGTGAGAAAAACCTATCTGGATGATACCGGACGGGTATCCCCGTAAATCGACGAGTCGGTCAACGATGGGCCATGGACAGGTGACAGGGTCTGGTTGGTGGTCAGAAGCTTATCGCCCATCACAACGGTTGGTGGTTTGGAACGTGAATTGTATGACTTTCCATATATTTGGAATAATAATCCCAACTGACTAATATTTTCTTGGGATATTGCCTTTCCATACATTGGGAATTTCATCATCCTAATTGACGAACTGAACTCATATTTTTCAGAGGGGTAGGTCAACCACCAACCAGTAACAGCCAGTCTTTTTGGCGACAGAAGCGATGAACACCGGTGAACTAACCACGGCCCATCTGATATGCGCTGTGGTCGCTCGATTGTATTCCATTGTGTTCCCAGATTGGGGGCTGGTCATCCATTAACAACGATTCTTTTTATACCCATTGGATTCCCAATATGAAATGGATGACCATGAACGTGCCATGTTTTGACCCTGCTTGTAGTACATAACAAATAACTTGAACGATTTAGGGGGCCACAATTTCAAGACACCTTCATGTTTTTTTAGGGCAGCTTGAAGCATAGCCTCACCGAACTGTTTTGCATGATCGTACTTTCATCGCAGGTTGCTCACTCAAGAGAGTACTTTGCGCAAGTTCGCGTAACTGTTTAATTTTAGTTCCGTGGGTATGGGTCGACCGACGCGACGGTTGCAACTATCAGCAATCTTCATCCCACCAATATCCACCAATAAATTTCAGGCACCAAAATTTGAAGGTTTCCTAACATGGGGGTACCCCTAAATCATCTATTTAAAGGGGATTTTCCATGATGTTCCCTTATAAATCATCCATTTGGGGTACCCCATTGTAGGAAACCCCGATTTCTGACCCATACCCATTTGGAACTCGGCGCGTTGAATGCCTTTGGGATGTCATGCTGTGCTCCAACGACTGCTTCTGTGCGATCTCACCATGGTATCTGGATCCGAAGATTTTTTTGCAACACTCTCCGGTAAATTAATAGGTTTCCCATCCGAAAATGATCTATGGAACATATACATATATATATATATAAACAAATGCATATATATATATATCACTATGATATATAAATATTTATTACTTTAATTTAATATCTATATATATATAATTTAATATTTATTGATGCATAGCGTGTACATATATATATATATATATATATATGCACATAAACAGGTTTCTGCATCTATGATTGGCTATGTGTATTTACTGGAGGGTAGCATATTCACCCTGAATACCTCAGATGAGAAGGTATCTGTAGCACCCCAGAAAGCCGGGACACCCAAATCTGAAAGTGTTGATTTACTACTTTTGATTTCGGCATTCGCATTCAAAGGCGTTCTTAATTGGTTTGGGGGGGATTTCATTCAGCAATTTCAGGTATGTCAGTCGGCTCTACACCGCATGATCTTGTTCATGCCTCCGATGGAGATTCTCATGGCCCTTCCAACGGTGTGGTACCTAGCTCTCATATTCGACCCTTTCGTGGCCATTGCGTTGGTCTGCGTGCGCTTCTTGCAGTGCGGCTTCCGACTGCACCAAATGATGTGGATGTCCACCTTGCTCCTGGAATCTCCGGGATGTCCTGAGTAGCTGAACGAGAACCACCGAAGTTTCCGGGGGGATAGTTTCTGGGAAGTGAGACAATGTTCAAATTCTGTTAAAAGTGTGCAATTATAATATGCATATTGTTTCTCCGTGATGTTATATATATATATATGATATATAAATATGATTATATATATAATTGTATATATATATGATATATAAATATGATAATATATATATAATTGTGTATATATATATATTTATGCATGATGGGGATTGAAGGGAAATATCTATTTTAATCAGAATATTATGATACTGTTTTAAGCTTGAAAGTGGCCCTAGACTTGACAATTCGAATGAGGGAAATTAGTTTTTCAACCATGGGATTTGTAAGTACTCTACCTTCCCAGAAACTTATGCAGATCTAGATGTTTATTTTTTAAAAATATGAACTAGATGGCTGTACCCTTTGAGTTTCAGTTCTTTTTGGAGTTTAGATGGTGTCACCAGACTGTGTATCCCACGAATCCTTAGCAATCGCTTGCTCCCAAGGATGCAAACACCCCGCCGCCCCGGATTCATTTTAGAGGCCAACATAGGAATAGAACAGTGTTCTTGGGAATTCGCTGGGTGAAATGCCCACTATATTCTAATTCTATCGTGAGCATTTCGGAAATGAAACTCAACCAGCTGCAGGTACATCATTGCAGATCTAGCCAGGTGTCCAGCCCTTGACCGATGCTGTTCCCGACTGCTGAGTCTGCTGTTGACTGTGCTCAATATTCTCTGGCTCATGATGCTTCTGGAATCTCCAGTTGAGCCATTCTTCAAAGTCGTGTTGATGATTGGCAACATCAGCATCTGGACACATTTCGTTGTCATACCCAACTCGATGCACTTTTAGCGTTGTTGTTTCTGTTCTTGGGGGAAACCTCATATATCTATGCCACTATGAAAGTGATTATTAGCGGTGAATTTCAGGGGATCAAACTTGATCGAACCATCCAAGAAACCATCATGAAACCCAAGGCATGCTCACCTGTGACTTCATGGTCCTGTCCTACCTGTCCTGGAAACAGCCGCTGACGCTGCCACGGCAAGACGTCGGCAACGTCGGCATGGCCATGGCCCAAGCGGCGCGGCCACGACGGCCACGACCTCGGCCACAGAGGAAAGGGGATCCAACGGTGCCGATGATCATAGAGCTGGAGGCGGATGAAGCACCTGGCATTTGCTCCATTTGTTTGAGCGATCTTCAGTCAGGTGGGGATGGTGGGGATAGTTCGAGAAAAATCAAAACAGATCAATGATGATCAACATGTTCAAAAAACGAGCAAGAAGTGCCAAAGATATCTGCAGAAGCTGTGATTCTTTTCATATGGATGGGTGCAGCTTTACTTCGATGTCAACTAGAATAGTAGTTGCAAAGGTATCAAGGTCTTGATCCCTAGGTTTGAACATATGCCCTGCCCAGCGGTCATTTTCATGAGATCCCGGGGGGTTGCAGCATCAGCTGGAGCGATGCCCTACGAGAATGATAGGCTGATAGGCCATTTTCTGAGCCACCCAAGTAAGCCAGCATAAGCCAGCAAAAGGTCAACCAGGGCTTCACATCAACAATTGCAGGAGATGACGCGCAGCAACTACCATGCCAGCACGTTTTCCACACCCACTGCATTCGAGAGTGGCTTCTGCGAAGCAGCTACTGTCCACTCCGCTGCTTGAATAACTGGATAATGTGTGTAATGTGGCGGTAAACCCAACAGTACATCTAATTTGTCATTCTTGAGGTTGGTACCATCCGTTTCTGGCCAAATTGGAGATGATTGATTTATTTGTTGGGTTTGCCATGTTATGGTTTTTGGATAGTTCTTGGACGTTTTCCCATCAAGGGCCCTTTGCTAATCCGTCCTATTGGGATGGAATCCCATCTCCCTAGCACTCCTGTTCCAACCCAGAAATGAATATATCCAGTATACTGACAGTCGTGAAATTTCAGACATTCGCAATCTGAGTTTCCGTCGCGCTCAGGCTGTCCTCAGCAGGTTTTGCCGGTGCAGAAATCCCGCAATCCTGCTCCAGTGGAGGACTGCGCTCAGTGATGGCTTTCCGATTTCTCATGGATCCCAAAAATCATGACCTCAACCATAAATAGAAGCTTGGGTTTGTGTTTTCGTGATTTTGGGTGCTTAGAATCTATATAAATCTTGGTCACCTAAGTCACCATATAGTATATTGTGGCAAGATTTGGGTGACTCGGCTACCAAGCAGTTCTTCTTGGTGCTATTTCCGCTATGTCCGCATGACATCCTCACTACAGCAACACCAAAAAAGATAAAACTATGATTTACTACCATGTTACTGTAGGATTTTACTTCGGCAGTGGTGTCTCTAGATTTTATTTTCCTTCCTCCTCTTCCCATCAGCAAACTCCAGATCTCAGTGGGCACTGCCGGACCTCAACCGCAAGCTCCAGATCGCAGAGATTCGCAGAGGGCACTGCCGGGAAAAAATCGCATTCTAATTGGAGGAATGATGCTCAACCATCAAGCTTGGGGGTGCCCAATTGTTTAACAAATCGATTTTGTGCATCTCAAAGTGGGCACCACAGCTAGCGTTTCATAAACCCTTTTGTTCGAGAGTTACAAATTTAAATCCGTGGCAAAATAAAGTGTGAAATATTGTTGGGATTACCACATTGCAAGGTGTCAAAGTTCGACATGTCATTTACATTCTTCACATTTACATCAAGGCGAAGATTATGACAGCCGACAGATCAGCATGATCTTTTAACACGATCCTCTTCATCATCATTATTATCGAAATCAGCATGATCATCATCGTCATAGTGAATCATGAATCATGATTGTTTTCCCATTAGGAGTGTCATAAATCAAACATATTGCTGGTGATATCCTGCAAGAACTTTGGCTGTCAACAGCATCAACCACTGATCAAAGCCTCGCAGGATGCTTGAAAACACCCGGCAGCACCATTATCATGCAGCCCATGGCAGAATAGAACGTCCGAATAGGTGCCAGATAGAATGCCAAGAACAGAATGTCAGATAGAATGCCCGATAGGAATGTCGGAATAGATTTCAGATAGAGTATCAGAAAGACTGCCGGATAGAATGCCAAGGAAATGCCAGAATAGAGGCCAAAAAGGATGCCAAATAGGATGTCAGAATAAATGCCAGATAGACTGCCATACTAGAATGTCAGAATAGAATGTCAGATAAAATGTATACTTCCAGATGAGATGTCAACAAGTTTTAACAATAATGTCACGGTGAGAAGCACTCGAGGTAAAGTAAATTATGGTTTGAAATAGGTTGAAAGCACCAGCAGTTGAGGAGTTTGTGTCAGTTCTGCCCGGGCAAGTCGAACCTTTGGATGGGTAGCCTGTCGGCTGTAGCTGTTTCAGGCAACATAGACCTCGGCGACCTTGGTCAGATGAAAAAAATGAGCGCAAATTCTTGGGATTAGAGGCTTACACCCTCAAGTTTAGCATGGAACCAAGAAAATTGCCATATCTGGTCGGACCATCTTTGGCCTATAGCTGAGGTTCCATGTTGTATTTTGGAGGTTGCCAACAGGGTTCGGAATTGTGCAGTAAGATGCAGTAAGAACCATGGTTTCCTGAAGTTTCACGTCAGATTCAGTCAATCCATTGGCAAATGGATTCAGGAACAGCCACCAACCAGCCATCAACGTAAACATTGTATGTTTCCTACTTATGACCGATCGCTGATTTAATCACCACATATGTCCCCTCCATTGCCAGCTACTACAAGGTGGCGCCCCAGCTATTGTTGGTTTCATTATATCCCCATAAAATGGTTGGTGAACACCCCCTTTTCCATGGTAAACTTGGAGGATCATCCTTTGTTGGTAAGTCCCCATTTCCTGCGGAGGCTCGTTCTCCCATGTTTTCCCTTATTCTGTCACCCCACTATATAATTAACCACGCAATTTGCGTCGTGATCCTGCAGTATGGCCAGGATGGTTGGTTTCACTAATTGTATCCCGGGTACACTCCCTGAAAATTGCCGGTTTGACCTTCAATACTGGCTGACTGAAAATCACCAAACAATATCAAACCGGGGTGGTTCAGGGAATATAATGGTTGTTGAAAAACCACGTGTTTTATAGGGGATTCTATGACCAGTAGCATTTGGTATTCAAACGTGGTTGGAACATCCCCAATGCAACTTTGATTCGGAAAATCATCGAACTATGCTGGTGGATTTTCCAGCCTGGCAGGGACCCAGGGAGGCTAACCGTTGAACCCGTTGAACCCCTATTTGATCACCAGCTCGTGCGGTTTCGGTTTGGCCAAGATCCGGGGCAATGCGACCTATGTACAGTCCACCATCCATGGGGTGAGCCCTGTGTGGGCACCGGTAGCGTGGCCAGGGTTTTGGGAAACCTGTTGAATAAAAAAACATGATGAAGATGTGATCTTACATTATTATGATTTTACTATTGAATAATGTTTATAGATATATTTGGTGTAAGTGCTGATGATAATAGTGTAGTTGTACCAAGTGGTTGAATTTGGTAAGTACTGATTCCATACTGATTCCATTATGCCAACTATTTGGATTTACTAAGTTTACTATTTGCCCATGGTTTTTTTATAGGCGGATGGGGAAATTGCTATGAAAACCATGGTTCTGAGATGTTTTTTTTTTAATATATGGATGGGGGATGGGATTAGATGGTTTTTTTTGAGAGAACGTGAACTTAAGAGATGATATTTTTGGGTAAACAACCCCTTTTTGCCTAATTTACCTATGTCATCTTTATTGAATTATGTAGACAATCACGCGGCGCTGATGATTGTTATTGTTTATGAGGATCCCTCATGTGACTCTAAGCGGGTAGGTTGAAATCACCAACATTGAGATCCTGGAGTTTGGTTGTTTCGGACTTGGGTTGAGTGAAACAAACATGTGTGTGTTGTAAGTATGACATTAGTATTCTACCTGTTTGGTTTGGCAGTGTTTTTGTGAGACTTTGGAAATCAGTGTCTTGGGCTTGTGTTATCATGTTTACTACTGTTTCGACCCCTGCGCCTGCATATGCCTGCATGGTTCGCGCGCTCAGGGAATACATTTGGAAGTAGCATGTGAAAATGAACAGCGAACAAGTGCGGCAAGATGATTGCAGGAGATACAAAATGTTGGAACCGGAATGCGGATCTAGCTTAGCTTTGCAAATTCAGATTTCAGGAAAAGAACTTCATACTTCCGAGCCCAAGAATGTGTGCCACATATGGCCATTCACTCTTGTGTTCTCTTTTTTGAAGAAATGTCTTTCGCACCCCTCACCCTCCAACCATCTCCAACCACACCAGGTGTGGACCAGCAATAATACTGTGTTGGGCCATGGTTAGTTCGTTGACGCGTCAGCAACTAGAAAGTTCTTTGGTTGGTGGTTTTATTTTTGACATTGAATTAAAACCCTATTTGGGATGATGATCCCCAATGACTAATATTTTTCATATGGGGGTAGTTCAACCACCCGCCAGCTATGTTTGGGGATATTCCACCCTATGAACATGATACAACCAGACAACTAACTTACCATGGCCCATCTTGCATCAATAGTTGTTTAACCAGGCATGATGCAGTTCAAATGGGGATATGATATACATTAATATACATATATAATCATATGTATATATCATATGCAGTCTATTATGTGACATAAAATATATATAATCATGTCACCCAGTAATGGTTCATATAACCATTTGACATCACTTCACTAACCAACTGAACCACATGGCCCAGGCCCTATAAAGGTCCCTTGGAACGCCACTTCACCGATGCACCCAAGAAATGGCGGAGAATAGTATGAAACCTAAACACACTGACGGTTCTGCGGTCTTCTTATTTTATGTCTCTTAACAACTTACCAGTAGTACCGCACAAGGCGGTGGCGGAAGTTTCAAAAATAGGAAACCTATAGGAGACATTGGCTGCTGTGAATCAGGGATGGCAGAGCGAATCCACTGATGGACCGAAAGGTGCTTGAGGTCTCCTCTCTTTCTCTCTCTTTCTCTGACTATCTACTTACCTACCAGCCTATCTTCTATGTATCTATCTATCTATCGATCTATCTATCTCTCTCTTTCTCTCTTTCATCTATATAATTACCTATCTACCTATCTACCAATCTACCTATCTACCTATCTACCAATCTACCTATCTACCAATCTACCAATCTACCTATCTACCTATCTACCTATCTACCTATCTATCTCTCTCTCTCTCTTTCATCTGTCTATCTGTCTAGCTGTCTACCTGTCTGTCTATCTATCTGTCTACCTGTCTATCTGTGGTGCAGTGTCATTGAGTGTAATGTAGTGTAGTGTAATGTAGTGTAGTGGAGTGGAGTGTAGTGCAATGTACTGCAGTGTAGTGTAATGTAGTGTAGTGTAGTGTAATTTCGTGTAGTGGAGTGTAGTTGTGTAGTCATAGTTTCAGTTGTAGTGTAGTGGAGTGTAGTGTAGTGTACTGTAGTGAAGTGTAGTGGAAGGTAGCGTAGAGTAATGTAGTGTAGTGGAGTGTAGTGTAATGTAGTGTAGTGTAGTGTAATTTAGAATTTAGTGTAGTGGAACGTAATGGAGTGTATTGTAGTGGAGTGTAGTTGTGTAGTTGTAGTTGTAGTTGTAGTTGTAGTGTAGTGGAGTGTAGTGCAATGTAGTGAAGTGTAGTGGAAGGTAGCGCAATGTAGTGTAATGTATTGTAGTGTAGTGGAGTGTAGTGTAGTGTAATGTAGTGTAGTGTAATTTAGTGTAGTGGAGTGTAGTGGAGTGTAGTTGTGTAGCTGTAGTTGTAGTGTTGTGGAGTGTAGGGTGGTGTAGTGGAGTGTAGTGTAATGTAGTGTAGTGTAGTGAAGCGAAGCAAGCGACATCTGAACCTCCAAAAGTGGTCCGAACTCCTGGTGTTTTTAACATTTTGACTTCGAAATGTGCTTTGCGCCACAACGGCGTGCACTTTTTCGACAGCTCAACTTCCAAAAGTGCTCCGAGACCCCGGTGTTTTGTACATTTTCACTTCGAAATGTGCTTCGCACCACAACGGCGTGCACTTTTTGGACATCTCAACTTCCAAAAGTGCTCCGAGACCGCCAGTTTTTAACACTTGTTACTTCCAAATGTGCTTCGCGCCACAACGCCGTACACTTTTTCGACATCGCAACTTCCAAAAGTGGTCCGAACCCCTGGTGTTTTTAACATTTTGACTTCGAAATGTGCTTCGCGCCACAACGCCGTACACTTTTTCGACATCGCAACTTCCAAAAGTGGTCCGACAATGGTGTTTTTAACATTTTGACTTCGAAATGTGCTTCGCACCACAACGGCGTGCACTTTTTCGACATCGCAACTTCCAAAAGTGGTCCGACAATGGTGTGTTTTGTACATTTTGACTTGGAAATGTGCTTCGCGCCACAACGGCGTGCAATTTTTCATCTCTCATCTGGCCAGCTGGCTCCGCACCCGCCGCTTTAGCGAGCCTACTTTTCGACCCTCCGGAGCCACAAATCATTGGAAAAACACAGTGAATCGCGACTTTCCTACCTTTTCACGCATCTCCATCTTCTTTCTTCTTACTCTTTCTCTTCTACTCTTCTCTCTTCTGATCTTTCTCTTCTCTCTGCCTCTGCCCTGCTCTGCTTTTCATCTGTCCATATTGTCGGAAGTTTGACTTCTAAACTTCCTTCGAACATGTCTAAATCTTAACCTTCAACACTTCAACATAATTGGGTCCCAGGCAAGAGATTTTGTGAGACAAACTCATCTCATGTCTGTTTCTCGTGCGCAAGCTGCATCATGATGCATCCAAATCCGCCTTTGATGTTTGCGCACAAACAGGGTTGGCCATGGCTGCCATTGGTTTGACCCATGGTATCCGTGTGTTTGTTTTTTTTCCACCTTGGAGAAGGTGTTCAAATAAAACCCACAACATTTACTGTGACATGATCTAACAGTCAATATTTTTTCTGGATCATGTTTTACCCAATTTCATCTTATTTTCAATATATATTATGAATATTATTACAAGATTTACTGTGCATCATCCATCATCTATCATTTCTTGGGACAGACTATGAAATCTTCGTGTGTCGTCGCCAAGTGTTTTTTCAGGCTCCACCATGAAGGGTGCCGTCGCCCTTGGGGCGAACCAAGTTGTGACCAGGACGGCCTGGGACTTTGGGGCCTTGGGACCGAGCGGCGAAGATCAACGAATCGTATATTAATCACCATAGATCACCATGATGTTGGGGGATTGATTCAACGATTTTTTTGGGAAAAACCATGGTGTCCCAGTTTGGAATGGCTAAGATGGTGAAAAATTAGTTGGGCTGTTGGATTATGTTGGATTTATGATACCGCCAATGATCGAACTGTTGATGGCGTGTATAAACCAACCTTTTTGACTGGGTGGCGGCACCTTGGATGAAGGGGGACCAGCGAAGCATTTTTCACCAGGTTTTGCGATGTACAATTCTGGAAAACACTGGGAAGGCAGAACTCTTGAAAATGATAAATCAACACAGTGTAATCAGTTTCATAACTTCGTAAAATCTAATCCAGGCTGGAAAGCGGGGGAGTGTCCATTTGCCATGTTAGCGGAATGATGACTTGTGAATGTTTCGGGTTTATTATTTCGAATATAGCGGTTCGATCAGAAAGAAATCATATCGGAACGGTTGCCGTGGTGGAGGGCAATTGTGTATACATGTGTGCACTTACATTCTTGGCGAGTCTGGCAAGGGTCGCGAGATTGTCCCTGATCAAAGAGCATTTTTTAATATTTTTTAGATCCGGAAGAATTGTCGGACATTGTAGAACTTACAGGAGGAAAGAGAAAATATTACCCATAGTATGCCATAGGATCCATGGTGCTGCTATATATGGTAACATGGATCCCATCAATATACCCCCTTTATGTTAGCATATATATACCAGCACCATGGATCCGTCATGGGATATGAACCATTCGGAATATGAACCCAAACAGTGGCCTTTTCACCGTGGCTCGCATCCGCCAGGAGCCACTGGACATCACTGGACCCATCGCCGCCTGGAGCTGTTGCAAAAGAAAACAACTGCTGCAACTGCTGATGTCGAAGTATCGAATAGCACTCAAAGACCCAGGGGGGTTAGAAACATTTAAGTTCTTTTCCCTATATAGGAAACCCATGTGAAAAAATGGTTCTAATGTGTCGCGTAATTCGAACACAAAAGAGCAAAACTTGGAAAGACACAAGATAAATAAACGTCCATTCAGAACTAGGTCAATCTTGGATGGGTAGTCTAATCGAATCTAATCCTTTAGTCTTTTGGTATGGGATCATGATTAACCAGCTAAGAATTTGGTCTCAAAACCTCGGTGGTTTTGAGCTGGAAGAGGCTAGACCATTTCAACAAAGAACGCTGCTGTGAAAGTCGTTGGAAGAAGAAGTCTCCATTTAGGCATTTTTGGTATCATTTTGTATCATTTTGTTGGATATATTCGGATAGTAAGCTACTCAGCTACACAAACATTGGGAAATATTGGGACTAGAAAGTCGTCATCGCCATCCATGTCCTGACCACCATGGATTTTACCAAGGCTTTTAGCAACAGATTCGGTGAAACAATGGGCATTTGGGCATTGGTTCAACACACCCATATCCTTCTCTTGTACACCACAACATACTCTAATTCATCGGCATAATGAAGAAAAGGTTTTCTTTTTGACCTATCCGATCTATCCCTAGCCTTCCAGTTGCCCCATTTATCCCATAATTTCCCGTGAAAAAAAGGTCACCAAGGTGATTTTACCAAAGGTGACTTTGGATTCAGTTAAGTTCTATACCCATAGGATCCATGTATGGTATATATGCTAACATTGGGGGTATATGGATGGTAAATGTTACCATATATAGCATACATGGATCCTATGGGTATAGTATACTATAGTATACTATAAACGTTACTAGCAAACGTGATTGGCAGCCAGGTGGAAACCTCTTGGTCTCCTCGGAGGCTTTTTGTGGGTGGACATAGCTTGGTGGAAAATGATGGACCATGCACCATTTTTTATGTGTGCTGCTGGTATTCGTCAAAACCCAAAGTACCCTCTGGTAAACCAAACATAGCTATGGAAATTCACCATTTTCAATGGGAAAATCCACTATAAATCACTATTTTCAATAGCTATGTTAAATTACCAGAGGGTACATCAAACACATCTACAGACAGACCAGAATTGAGGGGACATGATCTATTTGCCAGGAGGGCTAGATGACCCACAGAAACTGAGGCAACAATAGACAAATTATTTGGCAACGGAGGGTTTGGACCATAGGATAATAATGGCTCAGCAGGACTCATTTGATCACTGAAATGTGTGCTACAACCATCCCAGCAACACTTGTTTTTTGCGGTGTTCGGTTGAACACTCGGCAGTTTGGACCAACTGGATGGCTGATTTGCAAAGTGAGCTGGATAATGAAGTTGGCTCTTTATTTTTGCGGCCTGGAGAGATTGGAGAGGTCATTGAAAACATGAAACATGTTTTTTCTTGGGTATGTGTAGGGGGGTTGTTGGTGTGTGTCCGTCATATACCAAGACCAGACAAAGATCACGAAAAGACATGCCGATCGGTTTACAGTAAAACCCCTTGTTTTTGCTTGTTGTCAATCCATTTTGTGAACCCTGTGGCCAAAGCGACATTCTGGGCGAGGGGGGGGCAGGGCGGCCAACAAAACCACGGTTGAATGACCGACAAACTCCATTTGTATCAGCCCTCCCATGCCATGAGATGACTGGCTGAGCCCTTATAGACCTAAATACATCTAAAAAACGGACTTGCATGGTGAATTTCAGCAAGTGAAATGTCTACCCACGAACCCACGGCTCAAGATTCCACAGAATCAAAGTGATTAAAACAAACCGTTTGATTGAAGGTTCAAGTGTTTCAGTGTTTCGTTTCGGTTGCGAAGACCTCATCAAATTTCATAATTTTTCGAAATATTGCACCCGCGACCAATGATCCATCCATTTTTCAAACTGCCAGTGGTCATGGCGCCGGAGGATCGAATTTGTTGGCATCCTGTTGGTTTTGGGTTCCATATGTTTTAACTGCCTGGCACCTCAGACCTGTTTTTTCGAGATGGACGGCTGTTGTTTAGCAGGCTGTCAGACGGGTTTGTTTAAAAATGGAGATTGAGGCGATGAACACAACCTGTTCATGGGGGAAATAATAATTGTAAATGACAAACCACGGCATACATATGTTGATGTTTTATGATGTTTTGGGGTACTCTACTGTGCAGTCCCAGGCAAACCCCTCCAGATTCATTCTGAAGGCCTTGAAGTGATCTTACTTGAACCGTTCATTGGTGAGCCGGCAGTGCCATCAACAACGTCGCACCGCACTCATTGTGCCCTTCGAGAATGTTTGTGGAATCCCTCACCAAATATATGTGTTACTGTGTTTCCATGTTTTAATAGATGATTTTCACATCACACTTGGCAATTGTCCAAGCAAGCGTGTTGAATTTTTTGAACCCCCATGAATTTTGATGGTGAAAACCACCTGTTTTTCTCATCGGATCGAGGTTTGGGAGCCCTTTTAGTGGAGAAGTTCCTGAAAGCTCATGGCCAACTCTATGAACAGAAGGTGCCAAGCTGTTGATGTCATATACTGTCAGGAGATGTCAGAATTCTCCGCAATTTTTATGGTTCAAAATGGGATCCACAGGACCCCCAGACTTCTGGTTATGTCTAAGTATTCATTAGGGTTGACCTTTACAATACCATAGAGCATTGCCCAAAACTCTTGAGGTTTGATGTTCATATTGGGTTATATATATATGTTATGTATCCAAATCTCAACTGGTTTCATGGGTGCTACCAATCATCGGGCAATATTAGAACCATGTCAAACAACCAGTGGGTGAGGGGCGACTATCAACATTGTTCAAAGGTGAACTCCCATCACCAAAAACCCAACAAATACCGGGCGCACCACCTTGCGGTTGGGTTATGAATCAACCCTATCCCTCGGGACTTAGATGCCAACAAATGTTGCATATGTTGCCTCTGCGATCCGGACCAGGAGCTTATTCTTCTCCGAGTCTTCAATTTTGAAAAACATCTACCTGGAAAAGAAATGGTACCTGGAAAAAAACGACTGTTTTCTTTGGCTAAAAGCATTGAAAAAAACTGTCCAGTTTTTATCAGTTCCATCCATTGACTCCGATCGAAAGAGTTCCACTGTGCAGGCACAGCTTCTTTTGGGCGAAGTGCTGGTGAATTCCTTCCTGGTCTTCGCCGCTCGACGTTCCAATAAAGGGCGAAGGGTTTCATAAGTCATGTCCCCACATCACCATAGATGTCAATATGACAATGGTCATCATGACTTGCATGATTTGGGTATCCGGGATACTACTCCCATTTTAAGAAAGCACCATATGTTTTGTCTATCAAGGTGGGTTGTTTAAGCCACCAGACAATTTTGATCAAACATTGTCACCAATTGCACATGCTAATTCATGTGAGTGTTCCTTGACTTTGGTTTGCCCGCAAGTACTCCAAGAAATGCTGATTTGATTCCTTTTCTACTGTGGACCACTTGTTCATTTTCACTGAATTGATGACGAAAACTCACTGGCATCCTAATTGCTACGTTCTGAATTGAATCCCCCCACAAGCCCAGACGGGCCGCTAAAATGAACAGATCCACTAACTAGGGTCCATAGAGTTTATAGATGGTGTTTAGTGTTGAGGACAAGGGACTACGAACCAGGGTCCTAGGGTACCCATCTACCAGAAATCCCCAGTTTTATAATTGGGGATGGTACCTAGAGGAAAATCCGCAACCGGAACCATCAGTTAGATCCCAGCGGCTGGCTAAGTAGCCACACAAGCAGCACGTGTTTTTCACTCAGGTCGCACCATTGTTCATCCGAGACCCAGAGGTGTGTCGGATGGATCAGCGGGATGCAGGTAGAAACCAACCTTCCTTTTTTTTTTACTGGAAAGTTACACTATGTTACACTGTCCTTCCACCTTCCAGCCTCGTCACCTACAAGTAGGAACCTCCATGCTGCCATGCTTTCTAGGTACCAAACTAACTTATGACTGATGGCTAGGGGAAAGTCTACAAGTAGTTGACAAGACACGGATAGAGGTGCAGGTGCCTTGCATGCATTGCGTGACCCTGGTTGATAGACGATGCCTGTGTGGAGATACAATTGACCATTCCATATGGTTCCATATTAATAGCGGATCTGGGTACCCATAGGATCCATGTATGGTATATATGCTAACATTTGGGGTATATTGATGGTAAATGTTACCATATATAGCATACATGGATCCTATGGGGTTAGTATGTTCTGGGTTTTTGCGGGGAACCGTGGATGAGTTCATATAGTTTGCTGTGCAATGCTGTGCATTTCCATCATGTGCTTGGAAAACTCTATGAATTTGACTCCTTGACTCCTTGTTTTTTTTTTGGGGGGGGGGCAATATATGGATACAACGATAGCTTCTGAGCTCCCTCCTAACCACTGGATTTTTTTTGTGGGCTTGTTTGAGAATAGGCTACTCCTCAACCCACTAGTTATACAATAATAATTATATACTTAATCCCAGTTGAAATATCGATTCTCATCATATTCCCAGTTGTGTTGGTTATACATCCCATGATAATGTCGGTAGACCCAGCAATAAACCTTCAATTGGGGATGGTTACTGACAACCAATAAACCTATATGTACAGTATATATATATACACATGTAATTACATATAAATATATATATATCTCATGAATCATGATACACGATATGATGTAAATCCAACGTTGTATTCAAATGTCGGTAAGCCAGCTGGCGAGAGTTATCAGATTATCACCAAGCAATTCCTGGTAAATCCAGGTCCGGGCCTTGACCTCCCCTTGGGAACGTGGCTTCTTCGTGGGCTGGGATCGTCCCCTGGCGTAAGACATGGATGGTGATTTCCTGGGACACCCGGTGGGACCAAATCATCCAAGAGTTGGCCATGACTTTGACTTGAAAGATTTGAAAGCCATGGTTTTTGGGGATTTTTTTGGGGAGCCATATATGGATCTATAAGAAAATATTGATTGGATTGTAGATGGAGAAATGTTGAAGATTGAAGCAAAAAACAATTGTGGTGAAACCGAGGCAAGTGCAAGAGTCAATTTGAGGTGATTTTGTGGGAGCTATATTGACTTTGACGTGATTGTAGTAGGAATTTTGAAGGATGCAATGGGGTATACCGACCGGTGAATGGTAGGTGAATTGCATGGTTAATCAACAATAATTTGTTTTACCCTCCAGAAGATAGAGATTTAACATGATTTGACTTATTTCACCATGAGATTGATGTTTTTTTTCCATTTTCTCCAGGTCCGATCAGTATTTGTATCATAGAACCCTGAGGGTAATCTCCCACCATCAATACTTCTTTGGGGCTTATAAGATCCCTATTGTTGGATTGTATGTCTCAAAAGATCCCCATTATATTATATTATATCCAATTCATATCCCAACTATATCCCCAAAAATATCCCACTATCTCATATACTGTAGTCAAATCCAGGTAAACTTGCCCGCATTGGTGGATGGCAATCAATCCAGACTTATATACTCACTTTTATAAAAATGTCGTTTGTTGGATGGATGACCATACCACATATACTATGGTTTGTTTATTCTAGACTTCACGACATACACATACATATTTATAAAATTACATCATATATGATGTTTACGAGTGATATATTCTCAAATATCCTCAAATAGTATCACACATATATATATATATAATGTATTTTTTTTAATAATGTAATATGTAATATAATTATATAATGTGTATATAGTATATATATATATATTTATATATACATATATTATTATATCCCCACTAGTTCCCACTAGATCAGATACATTTCCCTGCGATCTCCTTGCGTTTTTCCGGCAAGGTCGTGTCTTGGCCTGCGCCATCCTGTGGATTCCTGCCGGATGGACCGCCACCATGCTGGTGAAGCTTGGCAACTCAGAGCCCATCCTGATTGCTTGGAACTAATGTTGGCAAAAAATGGGGATTCAAACTGGTTGTTATAGTTTTAAAAAAATGTGATAAATCAGCCATATTTTGATGGTTTGTAGCAGCTATCATAAAATTGTGGGATGGTTTACTATTTCTTTACTGGAATTATGTTGTGATCAGATGAAAACCAATCATTTTAGGCGGTTTTTTAGTGGTGGAGATAGTGGTGATGATATAGTGATATGGGCTTGTCCAATGGGTAATATTTCAAATATTGATTTTCTCATGGCTTTTCTCAATTGATTTCAAACATTGATTTTCTCAAATATTTCAAACATTGATTTTCTCAAATATTTCAAACATTGATTTTCTCATTTTGGATGGAATGGTGTATCGTGTTTTCAGACGAAGCCAATTTCCATGGCTCAAGAAATTAGGCACCGATGGACACACATTTTTTCTCGTTTTTAGTTCTTGGAAAATCTTTGGGGCCATATGTGGGAACCTCAATTTCTAGCTCCTTGGCTTCACATGTTTGGGGTGGAAAACTACTTAGCTCCCTCCTAACTGGAGAGTCAATTTTGAGCTCTACCCGTATTACCAGGTTATTACCAGTCGATGTTTGTTCTGTATCATGACACACGTTTCCAAAATTTGGTGACTCAGTCGACGTTTCGAATCCCATCCAAATCACCAGCCAAAATTCTGGCTCCACCGTCGTCCACCGCGAAGGCGCTGTTCCAATGTCTTGAAGACTGTGGCGCAAGCCTCGTCTTCGGTGGCCCGAGCCGAGTTGGGATGGTGGATGCACCATATGTCTATATATATAATATATATATATATATATATTATATATATATATATATTATATTATATATTATATATTATATATATATATTATATATATATTATATTATATATATATATGTATGCACATATTTGTATATATATATATAGGTAAATATCCAATATTTCATAATAGATATCGATATATTTACCTATCCAGGTGGATGTGTGCATATTGCGGACATATCTATCAGAATAGGATTTGTTTAGATCAATTTGCCCAATGCATTAGATCCAATTGGCGGGTATTTATCTAACGTGAAGGGGACATGGATTGTGGTTCTTGTTGAATCCGCAACGTTGGGAAATGGATAAAACTGAGCCTGAACGTTGGGCCTCCCCCAATTTCAAGCCAGTGTTCAATTCCATGTTTAGATTGACAACAAAAATGAATGTCAAAAGTGCCGCAGTGTTATGCAGTGTTTGGTAGTTCCAATTGCGAGACACAGTGACCTTTTTTCTTGTGAATATCACCAAACTAATATGGGATAAATATGGATACATCATATATCTAATGTCCATATGAATATGTATAAATATGGGATATCTATGATATCATGCTCCAAAAAAAAAAATGCCCCCTACCAATCAGTCAGGTGGCTTTCTGGAAAATTTTGGTGATTTCCCAGCCAGACATGTGACCGATACACCCCAAACATATTCAGGTCATAAACATGTTAACTCACATCATAAATGTATGATGTATCCATATGTATCCCATATTTGTCCATAAAAAACAACACAATCAGAACATTCAGGTGAAGTCAGGATACATTGACACTGCCCAAAAAAAATCACGGCGCCATTGAGCGACGTTTTTTTCTTTTGAGGTCTTGACCTATGTCTTCAGCGTGGTGCCATTGAGCAGCGGCCCTCAAACCTGGCACCTTGGCCGGAGCTGGTGATGGTGAATGATGCTGTACTGGGTAATAAATTAGTAGAAAACCAGTATGTCTTACTAATAAATTAGGTAAACATTTTCTACCATTTTATGTTTATTAATGGGTTTCCAAATGTCACATGGAAACCCATTGGAAACCCATTAATAAACATAAAATGGTAGAAAACATTTGATGCTAAAGAAACCCCATGGCTTTCCGTCGCCGAGAAATGACCGCGCCAGGACGCAGTTTGTGACCTTCCTGGGGCCCCCGCTGACACCGGAGCCTGTGTCGTCACCGGTGGTGCGGAAACTCAGGGAAAAACCAGCGCCAAAAGGAGCAGAGTTGGGCAATTCAGAGTGATTTTTGTAGATCATTGGATATTTATAGATATTGATCATAGATGTTTATGTTTTTTTGGATGTTTATAGATATTTATCATAGTTTCTTTTAGATATCTAAAGATATATTTATCAGTATATTATTCAGTATATTCTTATAGATGTTGATTGATATTGATGAACAAATATGGATATTGTGCAGCAAGGACTGGATTTTGGATCCACCAAACCCAAGTCAGGGCATTTCATGCACATGGCCTTTCCATTACAGAAATATATCAAAATGTAAGATCCAAGAAACACCACATATTGCTCATGTTGAGTACCAATTAGACGTGTCGTTTTGGTGTACCCAATTTTTGACTCCATACCCAACAATTGCATGAACCCTGTGAAATTCAGAGCAAACCCAGTTCTTTTCCGTAGATGTTCTCCTAAATCACTTCATCAAATCTGGCATTGTCTTGCTCAAATCAATCATATCACCAAGCTATTTCAGCCATATTTCATGGTGATATGATAGTGATATGGCTGATTTAACCATAGATTTCATGGTGAACTCAGCCATAGAATGCATATTTTCCATGGTGAAGTCTTCCCCCAAAATCCTATTTGAAAAATGGCTGCCGCAGCCGCCATGAAAACCTCAGGTTCTACTGGCCATCAGTGTGATGATTTCGGCCACCCGGCTACTAACCAAGGTGGAAATGCCAATTTCGAAAAGCAAGAACATCATATGTTTTGAAAATAATCACCCTTTTAAGGCTGCTTTTCAGGGGGGGACCATAACGAAATGCAGCATACATTTGTTGATGCTCCCCCCTTTGTTCAAATGTAAGATTGTAAGCTAGACGAAGTTAATCACAACTATAGAATTATATATACATATAATATATTGCTATATATATATTGATATATTGATATATATATATATCCATATTATCATACATATATATATATATATATGTTGATGTTACTGATATATCGAATTTATGGAGGGTTCCTAAAATGGGGGCTACCCAAAATGGATGGCTCATAATGGAAAATCCTATATTAAACTGGATGATAACTGCATGCAATGTGTCTCTATGTGTCACCTAAGCATTGTTTTTTTTGCCCTTTGTTCGTTGATGTTTATATTTGCACAGGGCTAGCCAAAGTTTCCAAACCCAAGAATTAAATGGTCAAATACTTGATAAATACTAATTAAATAGTGCAAGCTTTGCGGGATAGTTGGCGCATCAATTTTGACCCGTACCTTCATGTGATAAAGGTGTAGGTATAGTTGCTCACAAACTGGGACCCAACCGTCAAGCGAACAATAATTGGTAATTGATGATGTTGATGGCTGCATAGGGCTATCCAAAATGCTGTATTGGGGGTTATTGTATTTTTTTGACCCCACCCCCAACCCAACGACTACTGACAGTATCATGAACAAAACAAGACAATATTACATATAATGCAATGTTATAGCTTTCATTATTTACGGAATCTTGTCTTAAAGTTATGATGTTGAGCTGTTGCTATTTCTATTCGTTCTATAAATATTTATTTTTTGGAAAAAAATAAGAAAAAAATAGGATTCAGAAATAGGAAAAAATTGGGTTCCAGAACTCAAATAGGAAAAAAAAGGACTGCCAAACCAAGATGAACCACAGCTTCACATTTGGGAACAACACCAACACAAAACACAAGCAGAGCCTTCCACATTTTATGAGGAATGTCACTGTGGATATATGTGGGTCCACTGCCAACCTGCGTATGGTGTTACATCTATACCATATCCCATGCGTGTATGTAAGTAATTGCAATTGCTGCTGCTGCGTTCGCAATTGGAAAAGGAAAGGAACCGAAAGCAGACATTGAATCTTGAAGGCACCATCTGCTTGGGGAATGATAGGAAAAACATAGGAAAAAAAGTGAAAAATAGGGAGAAAAAAAAAAGGTATGGTGCTGGAAGCAGATGTTCAGAAATAGGAAAAAAAGGAAAAATTAGGAAAATAGGATTCAAAAATAAGAAAAAATAGGGCCCAAAAATGCAAATAGGAAAAACATAGGAAACCATAGGAAAACAAATATATTGGGAAGTGCTTTGCAGTCCTGTGTCAAGTGTGTTTTTGCGTCCTATTTTTTTCCTATTTTTGATTCCTATTTTTTTTCCTATTTTTTCCCTAAAATAAATATTTTCAACTTTTATAGAAATAGCAGAAAACTTTGCATCATAATCTTAAAGGTTGGTTTGTATCATACCTTATCTGAGAGGTGTTGTTAGTGACACGCAAACCAAAAAATAATCGATTAGTTGGCATCGTTTTGCACTAGTGTTTCCCACAACTGATCTTACGTTCAGAACAACAACAACAACAACAACCACAACCACAACAACAACAACAACCACAGCCACAACCACCACAACAACAACAACGACAACGACAACAACAACAACAACCACAACAACAACAACAGCAACCACAACAACAACAACAACCACAACAACAACAACAAGAAGAACAACAAGAACAAGAACAAAAACAAGAACAAACATTCTATTTATTTATCTATATATATATGTAGATGCAAGGATTATCACCCAGCAGCTATGACAGTTCTGAGGCATTGACCTTTGGCGCTGATCGCAGAGAGTCTGGGGCTTGGCTCCCCCCTGGGAGCCCTGGGAGTTTTTAAAGGGTACCTGGTTGGTTCAATTCACCCTGTGGTTGATGATTAGTTCGTGGATTTTTTTTCTACCCAGAACTTCTACCCAGAACTAATCATCAATTGTAATATTCACAAATAATCCAATATTCTAATATTCAATATCATATTCAATTGAGATTTATGCATGGAATAGGAATTATTGTAATCCCAATTTATCAGTACTGGTTGGTTGACTAACCAATACATATTGGGATTAGGTTGCAAATCACAGAGGCCGGGAATCGAAGATATCGTATCTTGCAGTGTTTCTTTCATCATTCTTCTCTATGGGTTGCTGGCCAAGAAATGGCCATGATAATCCATTTGTGGTATAAACTATACCCTTTGGTAAACTAACATAGCTATTGAAAATGACCATAGAAATAGTGGATTTTCCCATTGATAGCATAGTGGATCTTTCCACAGTTATGTTAGTTCGTTTACCAGGCCGGGTACCCTTAAAGAGCCCATTTGATGAATAAATCCAATACTCAACTGGAGGTTTCTAGTGGTATTTCATGTTGGGAAGGAATTCTAAGGGATCATATGACACTTGATTTGGACCAGCAAAGTGGGATGCAGAAATAGTATAGGGAAGCCTCCTTCTGAAATATAGTAGTAGTGGTCACATGGTTTGAAACCATGGAAAAACATTGTTTTACAGATCGTGATATACTGTTCTCCTCCTTTGATGCTTCAATCTCATTTCTGTCATCAGCTTTTCAGATTTCATAGCCGGCCGTGATTTGTTCCATCGCAGAGAGCCTAGACCAGAGCAGGTTTAACCCAAAGGTGGCTCGGAAATGGATGGAAATGGATGGTCTTCCTCCCCTTTTGATGGGAACCATTCAATATGTTTTAACATGTTTTAACCCACATTTCGATATATAACTTTAGTTTTGGTGTGTGCACCCCCATTTGCATTAGTAGGATCTCTATATATTTGATTTGTAGGAGTTGTATACCCACGATGGCTGGTTCCATTCTCCAATTCAGATTGGAATTGGATTGCAGTAACGATTTCTTTAAAGAGCTAGTACAAAGTTGAAGATTTGTCATCTCATTGGTGGTTTGGAACATGTTTTATTATTTTCATATATATATATGTATATATTATATATATGTTATATATATTGGGAATCTCATCATCCCAACTGACGAACTCATATTTATCAGAGGGGTAGGTCAACTACCCAGGATTTGTCATTAATTGTTTATGCTTTATGTCGCACAACGTTTGACCCAATCTAGGTCGACCAACTCCCCAAATCCAGGCCGGGCCGTTCCAAAATCCTATCCCACGCCTAGGCCGAGCCGTTCCAAAATGAGGAGGCACTGCTGCAGGGTGAGGGGGATGCTGCTTGACCAATGAACAGCACAGTTTCGGCCACCAAAGATGTTGGAGGTCCCTCATGTTGGAAATGTGCAGCTTCACTTGAGATGGTGAAGAGAATTGCAGGCCTCACATAAGTTAAAAAATATAGACAGTCATGTTTCGAAGAGGAAGCAAAGGGACACTGAAAGATTTGGAAGATGGCGATAGAACTCACATCTTTCCGGAGGCTTTGAAGAGATTTCCCCACAAACCCAAAGCAACCCAAAGGCAAGTAGTTGAGGTCATTTGAATACTAGAGGCTATTCAAAGCCGTAATTCAAGAAGATGCTTGTTTGAAGGACTCGAAGTGTTCCTCCTGATTTGGGAACGTCAATACATAGGGGATCATTTTAACAGGTCCCAAGTTCAAAGCACCCCGAGACACTTATGGAAGCAGAAGGTTAGACATCGGGCAATCCATTTGAAGCGAAGATAAGTTTAGTGCCATCATGTTTCGGATCCGCACCATCCAAGTTACCAGAAATACCCAGGGTTCAAACCATGACCAAGACGCGTTTAAGATTGCTTAAGCGTCCCCTTTTTTTTGATGGTGAAATTGCGCAATCATAGGATCATTGAGTTTTACATTCATATACGATCATATACGGAGGTTTTAACTTCCTTCAGCGACGAATTGATGGTAAACAATCCCATCGGTTGATGAAAATTGGCAGCAGAATATTTCTCAAAAAGCACAATATCTGGGTAAATTACAACGACCTCACTGCGACCGAAGCCTGGGAATCATGGTTTAGATATGGGGGAATCATCCCCAAATGGCCGCAAGATTCAGTGAAATATTATAACTTACCCAGACAATATGATATCCCTATCTACTCCAGAGTTTTGCACGAAATCTACCAATCGCTTTAGTTGACAGTGCCTCCACTTTCGACTTTGCTGTCAGATAGGTAACTTACATCAACTACATAGGGGTCCCGAAAAGAAAGAACATGCTTTCCAGGATGTCAGTTCGATGATGTCCGATAGTAACATAGGTCCGACCAGGTAACTTACATCAACTATAGGTACCCTCTGGTAATTTAACATAACTATGGAAAGATCCACCATTTTCTAGCTGGCTAAATCAACTATTTCTATGGTCATGTTCAATAGCAAACTGTAAACGTTTACCATCGTTTACCAGAGGGTATATCCATCAATATCCCAGTATGATCCCATCATTATCCCAGCAAATCATCCCATCATAACCATATTAAACCATATTAAACCAGGCCGGGTATTTCAGAAGTTAGTCATTACCAGGCCGGGTAAATCATGTCGCATCGGGCTAACCCGTGGGTCCAGATGTCCCAGGCCTCCAAGCACATCAAGGTCAAGCAAAGACGAGGCCATATATAGGGGATGAACTTCCACCATTTTATGGAGATCAATCATGGAGATCATCGGATATACATTGATATACATCATATCAGACATATATATATATATATATGTATATTGTGATTGACAATTAGTCAGATCACCTGGTAGCACCTCCAAAGCAAAAACCCACAGCGCAAGCCCAATCTGTTTTGTCAGACCTCGCAGATGGATCAATATGGCAAAACGCCTTGAGTAAGGCACAGAGAATCGCTTGGCCAAGCTAGGCCTTCCAGTTTCTGAATGAGTGAGCCCCAGGCTCTATGTTCCAATGTGGCGACCACGCCACCAAACCAGTAAGCACAAAAATGGCTAGCACGATTCCCACAACCCTATGCCCACTCCTTAGGCTGACCCTGAGCCAACGTGCTTCATGAGGAGAGACAGTTTGGATGATTGTTCCTGGCATCATAGAGCTGGAGGGCAAACCGGAAATTGGTGGTTGCAATGATGTAGATTCACACTCCCAAAAAATCATAGTTGAAAGAAAGAAAACATTCATCATTGCAACCTTCGGCTTCAGGCTCCTTGCAAGAACTGCGAAGCCATTTGAGACGTGTTCTTGTTGACGCACGGCTCTTCAAAACTTCCAGTTCGTCATGTAGCTTGTACATTCCGATTTTGAGGGTTTCTCTCAAAAACCCACTGTCCATTATTTTGGTGAGGCTATCTGCAAGTTGAGCCCCTGAGTGCACCCATCTTAGCTGCACCCCTTCCTGGAGCATGTCTTTGATGGACCGGGCATTGAGCATGGTTCTGTACTCTGCACAATTGGGAACAGCTGTCCGAGTGACCAGATCGTATAAACTCTTGCAGTCAGTGGCTGCTAGGCTGTCAGGGAGTCTCTGGGACTTATAGGTAGCTGTGGAAAAGGATTCAGGGAGTTTACCTAGGGCATGACTAGGACGTTTCCATTCAACCCTTGGGTCTAGCATCCATCCCCAACACAGTCGCAACCAGGACAAATGATCAAGTACAGAATTCAACGAAACTGTTTCAGCTGCTAAGGTGCTTGTCACCACCCGTTGGATTTTCTTGCAACCCCATGCCAAAGGACTTACAGGACAGGACACATTATCTGAAATCAGTTTATGAGTACCCATGATCATACTACCCGTGTGAGAACTGGGATTACCTTTTGATGCAAAGGAGGCGTCGGAAAATGCCAAAAAGCGAAAGTCATCAACTGGGATTGGTTGAATGATAACTGTGGTGTTGCTGTGTTTCTTGGCTTCATGTAAGGTTTGATTGGCCAGGGTAAGGGTATTTACTGTTGCACTGTTAATTGCTGATTGTAGTTGGCTCAATCGGCTGGCAAGGTCAGGACGGGTGTGAACAGCAGCATACTGGAGGCTACCGATGATGGCACGTAGGCTTTGCCTTTCTGACTCAGTCACCTTTTCCTCTCCTTGGTTCCTTCTGTCAGTGGAAATTTTGATGGGTTCAATGGCATTCACATATTTACTCTGATTCATGGTTATGGTTCCGTCTGGCTGTTGGTTCATTTCAATTCCGGTGAAAGTAAATTGTTGTACCTTTTTGGAACCAAAAGGATACTTCTTTTCAAGCTGATTAATTTTGTCAGAAAAGTATGGGGAACCCCCGCATATGCCATCATCTACATGGAGACCAAGTACGCCCTCTAGTTTTCCAGTTTGGTGGTGTCGGAGGATATACTGGCATGGATCAAACGGACTTTGTGAGAATCCCAACTTCAACAGTTCTTCGTTGATGGCTTGATACCAAAGAAATGGTGCATCCACAAGACCGTATGCTCCTTTTTCAAGCTTACACACTTCTGCTGTGGAGAGTTGTAAGGCTTGTATGAGTTCTGGAACAGGCTCAATGGCTAATGTACGATCTCCTTGGGTTTTTCCTTGGAGAAAGGCTGCCTTGATGTCGAAGGATCGGAGAGTCCAACCCATGGATGCAATCAGTTGCAGTGACAACATCTTTGCATTCCGTCCCAGGGTGGGTGAGTCCCTGGGGAGATTTTCGAGTTGGGGATCTAAATATCCTAATATTACAAGTCTAGCCTTTGCCTTGGACTTTTGGGTCTGAGACTTATCTGGATTATCTTCAGGGTCTATTGGTTTCCAAGTGAGGATCCACCGGCATCTGAGGATCTGGTCATGTGGAATTTTGTCCCTCAAGATTCTGGAAATGGTTCCTGTTCTGATCCAGTTTTGAATCTCGGATTCCTTCGCCTGCTGAAACTGTTCTCTTTCCGTCGGTGTCAAAGTGGACAACTTGACTTCAGAGCGCTGTCGTTTGGCGGCTGAAGCAACAAAAGCCATGTGTTCACTGTGGCTTTCTTGTTTCCAGCTCTGAATGTCATTGTCATTGACCACAATTTCACATCGCCATGCCATGTCCGTTCCGTCCGTGATCAAGCTTGTATCCCCATCATCATCTATGCAATAGATTCCTTCACATGTGAGTCCATCTTCATCATCGGGTATTGGTGTTTCAATGCCAGGAATGTTAACATCATATGGGCTTGGATCTCGGGTTACTCGGGTCATTGAGTTGGGGATTATGATTCTCTTCAGGGTTAATAGTGGTGGTGGATGGTGTGGTCTGATGTGATGGAATCTCCGGTTCTACGTCTGGTTGACCTTCGGAGGATTCTTCATTCTGAGTTTGAGGTGGATTCAGTGGTGGCATGTCCATGGGGACATTGGTGATGGGAGTTATTGGAAAGTTATCAATGGCTCTGGTTATCCCTTGTGATTGAAAATTGGACAATTGTTGTGCTATGGTGGATACTGATGGTTCATTGGTCATTAATGGGATCCTTCGGGACTCATGGGCTGACACTGGGCGAACATGTTCAGGTGAGCATCTATAGAGTTTACTGCACTGGGTGGTCCATATGGTCTGGGAATTTTCATGTACTACTATCTTCATGGGACCCGCCCAAAACCCTGGTTGTGTGCCCTTTCCCGGTCGCCAACACATCACCCATTCTCCTGGACTATATTGCTGATCACCGGGTCGCGAACGGCGCAGCATCGCGCGCCTGAGAGCTGCATCATTGTCAGCTTGGATAAAGGCATGTCGGGCACATTCGCGGCGATCAAGTTGCCGCTTGAACGCGAGGCCCTGTGCAGTTTCCGATTCTGACAACATGTGTGCGGGCAGCAATTCATCACTGCAGACTGCGCCTGGGATACGGGTGTGTTTGCCAAGTACAAGAACTTCCGGGGCATACCCACGCTTCAAGCTCATTGCATTTTTGGATTGCGTACACCAGAAAAGCGCTTGGGCTAAGTCATGATATTGCTCAATCGGATGTTCAGCATCGTATTTGCTTAGCATGGTCTTGAGGATGGCTCCATGTCTTTCGGCTTTCCCATTTTGATACTGTGCCTCTGTGCTGATGGTGGTGACCCGAATGTTATGCCTTTGTGCAAACGTGCTAAACTCTTCGGAATTGAACTCTGTGGCAGCATCCACTATCATCTCCGTGGGACACCCTGCCCATGATAGCCACATGTCACTCAGTGTTTGAATGGCGGTGGTGGATGATCTATCGGGGGCTATTCTGGCAATCTGGAAACTTGTCGACCAATCAACGACATGGTAAACATGAAATAACTTGCCATCCTTGTTATTCCACTGAAAACCATCGATGCATATTCGGTCATTAAAATCTCCTTCATCACGCAACGTGCTTGGCCTGGCCAATTTGGGAATGCCTTGTTCTTGACACACCGAACACTGGAGATCTAATGCCGCACGGGCCACCTCAGCTCTGTACCCCTGGGATCGCAAAACAGCACTTAATCTTTCTGGACTAGGGTGACCTAGATTCTTGTGGGCTCGGATCAAAGAAATCTGTTCATCTCGGGGCAGAGCCTTGAATCTGGCTCCATGCGTTTGGCTCTCTGCGTCAGCTCTTTGGGAGCTGGTGAGGTCTGCGGAACTCGGTGTTCCCATGCACTGTTGTGACGCTTCAGGATTGGCTTCTTCGAGACAGTCCTGGTTGTCGGATGCAGGCGAATTGATGCGCCTAGTGTCGGGCACGGCTGGCTCGGCATTTGATGTCTCGGTTTCTTTCCTGGGGACCTCACACACAGGCTCTCGGGTGTTCCCAAATATCGTCAGGTTGATTCTGGTGGCATGGGAAGGACGAATCAGGTTACGCTTTGCCAACATTTCCCAATTCTCCCAGTCTTCTTCGGCACGAATCTCTCCGGACCCTCTTTCAGTGAAGACACTTCTACGGAAAGGGGCAAGACCCTTGACTAGTGTGTCTGGTGGGGCAAGTGTCCTACTGGCTCCCCTGCAGGCTATCAAAGTGTGGATCGTTTTTTCTGGGATCAACTTTTGGACTGACGCAAGGATTTCATCATCGTGGATTACTGTTTTTCCTACTCTGGGTAAGGAGTGATGTAATCTTTCAAAAATCCCTTTCCACGTGCTCAAACCATCAATTGGGGTAGTCTTTCCCACACACTTTTGACGTTTTCCCCATGGCATTTTGGAGACATCACGGACTCGGCTGATCTTAAGAGAGGTGTAACGCTCACGTCGGGCTCTCTTGGGTGCAGGAGCTTCCGGGTGCTCTTCGACTGCTAAGACACCCCAGGTTTCATTTCTGTACACAGGTTCTGGTGGAATTTGAACTTTTCCCATCACCATGGCTAGTCTTCGGGCGAATTTTCTGGGATAATTCTCAGTGAAAGTGGATCGATTTATGGCCTTTCCTTGAACATGAGTCTTTCCTTCAATGGTCTGATGTTCATGTTGATGATTACATCTCAAATTGATGAGGGACTTTACCATGTTGTTGGACGTCGTCATGATGGTTAGGGTCTTTCGGATCAATTTACCATTTTCGGGATCTTTCAGTTCACCTGCTGTGCACAAGTCAACATCCACTGACAGGAGGTAGTACAATGCTTCTTGAAGATATGGCAATTTGAACATGAGGGACCCCCGTGGTTGTTCCCAGTGAAAATGGCGATTCTGCTGTCGTTGAAACCTCAGTAACACGATTCCAAGGGCTACCTGTTCTAAGTGGCGCATCCGGGACTCCTGCAGGGCATCCCAAGACTGAACTGACTGACTGCCGTTCAGACATGAGAATCCACTCCACGGGCCACAGCTGGGGCTAAACCAAAGATTCTGCGGCCTATGCCTGCAAACTGTTTGAAACAACTTTTCACGGCCATCCGCCGTCTGGAGATTCCCCTGCTGCAAACCAAAACGATCAGCTCGGAATCCAAGTCGCTGGGATTGGTGAGTTAACTGGCTCTGTGCGCTACAAAATACTTCTAGGAGGTTGAGGCGGGAATGTGCAGTGTCGGTACTTTTGTAAATCTTGGAAAGTTCTCTGGAGAATTGCTGCACAAGTTGATTGAATCTGATGGCTTCTTGATTGGCTTCTGGGGTGGACGTGAGGTCAGTATGGAACATAGCATCTGCACACACATCTCCGGCTAACTCACGATGGGCCATGCTGGGACATTCAGTCACACTCACTGCTCGTTGTTGCGGTTCACAACCAAGTTCTGGAGATGCAGATTGATGTTGTTCAGCATGACTTCCAGCTTCAGCACTCTGGTCTCGAGCCGTTCGGTCTGCTGGTTTGGTGCTTCTCCCGTCTCGGTCGTGATCATCTCGAAGAAGTCGGCGTCCTCCTCCTCGTCCCACACGGAGATCTCGGGGACATGGTGAGTCGGGTGCTTTTCCTGGCATTGGGCTCCACTGTTCATCTGTGACGACTGTGTTGGGGCACTGTTCATGTTGATCTGCTTGTTTCCGAAAAGCTCGGCTTGCTCGATCTCGAGCTCGACGTAGCGCAGGAAACTTTGATGTTCTATCTTGGTGGACTGGGCAAATCGTTGAACAAACCAGGTGATCCAGCCTTGTTCTTCCTTCCACATCTTGAGAAAGGTCTTCCCCTGGTGAGTCTTCCCAAATGAGATCTTCTGCTCCCTCAGCTGTCCCAACGATAGCTGCTGTTGGTCTGAGCGGCTCTCTTCGGTGGTCTTTTGGATTTTCTGCAACCTCTGCGCCAAGCTGGTCATGGCACTTTCGGAGGATCGTTAGAAAACCTCGGGGCAGGGGTTTGGGCCGATCTGGGCGCTGTGAAACCTGCTCATGACTGATTTCCAGAGATTGACCTCGAGAAATTGATGATTCACGGTGACTGCAGCAAATTTCTGAAACTTTGGTTCGGTCCGGAGCTGCTGGCAGGTCTTTTGGCTCTGATATGTTGTTCTGTTCGGTCTCATCAATTGCTGGATGAGTCTCTGCCGTTGGAAAAACTCTCTTCTGGCCCGGTAGTTGTTGAGCCAGTACATTTAAATCAAGGAGAAACAAACCCTTGCTGGTGAGCTGCAAAGGAAACGACCTGTTGAGCTTTCTGGAAAACAACACATGGTTCTCGGTGTCAACCGTGGCACACAAAGCTCTCAGCAAGGTGCTGGACAAGAGAAACGGAGTGGATCCCGGCACAACAGCAACTTTCAATTGCAAACCGTGAATAGGTATGACCAGTGCAAACTTGCTCTGCAAGACTCCATGATTACCAAATCGGAAAGTGATGACACATGGGCACCGAAAAACTTGTGATCTGATTGCTGGATCGAGGTTATCTAATAAACCCTTTACCAAATTGCTCCCTATCACAGTCTTGGTGGCACCGAGATCAACTATTCCCATACAGCCGTGAGATGCAAAACGCACGGAATCAGGTTCAGCTCCGGTGCATTGGTCAGAGCTGGTGGTGGGCACCTTCTGCTTGGCTCGGGCAGCCAGTCTGGCTCGCATCTGGGCACTCATCGGTTCATTCCTGGCAGTGGTATTGGAGTGAGCGTGAACAATTTTCCAGGCTTGTAGTGAGGCATGAAGGTTATCCTTGGGGTTATGTTGAATGGTGGTTACAAATGAAAATTGAACATTATGCTGAGAGGCATCCATGGTGGTTTCGGCATGAAGTGGCAAGTTCAGAAACTCCAAAGGCAACCCATCGGAGACTTCACGTACTTCGGCTTGGGACACCTGCACGAACGTTGTGGGGACTTGTGGAGCTCGTGCATGGGCAGTTGTGGACTCAGACCGACTGGGGCACTCAGCCTTCCAATGCCCTACCTTTCCACACAACCGGCATCGTGACTCCAATATCCTTTGCTGCAGTGACTTTCGGGAGGACGGGTGTCCTTTCTGGAACTTGCCCTTTGGGCCCTTGGTGAGCCCCTTGCCTTTTCCTTTGTTTGCGATTGGCCAGAATCCTCTGGACCTGACTTTGTCATTGAGACGTCTCCGAGCATCCTGGTAAGAGGTAAAGGCGGCTGCCAGTTCCTCATCAGTCTGTAATACTTCTGTGGCGGCGGCTTCAAAATCAGCTACCAGCGAGGCATCTTCGTCTCCCTCCTGCACTAACGTTTCAACCAGCTGTTCTTCGTCTTCAATCCCTTCCATGGCCATGGTGGGCTGGTCGGATTCAGTACCATGTCCTCGGCGGCCAGAGCTGATTGGTCGTACGTTTTCAGTTTGGAGACTTTGCGACCGGCTGTCATCTCCTGGAAGAAACCTGCCCCCAACATGCGAATAGAGGAGCTGACTCGGGACACTGTCAATTCCCCTTTGTCAGCGACATCGGCATCAATGAGTACACGCTTCTTGTCTTCCGCTGAAAGCATGCTACCCCTCAGTGTCACATAGGCTTGTAGATCGTTGATCTTGAACTGGGTGTTGTTCAACTCCGTCCACATGATGTCTGCACGTGCTAAATAGCTGTCAGCGCTTTCATCACCTTTCTGTGCACACTTGTACAAGGCTCTCTCAGCAAACTCGTACCGACGTTCCAAGGGGATTTGTCCCCAATGACCTCCTAGCAGCTCTATGATCCTCTGAATCGACTTCCGTTCATTCTGGGTGATCTCGGCTTGATGCAGTTGTAACTTCTTGAAGGCGGATCCACTACAGTTCAGTATCAGCCGGGTGGCTAATTCACTATACTTTGCAGATGGCCATGCCTCCAACAACAGTTCAACCTTTTGAGTATACACCTGAAGGTCGTCCTTGCTGGGATCAAACGATGGTACCAAGACTGCCAACTGGTTCGGGACTGTGTTGGAACCCTCTGATGACTCTGTCATGCGCTGCGGTGGAGCAGCTTGTTCTTCTTCACCTTGACTTTGACCTGGATCTTCCGTTTGCGGAACGGTAGCTCCGCTACCAGTGTGATTGACAATTAGTCAGATCACCTGGTAGCACCTCCAAAGCAAAAACCCACAGCGCAAGCCCAATCTGTTTTGTCAGACCTCGCAGATGGATCAATATGGCAAAACGCCTTGAGTAAGGCACAGAGAATCGCTTGGCCAAGCTAGGCCTTCCAGTTTCTGAATGAGTGAGCCCCAGGCTCTATGTTCCAATGTGGCGACCACGCCACCAAACCAGTAAGCACAAAAATGGCTAGCACGATTCCCACAACCCTATGCCCACTCCTTAGGCTGACCCTGAGCCAACGTGCTTCATGAGGAGAGACAGTTTGGATGATTGTTCCTGGCATCATAGAGCTGGAGGGCAAACCGGAAATTGGTGGTTGCAATGATGTAGATTCACAGTATATATATCATATATTATATGACCAATAACAGAGATAAGCGGATATACATGATATATGCCAGTATTACCAATAACAACTTACCAATGATATGACCCCCATAGTATGTCACCATCATTTCTGGTACAAATCCCCAAATGTGTTGATGACTCCTCCTGTTCGGTAATTCAGATGCGACCCACCAGGTGCCGGAGACTTGGAAGGTGGATGGCTCCTATTTGCAGGCCCGCGTTGCGGCGTTGCGGTGGCAACGGAACAACAGTTGAATCATGGATATGAATGGGATACTGTAAACAAAACCATAATCAACTAGTATCTATTGTCAACTATATTGGTGTGTATAACTATCAACTGGTATCAAGTATAGTGGGATATTGATATTTAGATACATGCATGCATACATACCTACCTACATACCTACATACCTACATACCTAACTAACCTACATAACTAACCTACATAACTAACCTACATAACTAACCTACATAACTAACCTACCTACCTAACCTACCTACCTAACTAACCTACCTAACTAACCTACCTAACTAACCTACCTAACTAACCTACCTACCTACCTACCTACCTCCGTCCGTCCGTCCGTCCATGCATGCATGCATGCATGCATGCATGCATGTATGTTTGTTATATGTATAAGAATGCACAGTCCCATTTTCTCCAATACTAAACACTTTCTACAGTAAATGGTCCTTGAAGATGTGATTTGATCCCCTACGATTTGCAATGAGTTCTGGGTGGTGAAAAAAAAAACGGGGGATGGGGTTAGTCATTTGGGGAAAGATCGGATGGATGATTTAGAACAATCTTGGACCCGAAACTTAGATGTTAACATTGGACATTGTGCAATAGTGTATTTGCTAGGGTCGCCTTACTTACTGGGGATTGAATAGTATATTATGCATTGTTATGTGGGATTCACTACCCCAATGACAGAGGACGTTTTGCAATGAGAAGGGTTTCGGGTTTAAGGTTTTAACGACCAACAGTCACTAGTCACGGTTTGTTAACAGTGCATAGCTTTGTCCAGAAACAGCGTATTCCGAAACTGGACCATATCAATGGGTAAAACTATGTGTTGACCCAATGGTCCTTTTTTTGTAAATCCGTATGTTTGAAACATGAAAAATTGAAGAGATGCCCAATAATAGTCCATTGAACCCGAAAATTGTGATCTCCAAAACAAAACTCATGTCGACCATTCCTTGGGCTTCCATGTTCGAACTAGGCGTTTTCTAAATCCCTTTTTCTGCAGATGCACCAATGGCATGTAAGCCCTGCTGAAACATGAGATATTTGTGCCGGATCCAAACATTTAGGAGACCCTTTGGCAATCAAAGATGACTGGGACTGATTTTGCAGGTGTGTCTGGAAACAGGGTATAGCCCAAGAATTGCTAATTGGGAACTTGATGGGAAATGATGATGAACTATGGGATTTTGATGAATTTTGGAGTAGTCTATTTTCAGAGAAACCCATATGATACTGGATTTTCAGCAACTGCAGTGTCATAGCGGATAGCCACCGAAAAACAAATGCTGTGTCTCCACTTTCTCAGTTCCAGTTGTAGTTCATTTTCCCAGTACCTATGTTACAGATCTGCCAGTCATGTATCTTGTCAGCCCAGTAGCTATGACCAGTATGGCCACGGGGGATTTTTGTTTTGGCTAGGAACATGAAGGCTTCAGAATTGAGAAGCGGAAAAAGCACTGAAGCTATAACAATTTGGTCCGGGTAGGTCAAAATGATCTACGTATACAAAAAATCTTTGAATAAACTTTGAATAAACATGAATAACCCACATCGCCAATCAATTGTGCGTCACTGCATGTTCGACCCATACCCAAATACCATTTCTCATGTCAACTTAAGTTATGTCAACAGTTATGTCTCCAAATTTAAGGGAACATTCTGTAATATATCATGATAATATACCAATGCAATGGGATATTTTGTGGGATATATTTGTACTTTGTAACGGGATATACCCTCGGGTAAACTAACATAACTATGGAAAGATCCTCGGTAAATCAACTATTTCAATGGCCATTCTCCAGTTCGCAAACTGTATATAAACGTTTACCATCGTTTACCAGAGGGTATATCCATCAATATCCCAGTATTATCCCATCATTATCCCAGCAAGTCATCCCATCATAACCATATTAAACCATATTAAACCATAGGGTATTTCATGTCATTACCAGGCCGGGTCGTGGGATATCATGGGCATCCTGTGAACCACATCCCCTGACGGCGCAGCCATGGGTTTAGGCCTTGCCGCGATCTCGGCAAAGCAGCGAAAGCGGGCGATGAGAAGCCGATTTTTCCAGCACAGGTATGGCCCTTTACCAGTTACAACCTGATTGGTGGTTTGGAACATGACTGGATTATTTTTATTTATGACTTTCCATTCAGTTGGGAATGTCATTAACTGACGAAGTCATAGTCATATTTTTCAGAGGGGTAGGTTGAAACCAGCAACCAGCAACTGGTTCTTTCTATGGGATTATACATTCTATCAATGGGGTTAGTTCAGTACTTATAACTGGTATTTCGGGCCATACCTCCAGAGAGCAGCAGCCGAAACTGCTGGATGGTCAACTGGCTGAAACCTCACCATGGCACTGGCAATGATGGCACTGATCATGGTGTTCGTTTTGGAGAAACCCAACCAAACGAGATCAAAATAGGTTTAGATATGTTTTGGGTGAGTAGGATATGCCAAGAGTCTTTATGACAATGACTGAGTATCAAGTCTGCGGAAACCATTGAAACCATCACTTTGATGGCCCAAGTAGTTATATGATTTCTCCAGATGGTTGTTTGTGGTTACCCTCTCGTAAACAAACCTGGTGATGCCCCAGTTTTTGTAAACGCTAAAGCATCGAGAAAACAGGCATTTGCGAGGCCGCCAGGGTATACAACCAACCACGGTTTTCCTGTTTTTTCGTGGGGTTGTGCTACCTACCAGGCTACCACCGGTAAGACGCTAATTGTTAGCTGCTTCAAACGCCATACAACGCCACTGTGCATTCGCAGCCTGGTTTTGGCTACTGCTCAGGTAAAGATGTTTCCCAAGTGTCACTCAGCGGGTGTTCCGTGGTAGATGGCGATTTTCTCACTATTAGTGCATCCCAAACAAGAAAATCAGGCCTGATTGTTTCAGAAAATCCCCCCAAAGGTTACATCAGTTTACCACTGGAAATACGGTATTTCTATGTATTTCTTCTATCTCGGTTGCTGATTTTCCATCATCTTCCATCCCAGGGTGACATCAAGAACCCAACCATGGTGGTGTGGGTACCTTAGATGTCCATGAAATGTTTGCCTGTTGGTCACCTCTAGAGCGGCAGATGTGTTGTTTTTCTTCGCATACAGGGATTATACAGGGAGTATTCTGGCTAATATGTCCAATATGTTTGGCCTATTTCAAGACATGGATTCTCAGGGATTGAACAATAAGAACAATGATGACAAACTAATTGGATGGAATGGGGTTGATGGAATGACTGGAATGGGGTTCCAAGTAAGACTACTCCCGTGTGGGAAAAAGGCAAAGGCATGGATTGAAGCAGTCAAGGTCCGTGGGTCCTTAGATTTAGGTGTGTGATTTGGTGGCATACCCCCTTTTGAGACAATTTACTGAACCAAATGGATAGATATTATATATGAGCTCCCGCCAAAATCCTTTACATCTGAGTAGTTGATATTTATGGTTATCGCTTTCCAGGGTTTTGTGGAAATCAGCAGATTCGAGATCCAACATGAAGCCAAAATCCATTCCTAAACAGGCTCGGAAATGGATCGAGCAGTTGTTTTGTTGGTTTCAGGTGCTTCGGCAACACTTCATGTTCCTTTCGTGTTGCATTTATTTGGATGCATTTTCCTTCATGTTCCTTTCATTTGCATGCATCTCACTTTTATTGTGCATTCATTTCCTTTCGTTGTCCTTTCATGTTTCTTTCATTGGTATTCATGTTCCATTCATATTCCTTTCATGTTCCTTTCATGTTCATTCCAATGTGCATTCATGTCCTTTCATTGTCCTTTCTAAAGTTATGGAAATGGCTCCATAGCTTGGCCGAAGCGAGTGCAACTTAAATGGTTTGTTTTTGCGAAGTGATCGCTAAGGTTATCGCTAAATAAGCCCTTTATGACATGGTTCGAAGGAAATTTGCCCAACGACAGACAGAGAGAGAGAGAGAGAAAGCGAGTTGGATGCCAAAAGCTATGGTAACTGCAGGAAACAGGGCACGACAGGTTGAATTTCGCTTTTGCCCGGCCTGTTCTGAATGTGCACAACAGTATTTGCTTGGTTTACGGCAAGTTTAATGGACTGTTGTGTATGGTCCCAGGTTATCGCTTTTGGGGGGGGCCTATCGCTTTACAGTTTTTTGTGCAAATCTCTGACAAAAAACTCCTGCAATACTAAAGTAGTTTTCAACCATTTTGACCGTGGCTCATATGATATTATATATAAATATTATATAAGATGCTCCATGAGGTCTAATAATACTACAGCAACCCAGAAAAATGTCGAAGTATAATCCTAGTGAAGTTGGGTACTCTTAGCTGGCCACCGGGTCAGATTTGTTTGGAACCCCGGGTCTCAAGCAGAAGATGACCAGAGGCTTTGGTGGTCATCCCAGCACATTAGACAATAGCATACAATAGCAGTATCAATGTCAATTGATGTCAATTGATGTCAATTGCATCCGAATCTGTACCCCAGAATTCCGAATATTTGCAGATTGACTGTTGGATGTATTCGGGTGAACCTTGGATGGGACATATGGGTACTCGATCGATCTCGATCTTACTTTCCGATATTTCATCCTTTGCTTACAAGTCAGGAAATGTACCAACCATGACCAATACAGTATTGGTTTTATTCAGGTTATCCAAAATTGGGAATGATATTATTATTTGCGCATCATTATACTAGTGTTTGTCGAGCAAAGCAAACGGAAGTAACGGAAGCACCAAGCACGTTGACTGGCAACTCTGCTCTCGAAGGCGCTCTCCGAGACGAAAGTAGGAGAGAAGAAGCCATCGCAGCGACCGTGACGAAAGGTGCGGCATCCGCTGGCACTGGCCCAGGGTAGCAGGGATGACCGATGGAAACCTCCAGTTCCCATGAAGATCATTCAGGATCCTACAGTTTCCATCGAGGATAAAAAAAAATAGTGACAAAGTACATGAAAGTACTACATATTGAGGCTAGGTTAAGGCATTGCAAATGTCAAATCTTACAGCACCTTTTGTAAGAATATAACTGAAGGTGTGTGAAAGACATCACTGGATTTTGGTTTGAAAACATGTCCTTTCTCAGCCCAGTCGATAATCAGAGAAGTCTAGTTGGATTCAAACTTCCTGATGGTTCCAGTAAGTATCAAAATGATCAACAGTTTAACCCCCATTTTGGTATAGTTACCCTCTATTTAACATAGCCATAGAAGCCATGGCCCATAGAAATAGATGGTTTACCTATGAAAAAAACTGGTGGATCTTTCCATGGCGAACTGTGAACGTCATAATCAGATGGTAGATGCTATGCTAGGTATTACCGTAACTTTCCATCCCTCCCCAACGATCGACAACTTGCCACGTAAACATCTACCAAGACCTATGACATACTTCACCTTCTCGTGTGGTTTTGAAAATTCAAACACAACATCTTTAAAGATTGTCTTGACCCCCTCAAGTTCCCGCGAATTCACTATGGATCTTAAAGAAATCCAGCATATTCGTAGAATGTCATAAATTTCAGTATCCTTTAAACCATGTTTTGTTTACTTTTTGTTCAATGTATGTCGTTCAATTTTTGTCCTTCACCATTTCCAGCCATGTCATCATCATGTTCCTGCAAGGTGATATCTCATCCTTAGCATGGCAGATGTCTAATTGTCTATCAACGGCATCAGAATGGGGCCTTAAAACATCTACCCAGTATGGTTATTTAACATCTATAAAATGGGATAGAATGGCTTCAGATGGCTTCCATGGCTATGTTAAATAAATGAAGCTTTTGTTTAAGCAACCTCAAGGTCACCACTACTCATCGCCGCCGCAGCGACCTCCAGCGACCTCCCGGGGCCCGAGCAGCGACCGCCATGGACGTGGAGCATGGCGTGCGGGTGCTGGCGGAACGCCCGGCGGAGGATTTTGAGCCGACTGAAGAGGAGGCCGATGGACCCGATGGACTTTGAGCGACCGGGGATGTTTGGAAAATTTGAGGGGGTTCATTGAAACCAACCAGAATATGAAGAGATGTGGAACAACTTAAGAACTCATCAGCATTTTTTTGGAGAATTTGACTAAAAGATACTAAAAGTCTATACTTGGATGAGCCATGGTTTGTTAAGTAATGGTGATTAAACGTGGATGAAATGGTGAATTGCTTAGTTTTAAAGAATGGGGAGCATAGATGATTGAACATTATTAAATGTGATTGACCATGATTGGACATGCTCAAGCGTGATTAAAAATGATTAACCCAACCGTAAATTGGAATCTAACATGAACATTATGCATTTGGGATAGTAAACTATCATCAAGAACACTGGAGTTTGATTCATTGGATACCAAATCGATCCTTAAATGGTGGATTTGAATGGATTTCCATCATAATTTAATGACGTTTTAAAGGGATTTGCTCTAAAAAATTGAGCTTCCCATCCAAAGATTGGATGTCGGCTTCATGGAAGGTTTGTCTCAGGCCGTTGGATGCCTAACCAGCCAGCGTTCGGTATGGCTAACTTTAAAGCATCAGGTCGCCAAAGATCACGACTCAGGTCATCCTGAGACTCAGTGACTCAGTGGATGGTTTTTGGGGATCGGATCCTGTAACAACATGTTAAGAGGAACAGTTCTTGGATCGATTTGGAAGAGTTTTGGAACAGTTCTTGGATCGTTTTTTGGATCCTTTCGGATGAAGTATCCCCCCGACCTTTGGATCGCGACGATTCAGCGACGATGGCTACGCGACAGGTGAAGAACTATGCAGAGTGGTTGGGATTGGATCCCAAGGACCGTTGGCTTCGCGGTTGGATTCTGGCCCGAGCTATAGCAGTTATAAGTACTGAAGTAACCCCATTGATAGAATGTATCATCCCATGAAAAGAAAAAAAAACAGTTATAACTAAAGGGCTATAACTGTGGGTTAGCCCGTAAACAAAGCGTTGTGATCATCGATTTTTCACATCGATTTGTTCAGATCGTTAGCGAGTTCTCCGTGGTTTTCACCCTGACACCGCAGGAGGACACGGATTTGATGTACTTGGTGCGAGAAGGGTTGAAAGCTCCCCTGGCGGAGGGCTGGAAGCCTTGTACCTTGGAGAAAAATCCTGAAAAATCCATGGCCTATGTGGGCATTTGTTGATCTCCCACGGTGTCACTGGGTCAATGACTAGACTTCCTTTCCTAGATGATATGTTTAAATGTGAATGGATTATCACATCCAAAATATAAATATTCGACATAGTGTTGGATATTTACCACCAACAATGAGGGTGATAAACCCAACAAAATTGGCACACAGCATGAAAGCTTGAAAAATTGTAGAAACTCCACTGGCCGTCCTGGCACCAGATTTGATTTTTCAAAGACCTGATGGGGGTGGCTGAGGATGGCATGTTTTTGCCGCCCCAGAGAGTTCAAAATGGGATGAGTGCCGGCACCTAAAAGAACCATGTGGGAAGTAACCACCATGTTCCTCCTGAAGTAGAGTCATGCGCCAAGTTCAACCTGTTTGTCCGTCCAAATGGGAGTTCGCCAATGTTAACCGCAAATCAACCCTGTAGTCGCCTGTAGTTATAAATATTTATAAATTCTATTTGGGCAACACCCAAAGTAACCAAATCACTGTCAGGAATGGTAGCGCCCATTTTAATTAACCAGAGATGTAGTGATTTTGAGTCAACACAACACACTTCAGCATTTTTTTGTATCTGAGCTCGGCCGCTCGCGGTCCTAGGTACAAATTCGGACAATGAAATCTTTTACTTCAACTTCCACACAGGCGAGCGGTTGGTCATTTGGGAGCTGCCATGGCTGCCTTTCCGGAAGTTTGCCACTTTCAAGGTGTGCACCTCGCAGAGCCTTTCCATGTTCGGCTTGTCCAAGATATTCCAAGTTTGAAATGAACGGTTGATCGCCACGAAATGAGAAATTGATAGAAATTGGGGATGTTGACTGATGTTGACTTTAAAAAAAATGGATGCCACATGAATGGAGCTTGTTACCCTCTAGTCACATAGCTCCCCCAGTGTGCAACACCTGTAACACCTCCATAAATCGGGGACGCCAAGGGCAGAGCGTGTGGACACATCCTGCCGATGAGGAATACCGCAATAAGGTTCAGGTGCGGCGGGTTTTTCAAAACCGCTGGGATCTGCAGATTTATAGGTATTGATCCATAGCATTGTTTAACAGCCATATGTTAAACAAAACGGAATGTCCAGTCCAACATGATTATATTGTTGTGGATTTTGTTGATTTGTTGAGAAGAAACATCTTTATCAGGTTCATCCCCAAAAGAGACGTTGAACAGTTGGAAAGCCGAAAATCATGAAGTAAACTTGTAGAACTGTGCAGAGGATCCTGGACATATCATATCTAGGCGTTCTTGGGATGCGGGATGCAGTTTTTTTTTTTCTGATCAAGTATTTTAGAATATGTTAGATTGTTATATATATATATGTATATGTTCGATATATGTTTTAGAACATTCGGAAACCATGCTGCTTACAAATATCATGATGGTGGCAAATGGCAAACGTGAATTTTATCATGCCTGAGGTGTGAGCCACAGGGTTAGGGCTACAAAGGAAGAAGGACATATCAAACCTGATTGGAATGAAACTGCTATTGGGAATGATTTGGAATGATAGATCTCAAAATCTACTTGGGAATGATAGATCTATCATCAATCTCAGTATTGGGAATGATACTTTTTTGATTTTGAGATTTATCATCATAAAGTAAATTGAAAGTTATACTACGCATGGCCGTAGGTTGGGTTACTGGAAATCTGGCAAATTTCAAGAAGTCAATGAACTGCTACTGCAGGTACATGAAAACCATGTCCTTTCCGCCCCATTTGGTGGAAGTTATTTGAAGGGTTTTTTAGGGGTTGGATACCCAAGCTGTGTTTTTTATGTTTATTTCCCAATGTTTTTTTCATATTTAGCCGCTGGTAAATGGACATAGAAAAAAGCTTTGGAAATCCCTGGGTTTCTACAGGATTTTCTGCTGCAAGTATGGCTATTTTGGATGTCTATCCAAGTCAATTTCGAGGGCACCCTAGGGTAAAATACGTAGAGAAAACCCATAGATTTTCGATTTGGAAACTGATCTATATTCATAGTGTTTTGTTTTTTTTTTTCCGCACGTCTATGTTAGTTTACCCTATAGGTTACCAACTATCACTGTTTATGTCCCCACAGGTAGCTACATATCTCCCCTTGCACGTCTGGTGTTGAGGAAATGAAGAATGCGAGAAGTGGCAAGGGAAATGTCACTGGGTGGAAGACGAAGACAATGAGGAGTGGGTCATGTTGCATGATTTTCCCATAGTTTATAGATGTTTATAGGTTTATCAAGTAATTGAATCTAGCCAATGTTCACCAGTTTTAATAGGTAAATCATCATAAATCATCTATAAATGGGCCATTTTCCATAGCCATGTTGAATGACCAGAGGATATTGGTTTATCATGGATGAACGAACGTCCATCTACCGGTGCCGAAAATGGAGCCATGAAACATGATGGAACACATTGTAAACCTGAAAGATGGGAGAATATTGGATTACAACGAAATACAACCATTCCCATAGGATCCATGGTGCTGGTATATACACTAACATTGGGGGTATATTGATGGGATCCATGTTACCATATATTGCATACATGGATCCTATGGGATTTTATCATAGGTTTAGAGGGAACCCCTCGTACATCACTACAGGTACAAACGTATGTAGATGGTTTCAGCGATGCTTGAGCTATGCATCTCATGGCAATGGGTTCCCGGCAATGTATCAGCAAATTTTGAGAAAAGTGTCACATCCCCAATATATCCATCATTTCTGATGTGTCTCCCCACTAGCAAAATCTAGCAAAGCTGGACACGTTTTTTTTGGTTGCTGAGCTAGGTTTTTCTGATAGGATACGTCTCGAAGTCGACTGGTTGTCCATCGGTTCCCCATGAAATTCAGTTGTTTTTGCTTAGCCCATTTTCAGACAGAAATTCATGGAAAACCAACTTGTGCTTTCGCCATCTTGGCCGAGGTGCAAAATGTGGTCCATGCTCCCTACAATGGCATCGGCCATCGCCCCGTGCTGGGTCAAACCTTTGGACTTTGCGATTTTCTGCGAAGGCCGCGACTATCAGAGGGCTCGGCTGCCATGCCCATCATAGCCCCCTTTTTGTTGGGATGTTTCGCAAGAAATGATGGGAGAACGAGTAACATGACATGTTCAATGACATGTTCAATGACATGGAATGATGTAAGCAAGGGATTTGCTAACATGACAAACCATTGGACAAACCATTGGATTTAAGTTCAACTATCCGTGCAAGGATACTTTGCTGTCGCCGTCGACGAGCTCACAGTCATTGAGCGGCGCGGGTCATTGGGTCCTTATAAACGCTCTGCGTGGTTAGTATCTCCCATTGACTTACAGCCAAGTAGACAAAATCTGATGATGGGAATACATAAAAGTCATCATAAAAATCGTAAAATCCCATCATAAAAATCATCAATACAGCCAAGTAGACAAGATCAATTGAAGTCAATTCAGCTCCAGAACGAGTGCCTGTCAGCGGACTTTAGACCGTCCGATTTGGAGATGATTCCCAATGACAATGATTCGCCAACTTGGTAGTGTAAGATAGCTATGGCATATCACAATTTTAAATAGGTAAATTATATTAAATTATCATCTATACATGGTGGATTTTCCATGATTTTCCATTGCCATGTTTGATCACCAGAGGGCATATATATATATATAATTATATATATATATATGTCAATGTATGTATGTTGTAATACATGTTTCAATTCATGGACATGGTTCAGCCACCAACCAGGAAATGTTGTGTTTTTTTGTTGCCAAGCCGTGTTGCTTAGTGCATGGAGCATTGCAGGGGCAGCCAACACTCCAGCAGGATGCAGTGCGCTACCGGTTCCTGCTGTAAATCGATGGTAGAAGCGACGACAATGTCGTGCCATGGGGCAACATGGGGTGTGACACGTTTTCTACAGCTGAGTTGCGTTTTCCACTGGCTTTACTATGGTTCATGGCCCAGTTATCTCCATTCACAGGGGTCTTTTTTTTAACCAACTTCAAACTGGAGACGGCCTTTTGGTGATTTCTACAATGGCTTGAGCTTCATTGCCAAGAAGGATCCCGAACTATTGATCGTCCATTGAAGTGAGATTGTTCAACCACCAATCAGTCAACAGCCAAAATGGGCCGAAAAGTTGTTTCAAGCACCATTGATTTTTCGAGTGGGAAAGTCCGATGCTGTCTGCCAAAGGAGCAGAAATTTGAGACTCTGCACGGTGGCAGGCAACGACCATATGTTGCCAATGCCACGAATAAACTCTTGGTGAAGAGAATGGATATGGGTCAAAACCGTCAAAGATGATCGAAAAGTGCTAGGGGTTTCCCAAGGATTTCAGTCTTTCGGAGAAGGAAACCATTCCACTTCTGGTGGTACCTCTATATCTACTCTTGACCCAGGTCTTTTTGTGTAGCCAAAGGAATGTCCGGAACATCTGTCGTGAGCACCGCGTTTTCTTTAACCGTGCCATTTCCAGCACGATGGGTGGTCCAGGAACATTGGAAAACTCAGAAACGGCTCGGAGGTCATGGAAAAGTGTGCCAACAGATGGGCGATGGCATGTGATGGCGTTGTTCTTCGTTCATAAGTGGATAACCTTGTGGGTTACCCTCTGGTAAACTAACATAACTATGGAAAATCACCATGTTTAATGGGAAAATCCACTATAAATGGCAATTTTCAATAGCTATGTTAGTTTACCAGAGGGTATAACATGTTATACCCTTGGGTTATGACTAACAGTTCGCCATGGAAAGATCCACCATGCTATTAATAGGTACATCATCTATAAATGGTCAATTTTCCATGGCGAACTGTTAGTCATAACCTTGTGGGTTATAACCCATGAAACAAGCTGGTTGTTTTGGGTGCTCCAGGTCATGATTGACCAGTAAACGAACTCCACCGCCTATCTAAGTAGGTTGATGTGATGGCTCTTCAGCATGGAAGATGATGGTTTGACACGGTTTAGCCCAGAAAAAAATAGATTTCACCATGAAAATACAGGAAAAGCAACCAATCATGTGGAGCTGGATCAAAACCTTATTAATTATGCAATATATAATATATATATATATATTATATTATATTATATTATATATTATACATATATACATACGGGGGTGAACATCCATAGATCCCAGCGATTTTGGTGCTAGGACACCGTCTATTCAACCAACAGGTCATGTTGTAAATTTCCAGCCACGGAGATGGCACACGGAGATGGCACCCATTTGAAGATGATGTGATGCTTAGAATTTCGATGCTACATTTGAATCATTTGAAGCACCCAATCTTAACGCTCATGATTTCATCACCATCCGTACCTTCCGTACCTTCAATTTTCAGGGCTTTCAGGGATGCAGTTTATGCAGTTTACTTCAATCATTTTATAGTCATACGTACGTTACGTTCCCGTGTTTTAGGGATCTTGCTCCACTGATCGTTCCGGAGCTGTGTGAAGGCCTGGTTATGTCCTGCTGATAATTATTCTCGTCATTTTACTGGATAATTAGCAATTTCGCTGGACAATAGTAAAAATAGTAAATGATAACGATGGTATTTTGATAATTACCAATTTACTATTGGTCGTTGTAGATGGTGTCATAATGTGTCATACCTCCCAATTATTTGGTTCAATAATTGGCCATGCATTGCCTCGCGACTCGCGCAATCAGCTCAATGCCAAGATCCCAGCTGCCAGCTTCGTGACATTCAACCAGGAACGATGACCGATATTCAAGGAATCTTCTTGTAGCCTGCTTAGCTTTGACACATGTCCATTCAGTATATAGAGTAGCATGGATTTAGATGTCACGTTTGCTCTGAAAAACTTATAACAATCATCATGGTCACTAGCTTAGAGGTTCACGTTGCCATACCAATTCATGAGGTGTTTTGCTGTGTTATATATAAATAAATATATTAATATACTATTATATATATAATACAATTATAATCTTAATGATCAATTATATGTGTTTCATTTTTTGCCCGCACCAGTAACTTTCGTTCAACCCTATCGAGTTGCCTTGTTCATTAAAGTATCGCCTCCTTTGAGGTCGTCAAAATTCAACAGGGGATCACGAGGTTAACCGTGCCATGATCATTCGAATGTTGGTTGACTCATGTTATATTGAAACCAACTATATAATATGTATATTATGAGATGGGATACCAATGTTGGTTTACCAAATATACCAGTTAATTATATGGGATATAATTATGCCTACTGGTATACCAATTAATTTTCCATGTGCTACCCTATTTCAAGTTGTCCTAGTTCTATATCAACAACTACTCCCATGTATGCCAGATTTTTCCGGTTGTTTTCAAGGCATCAACGCCGCAGCACAACCCAAAAAAAAGGGTCAAAAACGGCGTATCAAAGACCCCGGTATTCCGCATCAGCCTCGTCTGTTTGATGGCTGGTGTGGCTCAGCCGCAACGTTTTTTCGCGGGTGGTTTTGTACAGTTATGGCCCTTTACCAGCTTTACCAGTTTTAAGTAGTTATAAGTACTGAACTAACCCCATTTATAGAATGTATAATCCCATAAAAATAACCAGTTGTAACTAATAAAGGGCCATAACAGTATTTGGTGGGATTTTGGAGGGAAATAATGGGAGCCAATGGGAGCTTTCGGAGAAGCTCCCAAAAGAGATGAATTATCTACGTGCTGTGCCATGGTCAAAACCTTATTTAAAAAGATGAACTTTGATTTGTTGCCATGGTGTTAATATTTTATATATACAGCAGATACATATATTATATATTAATTATATATATATATTCTATATATCGGGAGAACGTGTTTGGTCGCCCCAATGCTTTTGCTAATTAGAATGCGCTCAGTGTGTATACAGTTGAACACGAACGTTATTAGGGGCCTTGTGAAACGTGCACAACTTCTGTGAAACGTGCACAGCATCTCTGAAACGTGCACATATAGAATACTTGAAAACACTGGGTGGGGGCGGTGAAACACGTTATACCAATATATATATATATACACTATCTAGTAACTAGTATAATTCAAATATATCAGAATATTTGTTCAATATTGGTAGCTCCGCATCACCGAGGTGGTTTCCTTGTTCATCCTCAACCGTTGGGCGCCCCGTTGGGAATCAACGTTTTTCTGAAAGTTGGAAACCAGTTGAAGCAAGCAGTAGACCACCATCCTTATAGCCTATCCCCCATGTTTCCTGGCAAAATTCCCGTTCTCCATGAGAACAACTTACCAAAGGCCCATGGAAATTTCCGCAGTCTGCAGGAAATGGATCACTGATTTACAGCCTTGAGACGCAGGCACTGCCATGGTTCTGGAGGGAAGTCTGAGTTTTCAGCATCAATCCATATCAATTCCCTATATTTTTTCCCAGATGCTGTGTGATTTCACAGGTTTTAAGACGTGCTTTTGGCATCTTTTGGCGTTGAAAGTCATCCCTGGCACGGTTTTTATGTAGGTGGTGTTTCAAAGATCACATTGGGCGGAGGACATGTTCCATTTCAAATCAAGCAGGAGCAGCAACAAGGCCCCAGAAATCTTGGTTTAGGGGAACTTGCACATCTTTGGGACCAGTTTGAGGATGGAATGCTCTTTTTTGGAGAGGTTCGGTTTTCAAACAACTTGTCACTGCTCAACTGAAGCCATGATTATGCCATTCTTAATGATTCGGACAGCTATTCTGAAAGCATTTCTTAAGCAACTCTGGTTCCAATTCCTTGTCACTGGCAAGAATTTGTAACCGGGAATTATCTGAGCAGTGTAAATTAAACCCCTGTTGGTTGATGATTATAGCGGATTATACTACCCAATATATTGGGGATAATGATGGATTATGATAATCCAATAGTAAGAACCATCATAATCCGAATCATAATCCATCATAATCCATCATAATCCCCAATCTATTGGGTAGTTAACCATCATAATCCCCATTTTCAGAATTAATTGGGGAATCCCGTTCTTAACCAACCAGTATTGACCATTGGGAATGATCGTTGGGCCGTGGAGACCGTGGAGACAAGGCATCCACTCAGCTCTCTTCCAATGACAAGATTCGTTTGTCCTCCACTTTCCATGGTACCTTGGCTGACTGGAACTGCTTGAAATGGGATTTTCAGGAGCTATAAGTTGGGAATGTTTGGGTTAACCAACACAACATAAACTGGTTGGTGGTTGGTGGTTTGGATAAATTGTATAATTTTTACAATCAAAGGTTTTGTTTTGGAATGTTTGGGTTAACCAACACAACATAAACGTATCGCTCATTGGTTCCCTGGCGCTGGATCATTGGTGAAATCCTGTTATTGAAACCGTCGACATACCAAGATATACCA